CTACTACTACTACTACTACTACTACTACTACTACTACTACTACTACTACTCTCTCTCTCTCTCTCTCTCTCTCTCTCTCTCTCTCTCTCTCTCTCTCTCTCTCTCTCTCTCTCTCTCTCTCTCTCTCTCTCTTTCTTATCATTCCTCTACCAAGTCTACTACTCTACCCTTCCTCTTCGCCCTACCCTCTACCCCTTCCTCTACCCCTTCACCCTCCCCTACTTTATCCCCCTACTCTTCATCCTTTATTATACCCTTCACCCTTCACCCCTACCTCGTTCTCTCTCGATATACTTTCCCCTCCCTGCCCTCACTACCCTACCCTGCCCTCCCTACCCTGCCTTATCTTATCTTGTATTCAGACATTTCCTAACAATCACTGCGTTTACGAAAGCTAACTGTCTAACTAGTTAGTAGATGGATAGGTATGTACCTTAGGTATCTATATATATATATATATATATATATATAGGTAGAGAAGTAAGGTCGCTCGCAAAGCACAGCACAGCAACAAGCAAACCTGCGTTCATTAGGGGTACTCATGTTGTAAAGAGCACAAGTACGGGTACGGGTACGGTAGTTTAGATATTCATGCGTACTAACCGACGATAATAAGACGAAAAGTTCCCTTTTCTTTTCTTTTCGATCCTTTGAAAATTCAATCCATAATTCACTCATCAGAGAAAAAAGAAGAACATATTCATAATATGCATGGCTATTTACGTTGGCATCTTGACAATTTTTCTTTTGTTTTCTTTTACAAATAATGTCGAATATCCCTCATAAAACACGCACACACCAATGACGCGGCACCAAATGCAATACTCATCCAGTAAGGCCATCGGTACGCCAACGCAAACGCCTCTTGAAGATTTTCGATAATGATATCGTATGCGACGTCCTTGCGGGCGACCAAGGGGCTTTCGGCAATAAAAGTGCGCAAATCGGCGTATTGTGCTTGGGCGCCGAGGGTGAGGAGGCGGTAGAGAGTGGGGTAGTCAGATGTGATTCCTGCAACGGCAACGTTGAAGCCCGCGGGAAGGACGTATTCGGATTCGAGCTTGTGGAAGAAGACGTTGTAATAGGCGGTGAAGCCGATGGCTCCGCCAATGTAACGGATGGAGAGGGTGACGGCAGTCACGGATCCGATGTATTCGACAGGGCTCACGACCTGTGCGATGATGGAGATGGGAATGATGACTGCTCCAACGCCGATGGCGGAGATGCTCAAGATGCCGTAGACGGTGGGACTGAGGTTGTCGGTCCGAGCAATTGACATGGCGCCTGTGAAGGCTGTCATGAGGGCACACCAGAAGATCATGAGAATGGTAGTGCGTCCCTTGCAGAGGCCGAACATGAGCAGACTGAGGAAAGCACCCACGATGATACCAAAACCAATCGGGAGAGTCCTGATGCCAATCTGGAGAGGGTCGTTGCCGTACATGTTGTACACCTGGGTGGGCCAGAAGAGCAACAGCACGAAGAAGTTACCGCCGCTGAAGAACGTAATCAGCAGTGCGCAGATCATAGTGCGCTTGTCCTTGGAAAAGACCGCGGCTGGGACCATAGGAAATGGCGCAAACATGGATTCCCAAATGAAGAATGCAGCAATGATGACAAGGCCGAGAATCAAGGGCACGAGAACGTGCACCGAGCCCCAAGAATACTGAGAAGATGATGATTAGTGTGAGCTCCGGACCAGGGCATTTCCCAGACTCAAACTCACCTGTCGTGCACCCCATTGCATACCCATCATGAAGAGTGTAACACCAAAGGTACTCAGGACACCACCAACGTAGTCAATTTCGCGGAGAATCTCCCGGGCTGGACGGGGAGGAGTAAGTGGAATCGGGTCCTTGTAGAAGCAGACAACCAGAATCAGACCCAAGAAATTCCATACTCCTACCAGAATACCAACGTATCTCCAGTTGCCGGCAGCCTGTGTGATGAGTTGTGCCCATAGTGGAGACGGGCAGAAGGGCAGAATGGTGAAGACGACCAGTCCCACGTACATGCCACGCTTGGCAGAGGGAACCATTTCGGAAGTACCAGCAAGCGCGATCAGCTCGTTGAAGCCCGCTCCAAGACCGCTGAGGACCATGCCACCGATAGCTACGTTCATCGAGTGGGCGGTAGAGACCACGATGGGCCCAATGAGGAGGCATACCTGTCCGAATGCGGCCACCCAGCGACGACCAAAGAGGTCGGACAGAGCACCAACGAACGGACACAGGGCAGAGTTGGGAATCAGGTATCCAATGACCATCCACAGGTATCTGCCGCCTGCGCCACCAATATCGGCATAGATGTCCGGAAGCACGGCTCCGTACAGATAGAGAGGAATTTGAGAGCCCACCCAGAGAAAGGACATGGCCGTCAATGACAGGAGAAGCTGCGGACAAAACTGGTAGCCACATGTCAGTCCGTCTTCTGCACACGTGCGACTTCACATTTGCAAGCGTACATGGTGGTAAATGTTCGGATTCGCCTCCTCGTCAATCTGCGTCTGTGACTTTTGGAGGTGGTTCTTGTCGTAGCCAGTATGCGCTCCGATGCGCTCGATATCCTCAATCACGTCGTGCGAGCCATTGCTACTCGCGGCCGTGCGGGCACCGTCCGCCGCCTGCTTCTCGGAGGTCGTGGTGAGCGCCATGGTCGCTCGCGGGTGGGTGTTGCGGAGGAGAGGCAACAGACAACTGAGATTCTCGCGCAGCGGGCGTCAAATCGGCATCAAGTAGGGCGATGGGAGGATCTGGCCATCATATAGCAAACACCGGTACCCTTCCCAAATCCAGATTGTGCCTCGGCGTCGTGTCCCCAGAATGGTGGTCGATCGTGTCGCTGGAGACCCCACATGTCCCAAAGCTTAAATCCGGCCTTGTCCTGGTCGAGCGAGGTCTCGGCCTGTGCATTTGCAGCTCACGTGGTCTGGGACAAATCAGCGCAGCCATCGTCGAGATCATTCCCTGATCTGGCTTCGCTGCCGCCGACGAGAGTTCGCTGAACCAGCAGCGATTCGAGCCCGCGACCTAGGGCCCCTCACGGTCTGGGCAGGCTATCGTGGTTCATTGGTTGCCGCTGCTTGGTCTGCATGAGCATATCGATCGTGATTGGAGCTTTCGTACGAGGGATGGCTGAATGCGTCATGCCCCGTTGCGCAGTACAGTATGTAAGTAATGACTGTGTGAGACCGTATTGAAGGGAGTTCGCTGTCGCATGGCCAAACGTCCCAGCGGTGACTGACATACATTGAAACCTCAGCAAGATCAACCCCCGATGAGACAGCTGTGCGTCAATCTCCATTTGTTAGGTAGGTTTCCGGCATCTGCACCATCTGATTTGCCGGTGGGACCTGACCAAAAACAAAGAGAAGTGTAGACGCGGCCATGGTGCGCGCTCTGATCGTTCCAAGAGAGCTCAAAGTGAGCTTCTAGGAACCGCATCTCGTTCCCAGTACAAATGTCCGCGGTGGTTGTAAACAGCTCGGTTCCGGAGTTTGACAAGTATTGCTGACTCGTACATACACAGCGGCGTTCACTGGTGGAGAATGTGTCACGTGAACGAACATCGCACATCAGCGTCCCGTTGCAGTGGGAGAAAAAGGAAACACTGCACCCACACATGCAGCCAAGGGCACATATACGTGTACCAAGCCATGTGCCCTCTCGTGGCGAATCCCTTTGGCCAATGTGCGACTTACTCCGCTTCTGCTCGGCGTGAAAGCACTCGCACTGCATGCAACGGGCGGGATCTGGGAGCTCGTCCAGAGCTCGGAGGTGGTCCCAGAGAATGGTACTTCCCGGTAGAAGACCCAATGACAGACAGACCTTGCGACAGGAGGTGACTGCGACACGACACTGGCCGATAGTAGTGCAGTACTCACGCCTGGAGTCCCGCTTTGATATCCCTCCACAGGACCAGCCACCGAGGATGGTGGATATCTACACAAGTTGCATCGTGATTGAGCGGTGTTGTTGAATTCGCAACAAGCTCGAGCTCGACCCCTCTCGGCGCATTAGCCCAGCAGCAGCTGAGTTCGGACATGCGCATCTCCAATCTGTTGTCCGGGCATGTTATGAACATTGCTGTGGCTTTGGGGAAGCTCGAGCGGGAATGTGTTCGGCGCGCGCAATGTGTCTCGATAAGTCACTCCAATCTCCAATGATAGGATGAGGCGCACCGATTCTGTACGGAATCTATACCGGGTGTCAGATTACATTGCTGATGGCAGGCTGAACTCGCGTTCGCACCGGACCGGTCTAAATATCTGGGCGCGTTAGTGAGTACACAAGAGTATCACCAGCCACTTGGCGATGTACAGATTCACGTCACTTGAAACCAAGTGCTGTGGGAAAAGCTTGGTCTAGGACATTAGCATCGTACCCGTCGATACCGCTCAACGCTGATTGCGGCTCTGGCATGTCTTTCGTTTGGCTCCTCGGCCACGGCCAAGTCTAGCTTCTGTCTGTGCAGACTCGGGCGTCTTGGTGAGTTCGGACTTTGGCGGACTTGACATCCTGTACTGTGCTATGCGGTACCACTCTTGTGCACTGGTCGTCTGTGGTTGAGGGTTGTCAGCAGTTTTAGTTGCATGGGTTTAGAAGTTCAGGATTGGTGCGTGCAGCTCCTCCAATGGACTGTCCGGCGCGAGACTCCTCTGTCTGGGAAGATGAAGGGGCTGATCTGGATTATTTCTAGTGATGAGAAAATAAGAAAATGGAAAGAGTGCGATGCGCGCGCCGGCGGTTGACGTGAGAGGAGTCTTGGCATTTCGTCAGCTAGCAAATTCGTGTTTGTTTCGTGTTGGTCGCAAGGTCCTGGCCATGGCACATGTACAGCCCCAGCAGCCTCAGGCAGCTACCATGTAGCTATACGAAGCGTATACCGTGAAGGTGCTGTCGGGCTCGCGAAGCCATCCATGTCTGCTTCGCAAAAGTCAGGCATCTCACGATTGAGCAAAGACCATTTGCGCTCGCAGCAGCGTACGTCACTCTTCCCTTGCACTGTTCACCTTCGCTACGGTCTGCAGCATTCGGCCTTTGTACAGTATGCGGACCATTATCAACTCAAAGGAGCTTCTCCACTTCACGCTCAGCCTCGTCTAACATTGCTGTCTTGTCCAGATCACTGGCGCACAAAGTACCAATCCCGCAGGCACAATGCATGATCCAATGTCGAGGCTCTTCCGGGGATAGTCGTGTATTGTCACACGGCGTAGGTCGCTTTCCTTTCGTGCTGCAGAACCTCCATCACAGCTCCATCACTTGCAGAATCCAATCCCTTCCTGTCTGTCTTCCGCATGTCTGTACAACCATTTGACACCTCTTCCGCCTCCAACCTCGCCAGCGGAACACCGCCATCTTATGCAAATGCAACACGTCGTACAATGTCAGCTCAAAGACATTCGTCGAAGTGGAGGGCTCTCTTGGCTGTCAATGGGACGATTTTGACCCCGATGGCCTGGACAGGTGCATCCTCTCCCGAGATTTTGTGCACGTATGTATGCATTGATTCGGGTGTAGGCTGTATGTCGAGAAGGAGGATGCATGTCATTGCCTTGCACCGCAGGAAGAGGGTCTGGCACTCGGGCTGTTGTATGAAAACAACGCGCGACACGGGAGTGGACTAGCGGAAATACCCGTTGCCGTTCGGCAGCTCCCGACTGCAGCTGCTTCTCCGACCTACCTACATGTACTTATGCACTGTTTTATCACTTAGGGCATAGAATGCTTTATTAATCTTCAGTATATTCAGTACTAGTCTCGCTATCCTTTCTCCGCGTAGAGTCAGCGACTCTTATTCTTCTCAGAAGAGAGAGAAAAACCTGGGGGGGGGGGAGAGAGATTTGTCTCTAGCCAAGATGCTCGTGTCAAAATGCTCCTGTCCTGCAAAGGAGTCCAATTTCAGCGTGTAGAGCGCACCTCGATTGTACCAGTTGGGTGGAGTCGTTATCAGACTAGTGAAGAAGGCTGCTGCTCAGTCCTTTGTAACGCAAGCTGGGAAGCGATGCCTTTTGGGTAGCTCTTAGCAGAGACTAGTGATCAATCAAGCATCCCTCTCCCCCGCCCCTTGACGATGAGGCATACCAACCATCGCAGCACTTCATTTGGCTGGTGGCTGGCGGTGGGGGGTTTAATGAGGCCATGGTCGAAAGCTTCATCGACCAGACAGCGGCGCCAGTGTGATGAGACCCTCGGGGCAGGAGCACGCACTGGCGGGATCTCGCTCGCTTGTATTGGTTTATGCTTCGAGATTGGTGATAACGCAGCCATGCGCAGGTTTGTCTGTACGACAACTTGCAAACTCTCCTTGCGACCTCGCAGAAACCACCCAAAAGGAACTTCGTGGCAGCGACCACCATGAGCACAGAAGCTCTGCCTCCATCCCGCGTCAAGTTCAGCCGAGAAACTCTCCGCTGACCAGCGTCTCCCATGGCCTGCCTGTGTCCCATACTGTTTGCATCAACCTTCGTGCATGCCCGAAATTTCCCATGCCCCATCCCTCGACCGCTTCCATCCTGCTCATGAATGACGCACGTTGATCCTCATGCTGTGCTTCACATCCCGCAGTGAACATGGGAAACAGAAGACAAGACTCTGCCGAGCTGCCCGGGCGGATCTTCTGCGTTACCACATTGAGAACGTTCTGAACACAGCCTTGTACTTCGGCATCGGATGAAGGCAGAGCCAGAACTCGACGAGCCAGGTGGATTCTGCCAGCCCAGTGAAATGCTTCGTTAGTGGCGTAGATTTCTGAGTAATCGTTGTCGTCCTGTTGTGCTTCATCGAGCGAACGAAGATGATACGGGCTGGTGTGCGTGCAACCACGAAACACGATCCGAGCACTAGCGACCAGCCGCTGCTTCAGTTCTTCGGCAGCGTGCCTGACATCGGCAGGTGGTCTCCAAGCCGCGTTGATTTGATTCGTGGCTGTATCAATTCGCTGGTTGTCACAATTGGCTGCAAGCTCCGCGATCTGGGCGAGCAGCGCTATACATCGACCAGAGAATCCAAAGAAGCAGTCAATCTGGTATATCTCCTCGTTGTCTCGGTTGACGAGCCACTGTCCACTGCCGTCTTCCATATATGCACCGAAGAGGGGCTGCTCATTCCTGTTGGACAGACTTCCAAAAACGTCAAGATATGCAAACCAACGGGAGAGAAAGAATATTGCTTTGTAACGATCGCCATTAGCTTTCTGCGCCAAGTAATGGAGGCCCCCTTTCGCTATGATCAGGCGACGAGCCATCTGCAGATGGTGTTGCCACGGGATGCGAATGGAAAAGGTATTGGGAGTGACGATCTCGAGACTTGCCAGCATAATGGCGGCAGCGAGCGGAGCCAGTTCGGATATATCAGTAACGTCCGATATGCTGGGGGAGGACGGCTCGTCCAAAGCTTGCCGCAGCGCAGGGAGAACGTCTGACATCCAGCCAGCGATGCGATTTGCAGGCTCGTCATGGCCGAGGAGCCTGGCTCTGTGAGATGCAGAGAAGGCCAAGAGGAGATGCAACAGCTGTGTATTACGCACAGCCATGACAGGGAGGACATCTCGAAAGGGATTTTCGGGACAATCATGGGGAACCATCGCGCGGCCCGTGTGGTGGATGAAATGGTGAAAATATAGCAAGTTCATCTGGTTGCCGAGTAGCTCTGCAGGCAAGGGCTCCCACGCCCGAAGAATCTTGACGGGTACAGGCTGGGCATAGTACCCGCCAGGCTCGAAGGCAATCCGCGTGGCATCAGCCTCGTCACTCGATGTGCTGACCTCTGAAGCGGCCAGACTGGGACGACGTACATCCGTCGACCGAGGGAGCAAGACATGATAGTCATCGTTGAGTGGTATATCGAGATCCGGGAAGCCATGATCGTACCCATATAAGTGGTGGCAGTGGCTTTCCTGACGGACCAGCTTGAGTGGGTTGACCTGGTCTGTAGGTTCGGAAAGCAGGGACTTTACAGACAATCTACGATAGTAGGCCTGCTCTTGGAAGTGCGGACCTACCGATTGCGGTGGATGAGGGGAGTCGCAATTGATGCCGGTGCTGGGAGTGGCAGGGGTGTTGATGACACTGGTAATGCTGTGAGCAGCGGGGTGCGAGACAGGCGACCGTTCACTTCCATCTTGGTCCCGTTCCATCGACGAATCGCTCAGTCGCACACGCTTGACTTGGTGCTGAGGAGACCAATGAAACTCATCGCCTGCGGAAGCAGAAGTCGGGATGGATGGCTCGGTGAGCGTGGGAGACGGGCGTAGAGTGCCACTGGACGGCGCAAGCGGCTGTGGGGGATATGAGAAGGGGGAGCTGTACTGCAGTTGGGGATCGATCGTGGAGCTTTCGCGGTGAGTCGGAGCAGGATGTCTGCTGAAGGGTCGACTGGGAGCTGTCGAGATATGCTGGGCAGAAAAGATGTGTTCGTTGCCGCCGCCGCCGCCGACCCCACCACTGCCACCGCCGTTGCTCTGCGCAGTCACAAAGGTGATCTGACCTCCCTCGTTCGATGTGCCGTCCTTTCCTGCCTTCGATCTGCCGCCCCAGTTCTACCGTCAGAGCACAACCGTCAGTCCATGTCTCCAGACCACAGCGATTGCCAGCCCTCATACCAATTTCACAGAGTAGTCGCACACCTCGCCGGTCTTTTGGCAAGCACCGCATCGCGGGTGGTGTTCGTCGCACTGCTATGCATTAGCACTCTCCTGGGACTTGGCATGGCCTCGAATGACCTTGATCTTCCGCCTGCACACGTCAGCGACCGCATCCGGGAACCGTGTAGAGTGTGTCTCGTCATGACGAACTTCTTACAGCCCCAACAGCCAGCCCTACTGCGACGATGAGGCTTAGCGGAGTCTCCTTCGGCCGATGAGACCTTCTTTGCGCGAGGCATGGTCACTGTTGATCGTGCGGTGTGAGTTCATCGTTGGGGGCGGGCGGTGGATGGGGCTCATTCGGCGCGGACGGGTCGATTCTCTCTCTCGGCGCGTGGGAGTGAACAGCAGCAGGCAGTTCGCGTCGACGGCGGTACAGCGCTGGTGGGAGTATGAGGTAGTAGTGGAGGCAGGATGTGGAGGAGAAAGACGGCAGAGGTGGAGGGAGGGAGCGTGCCCAAGATTATTATTCCAGCCTGACGTTGCGCGGAGCTGTGAGCTGTGGGTCGGATGTCGTACGGGCCGCGGCCAGCTACATAATCAGCTATCTTCAGGTTCGTCAGGGCCAGTCAGGCCAGACTCGGGTCGTCGAAGCAGTGGCATCCCCGCGTGTTCACCAACTTCATCTGCTGTCCTGGACTCCTGGTCCCATCCCATGTTGTGATAACTCAGAATGGGGTCTGCCCTAAGCCAATTTTAGGGTCTGCCCTTAGCCCTGCCGTCGGTTCTGTGTGAATAGTGAATCCTCCACCACTTGCTCTCATACAGTAGGAGGTACCCTTATCCGATACGAACCACCCCAGTATCGCCATCGGCCTCGGCAATGTCATACCCGATCTGGACTCTGGAGTGCCGAAGGCGATGGTCACGTGATATCACGATGTCATCGCTCATCTTTTCTCAGCGCCGAGTCTTCACAGCCAACACCACACCACCGCCCCGACCCATCGAAACGCCGAAACGACGAGACGACGAGACGACGAGACGACGAGACGACGAGACGACGAGACGACGAGACGACGAGACGACGAGACGACGAGACGACGTGACTAAGAAACGACGAGAGAATGGCTCCGAAAAGGACGGCGTCAGCCATCCTACTGCACTCCCTCGGCCTCGTATCATTCGCCTACTCGTTCAGGCATCTGGTTAGCAATCCCAATCCCGTGAACGATTCATATGGATGGCATTTCCAGTTCTTGACCATCCTGGGACTTGCTCTCGCAACAGCCACTTTTGTCGTGGGCCTCCTCGCAGACTTGACCGTGTCGCACACACTGTTCTCGATCAAAAATGCTCTGAGCATGGCGAGCGCTCCTATGGAGTGCCTCATCAGCCTTTTATACTGGGGCCTCCGAGCGGTATGTATCGGGAAAGAGATCCGCCTGGAACCGTAATACCCTGCAAACCGCAACTGCGAGCTGTTGAGTGCTCGCCTCGGTAGCTCAGGCCACTGACTTTGTCCTGCGCAGATCGACCCGAAACTCGTCTTACCTGACTGGGCGCCCCCGCTGGCATTCGAAGCAGATCTGTCGTTTCACGCCGTACCCGCCATTGCCCTCGCACTCGACCTGCTCTTCTTTTCCCCGCCCTGGACGATAACCTTTCTCCCCGCCCTCGGGCTCAGCGGAGTTATAGCTTTTGGCTATTGGTTCTGGATTGAAAGATGCTATCAGTTCAATGCCTTCTACCCCTACCCGGTGAGTGCCAATGCAAGGAAATGCGGTTTGAGATATGTGCTCATCATATGCGCCCCAGATCTTCGACCTTCTGTCCACCTCCCAGCGAATCGGCCTCTTCGCCGGCTCCGCACTCATGATGGCGCTCTCGACGGTCGCACTGACATGGCTGTACTCTGTGGTCAATGGGAAAGACGTAAAAGATGTAGTTGCAGAGGGTGTGACGAGGCCGAAGCGCGGGAATGCGAAGGGAGAATAAGCAGTCAATGAATGTGGCGGGTGTGTCAGTACGACATGACCGAGCAAACGATTCTTGTGCTGGGATTTCGCGCTGACCGAGGGATAAAATGCGACAGTCGCCGACGAACGAAGCGGCATCAGATGCAGGATCGGGCCAGAGCATGTGCCTCGAGTGACTTCTCATGGTTTCCAACTAATGGGTAAGTAATGGGGCACGTCGAAAGTCATGTCGAGTCAGCGATCTGAACAAAATCGAATCGCCGCTCACGAGCACAATGACGATGCACGATACCGAACAAGGACACAGCCTGCTCCATTGGGCCACTCCATCTGGCTTTTTTAACATTCTCGACTTCGTCGTTCACAAGATGCGTCCAGATGGTCGTGCTACAAGAACCATTTCTCATTGTGGCATACGCAAGATGTCGGGGTTCTGAGGACTTTGTGAAACTCCTCAGAGGTACGGTACTCATGGTCGTGAAGAACTTCCAGGGCCTGCACAATCGCCCATACTCAGCGTGGACGGCGTTGAACGCTGGCTGAATGGCTGCTCATCAGTTGGAGCCTCCAGCCGTACGCACTGCCTCAGCAAGATCAAGAACTGGTTTCCGTGGCCTAACTACACGCCAGCAACGCTCAGGCTGATCTTTGAACCCATACGCAATGGCGAGCTTGAAATTGAGCATTTCGCCCATCAGCTCGGTGCACCGCAAGTGTTTAGACGGCCGGCTGTGGTTAGTGTAGATGCCGGCCGGCGACCTTCAAGGTCGCAGTGGCGTTCACCTATGTCTGGCATAGGTCCTCGACACTGCCTTCGCAAGCAAGCTACGCCATACGCATTTGACCTCACGTCAAGCTTGTCACAGACTTGCAGCTTGAATCCAACTGAGATGGTACTGCAGTCGGTGACCCAGGGTCAGTGTGCTGGCGCGCTGTGTTCTTGTTCTGGCCACATGCTTGTCTTCGAGAAGGCAGTCTGATTGAGAACGTTGCGGCCCAATATCTGCATGGCACTCTCATCGTCCGGCCTAGGAACACGTGTTTCAGGTAGGTGTTGCACGAACTGGCCTACCTGCAGGAACGCAAAGCCACTCACCACCACCTTGATCGGATCAGCGAGGCGATTGCTTCAAGAGGAGGGCAGGCTCAACGACGTGGACTTGTTTCATTGTGCAGACTGGACAGACTCTAACAAATCCAAACGTCGTATGCGATCATGGACGTGGGTACAATATCCATCAACGGATCATTCGAGCAGCTTTACACAACTGGCCAACCGCTGCTCCAGTTGATCTTGTTCCAGCCAAAGCGTTTGTCTCCATCCGCATATCCAATCGAGGTATCCACATAGTGATAGACAAGGACCCAGCCATTCTTCGGATCGTTGTAAACAGATTGCCCTCCGGGACCATACACCCTGTCGTGCGACTCGAGCACGATCGTACCACCACCAGAGGTACAGCTTGCCCCCGACTTGTCGACCTGGATGATGTCAGTCTTTCCCCTTGTGAAATGCAATGTTATGATGTGACTTACGAAGCCACCGGTCGCTGACGATGAACGACACACTTTGATCTTGTATTCCTTGCCAGCCGCAGGTCGAGTCTTGTCGTAGCCACAGCAGGATCCCCACGAGAAGAACAGATAATAGTAGTTCCCATACTTGACCATATACGCTCCCTCCTCTGGCGACCCATCGGTAGGGGTGTAGGCAATATTGACCGAAGTCGACCCCGAAGCGACGCCTGTTGGAGGACTCTTCATTTGCACCTGATAGATGTCATGCCAAAAGCTGCCGAAGTTCAAACGGTACGTCGACCCGTCTTTGAACAAATTCGCATCAATTGCATTGTACGGTTTTCCCGCTACGGAGGAAACACCCGCACTGCCCCGATCATTGAAGCTCCCACAGCTCATATCCGGCGAAGTCGCAAGTCCAATCCCACTGACCTGGCTCCCAAACGACGACACGCTATAATAGACATAATACGTGCCATCCACGAGACTCACATCCGGAGCCCACAGATCCGTTCCCGCGTTGCTTCCTTTTTGCACTTTGGCAGCCGTGTTCAACATGGTACAGGCAAAAGTCCAAGGTCCGGAAATGTCGGGGGCCGTGTGGATTTGGATCAGACCTCCTGTGGCGAATTTGAAATATTTTCCATCGCTGCTGCGTCGGATGATGGACGGGTCGTGTGAGTTGGTGCAGGTGCCTGTGCAGGCTTCTGGGTTGGCGTAGCCTGCTGCTAAGGGGGATAGAGCGGAGAAGAGGGTGAGGAGGGAGAAAGGTTTGGACCACATCTTGTTGGAGAGAAGAGGAAGTCAAGAATGAGGGAGGGAGGGTGTGTCGGGATACGACTCTCAAGAGAATACGAGCCGAGACGGGATGGGATGGAATGGGATGGAATGGGGGAGGTGGTGATGGGACCCATTATACAAGTACAAGAAATGGTAATCTACCTACTACTGCTACAGTACTCCCGTTCTACCAATCTACGCGACTAATCCATCTCGGCGAAAGAACAAGCGAAACGACATATGAAAGGGTACCACTAAAGACAAGCCATGTGCGTACATGCGTGCGTGCGTGCGTGTGCGTCGCGTGGCGTGGCGGCGCACGTATCAATAGTTCACTTCGGTTCACAAGTGATTAGTAGGGAAAAAAACAACCTGGGACGACGTATGTATGTCCGTCCATGGGATAGGATAGGAGGTCAGGTACATGTACCTGGTACAAACTGGACTGATGGAAACACAAGCGTCATCCACATAAAGTTGTCACTGGACCCTCACCTGCCTAATATGGGTCTGTAGCCCGTTTCAAGCTGATTGACGTTAGAGGGTATTCTTCTCGCTTGGCTCGGTTTTGAGAGGATGCCAAGTATTGTAGTTGATATATCACTGGTGGAATATCGACGACGACTATTTGAAAAGAAGAAGAAGAAGAAGATGGTGAGATATTATGTACTTTTAGATGTATTTTTTCCGAAAGCTTGTTCGTTTATGAGATCTAATCAATCAAATCACACTTGAAGAAGAGAAAGAGAAATCGGTCAGCTGAACTTGTTACTGTACCTTAGTTGGTGAGGTCCGCTGGCTGGCTGGCTGGCTGGTTATCTAGCGGCGCGGGATGGAAAAAAAAAACGGGGTCGTATGTACTACGTTGTACCGTTACAGTACAAGCGGCCAGCGGCAGCGAAGGACCTGTAGTGATTGAGGGAGAATCTCGGGCGGTATATTGTGGTATAGCTTGCCGTTATCCGGTGTACCCTATCGATCGGCCCTATCCGAACGGCTGGCTGGCCGGCCGGCCGGTCCGGATTGTTCGATTGATTGATAGAGGTACCTGTATGTTTGTTGGAAATTATTCCGTCTATCCGTCGTGGCCCTCTCTCTCCCTCTCTCTCTCTACCTATACCCCCTACCTCCTACTACAAGCAGCAGTGATGTGCGTGTAAGCAGTACTTAGGGCTGACAATGCATACGGGGGCTCGAAGCGAAGAGGGCTCGTTACCTGACGCGCTCCGATTCGCGTAATTTCCAGATTTTTTCGTGGAATGATTGGTGGTATATCTCAAACGAAACATATTCTCTTTGTTTTGAGTTTCCTTTCTAAAGAAGATCGGTTAGTAGGTTTTATCTGATACTCGGGTACCAGGTCCTACGTCAGCTCCTCAGTACGAGAAAGCACTCTCCGACCGCTAAATGTTTGTGGTATAGTATACTAGGCATACGAGTTACCCTGAACGAGAATAGGTTGCTAGAGCTTAGGGCGTATGCGGCCTTGTTGACTATGTCGAAGAATATCATACAGTAGGACATATAGAGAAACTTATACGGAATGGAGCTAGGTAGGTTGTATCATTGTATGTTCGGAGAGCAGGATTTCGGATCCGTTTTGGATTAACGACAACAACCACAGTACCACAGTACACTGTACCACTACCAGAGATGCGGCATTATATCCGAAACTAGATATCGATCGAGTCCTCGGATTGTCTAAAACCTGCCACCCGGGACCGTGTCAGGTGTTCTAGACCACTTACGGGCTGTCCGATGCCAAGGATACAGTACCATCTGCTGCTCTGCCACTAGGAGAGGTGTAGGATGCTTCTTTCTCAATCGAGCAGGTGAAGGTCGAGCGGGCGGAGGAGGCGGATGCGTGACGAGCTGGAAGGGCTTGGCGAGTTGCAGTAGAATGGAACGTGGAAGTGCTGGGCGTATACCGGAGAATCAGGTACATCTCGGTCAGGTAGAGGAATCCCGTCGGGCCGTGAATAAATGTTCCGGCCTCAGGGCCTCAGGCTCAGCGGAGCAAGGAGGAATTATTTGCGTCCAGTCGTCCACTACACCACACCTCCCTCTCCCTCTCTCACTTTCACTCTCACTCCCACTTCCACTCTCCGCACATCTTCTTCCACAATTTCCCATTTCCGCCACGACCAGCCCGCATCCTAACACCTCGCCACGAGAGGGATGATGCCTTGCAGCATACGGGACCTGTGATGGCGATGGCGATGGCGGAGAGACGGGACCACTCACCACTCACCACGGACTGATGACTGAGGCCAGCAATGATGAAGCGCCTTCACGGTGAGTCCCGCGTGCGTGGGTGGTGTTGATGTGACAGGGAACGCTGCATACACGTACCTAGGTAGGTAGTTGGAGCTTGAGGACCTGGTCACACCTTGCAGGCAGAGACGGTAGCAATATCCGAGGCATTGACGACTACCACCACCTCGATCTCCTATCCTCCTGTCCCGCCCCACCCTGACAGTAACGTGTCACGCACAACACACAACATACAACATGGCAGAGTACGACTACATCATATGCGGCGGTGGCACTTCTGGCTGTGTGGTTGCAGCCAGGTTGGCGGAGGAGCCTCATGTGCGAGTGCTGTTGATTGAGGCCGGGGAGCACAACAAGGACCTCGAGAACACTCGCATGGTAGGTGGATGTGCTCAACTAATCGGCACCGCACAAGATTGGAACTTCAAGACCGTGCCGCAGAAGCATGCGAACGACAGAGAGATCGAGCTTCAACGAGGCAAGTTTCTCGGAGGCTCCAGCGGCGTCAACGGCACCCTCTGTATCCGTGGCTGCAAGCAAGACTTTGATGATTGGGACCTGCCGGGCTGGTCTGGCGAGGAAGTCTTCGAGGCCATGAGGAGGACGGAGACATTTCATGACAAGGACTGGTTCGAGGCTGCGGGCGGAGCACACGGTCGTCAAGGCCCTCTGCATACGGAGCCTCATGACCTTGCGCCCATATCGAAGCTCGTCCTGCAATCTATGCAGTCGAAAGGTTTGCAACTCGATCACGACATGTTCTCGACCGGCGATACGGCCCATGGTTGTGGACATGTGCCTCGAACGCACTACCGGGGACTACGGACCACTGGTGCAGATTTCATTACGAACGAGAACCACCGTGATACCATTGATATCGTCGTCAACGCGACTGTTGATAAGGTCAACTTGACTGACACCTCACATGGCTGGCGAGCGACGAGTGTGGATGTTGTGCTCGCTGACGGGCAGCGGAAGACTTTCGTTGCCCATCGAGAGATCATCGTGTCTGGTGGCTCCTACTGCACTCCTGCAATTCTGATGCGATCCGGTATAGGACCACGCCAAGAGCTCGAGAAGAACGGAATATGCTGCAAAGTGCCCTCTCCCGGGGTGGGCCGCAACCTGCAGGACCACTTGATCGTCTTCACCTTCTACGAGGTGTCCGAGCCTGGTCTGACCACTGACGAAAAGATCTGGCACGGCAATGCTTTGGCCAAGAGTTACGCGAGTTGGAAAGAAGACAAGTCCGGATTCCTTTCGACATTCCCGTTTGGCGCATTCGCCTATGCTCGCCTCGATGATCGGCTCCATGACGCGGATCTCTGGCAGCGAGCTCGTGCTGACACTGCTCCTAGCCGCGATCCCATGGGGCTCACCACTAAACAGCCGCACGTGGAGTACTTTAATACAGAATGTTACGCGGGCCCTCGGTTCTATGATCAACGACCCGTGAACGGCGAGCATGCGTTTGCCATGATCACCGAGCTGTTCTCGCCACGGTCACGAGGTACAGTGACGCTGAATTCAAAAGACCCACTCGACAATCCAGTCATCGATTGCAATTACCTCGCGGACCCTCTCGATGTATTGGTACTTGCGGAAGGCGCTCGTCTGGGCAACGAGATCATCATGAATGGCGAGAGTACGAAGAGTGTCGTGAAAGGATCATGGCCAGGTGAGTGGTGTCTGTGTTGCGCTGGCGGCTCACATATGTCGACGCGCGTGCCTAGAGTCGTCGTAATGCCAATGACCGGTGTCTCTGACGCTTTCATAGCTGATCTTACCCACCATACTTACAATAGTCGTGAGGACTGGGTTCCACATGTGAGGCAGCATGCCACAACTTGTTATCACCCAGCGGGCACCGCAAGAATGGGTAAGGCAGGCGATGAGTTTGCAGTACTCAACGAGAAACTGCAGGTTCGTGGAGTGCAAGGTCTACGTGTAGCTGACTGCAGCGTGATGCCAAATCTGCATGGCGGGCATACACAAATGGTCGCATACGCCATTGGCGAGCGGGCGGCTGATTTCATCAAGCACGACGGGGATGAAGTGAACGACTGCGTGTGTCGTATAGACAGTGTCCAGGATGTCAAATGCTGATCTGTAGGCGGCCCAGCCGGCATTCAGTCAGCTTGACCGGAGCACACTCGAGAACATCTTGACAAGCTTCACGGGCACAGTGGTATATGTAGAGGTTGACGGGTGTTTCGGGCCTCTCGGCAATGGGACAAAGCTGGAGCATCTGCTAATGGACTTTGACGGAATGGCAGTGAACTGTCGGGCCCTTCAGAGGTGTGGGCAGCCGAATGAAGTGAAGGCAGCAGAGTTGATACTCTCTGAGCTGATATCTGCATAGGAATGATTTCATTGCCATCCTTATCGTAAACGTTTCTACATACTAGTTCGACACCTTCGCCTTGCCATCCTGGCCGACAACACCTCTGCACATCAACTCGGCTGTGGATGGTGGGTAGATATCCGGGAAAGCCACATCTTTGCAGCCCGGGATGGTCTGATCGATGGGTGGTAGAAGTTCGCCAAATGTCCATGGAGCCCTCTTGTCTTCGGCGCTGCGGCGCATCACGCCCTCGGGGAGGCCTCTGCAACGCATTTCCGCGGCGGAAGGTGGATAGACGTCGGGAAAGCTGACGCCCTTGCAGCCTGGGATGTTTTCATCGATCGGAGGAAGAGCAATGGCGCGGCGGTCGACTTCGTTGATGCCTCTGCAACGCATCTCCGCAATTGTGGGTGGGATGGTGGGAGGAAATGTCGCGCCCTTGCATCCCGGGATGGATTCATCGATTGGTGGGAGCCCTTCTGGCGGCATGAATGTTCTCCGTGGCTGGATCAGAGGAAGAGCAATGTCGCGGCGGTCGACTTCGTTGATGCCTCTGCACCGCATCTCCGCAATTGTGGGTGGGATGGTGGGAGGAAACGTCGCGCCCTTGCATCCCGGGATGGACTCATCGAATGGTGGGAGCCCATCTGGCGGCATGAATGTTCTCCGTGGCTGGTGGAAGATATATGTCAGCACCCCTGTCTATCCCCGTTCGTGGCTCTGAGATCGGAAAAAGAATGTACGAACCACAAGGTCCGCGGTTGGTAAGGCATTGCTGTTAGCTACGCACAAGGCCAAGAGGGCCGCGGAGGAGGATGAAAATCTCATTTTTCTTTGTTGTTTTTGGTTGGTCTGGTCTGTAGTTGATGAGTGGGTGAGTGAATGGGTGGTAAGTCAAGACTCTTTGACTGAAAGTGACGATCTCTCCCTTCTTCCCCCTTCATTTATATATATATATATCACATGGTGTCGCCATGTATGATTGATCTCCATCATGATCATCATCATCAAACATTGCACCACCACGTTTCTTCTTGTCTCTCACGTGGCGCGCTGGATGTTCTAGTCTGGTTCTACGAGGTAGCGCCAAAGCTGAATCCATCCATCGGTCTTACTGTCTTACACCACTCGAACTGCGAAGGCAGCGAATCAGTTTTCCTTGACCTAGCTTCGCACATCGATTTTACACGACTCGGACTGCGAACCCCCATTGTTTGCCGTTTTTCAATTCCCCTAGCTACAGTAAGGTAGCTCCAGTATGTACACTACTCTCCCAACTTCCTTAGAAAGAAAACAAGAAAAAGCCGAATAGACAGAGAGAGAAAGTTCTTTCATCATGTCCCCTACGAGCCACGTGCCCGCCACGCTTTCCTGAACCACGCTTTTTCTAGGAAGAATATCGGATTTGTATCGGACCGAAAAGTAAACGACGATGAGAATGGATAAAAACAAAAAAAAAAAAAGTGGCGACACGCTTTCTTCACGGAATCCACGGATAGAGGCTGGCTGGCTAGGCCGGAGCTTGGCGATGATGGGATGATGGGATGATGGAACGATACCTACCTACCGGACACTTTTTTGAAGAAGACTTGAAGTTCGTATTCCCGGGGAGGGAGGGAAGGAGGCAAGGGAAGGGAAAAGGACGGGGTTTAACGGAGGAAGGAGATTTTATTTTGGCGGTTTCGCGGGATGTACGGGAACTGGTTAAAATGGTGCTAGTAGTGGTAGTCGTAGTAGCAAGGTAGTACTCAACCAAGGAGAGAGAAGGGGGGATAAGAGGAAGGAAGAAAACGGCTATCGTAGTACGCATCAGCTATATAGATTGCTCATACATATTTTCCACCGATTTCTGGTCTGCCAGCGCGAGAAGAAGATCAAGTTCTGTAGAAGTGAATTTTGTGAATATTACAGTGTGCAAGTCGGGCAGTGCACGACTTGACTCCCTATTCTTATCTTCCTCGTCAATGCAGCTGGATCTGCCTTGCCAAAGATGCTTGTTTGGAGGCGTCAGACTTGGACAAACATGAAATGGCTGCACGACATGAGCGCCCAACCAGCCTTTTGGACACAGAAGATGATGACCCGTTAAATTGGTCTCGGGTACGCCATGCGAAAGTGGCATTTAGAAGCCCTTCTTCAACTTCCCTCCGGTACTCGAGCACGTGAACGACATGTGGCAGCACGAACGTGACCTCCATCCGTCCCAGCTCCACGAGCCGTACTTCACGCATCGCTCATATGAAGCTTTTTTCCCCAGCGAGTAAGGCGAGGAACAGGCAACATGATGATGCTAGCTGGTGTGGTATGACAATCATCCATCCCATCGCCGATGTTGTACCGCTGTGGAGAATAGTTGGTCATTCGCGGTAATACAGCTAGTTGATGCTCCGAGGGCGAAGAAAGCCATGTGGCACTCCTCTTGATTGATTGGTGTTCCTTCCCACGACGATCGGAGAGGGCTCGAAATCTCGTGGGATGTGAGCAGAGCTTCCCCTCTGGAGCGATATGCTGGGCGAAGCATGTACATTATGCTGGCGGCGTTTTTTCGTGTTCGTGGGAAGGCCGTTCCCCATCGTCCTGTCCTCTCCTGTCCTCTCCTGTCCTGTCCTGTCCTGTCCTCTCCTATCCTTCTACCACAATCACCCTCCAATCAAAAATCTCACTTCCCCTTAAATCCAGTCAAACTCTTAACCTCACCCTCCAAACCCTTCAACTCCTCCAGCTTCTCCTGCTTAATTTCGATACTCTCCAATTTCAGCCACGTCCAATACAGCACCTGGAAAGTAGCCATAGCAATCAGAAAATTCCGCGCCACAGGACGTCCCATTCCGCCTTGCTTATATACCTCGCGATGAGGGTTGCGCTTCTCGGTGGTGGGGAGTGCTTGCGTTTGGTCTGGAGCTTGGTATGGTGCTGGTTGCTGCTGTGCCCGGAGCGGCAGACTTTGCGAGGAGAAGAGGCGAGATGATGGCCGTGGAGCGGGCCATGACCAGAGGGTGCGCTGGAGGGATGGGCGGAACATGGCTATTGATGGATGCGGTGGGTTGGTGAGTCTGGTTGCTACGTGTCGACGGTGTCGTGTCGTGTAGAAGAGATGTAGCTCTACCTATCCATGCACTTACGAGAGGTTCGCGACGCCGATATCGGCGAAGACTTTCACGAAAACACAACAACACTTTCTCCAAGATACAGGTATCAAGGGGTACCGTTCTATACCGCAGACCACCTCCACCTCGAGGATACATCTTGCTCGTACGATGCCTGTCTGGTCAGCGATTTCTGCAAAAGAGTAGCTCCAAGGATGCTGATCATGGTCTGGAAGACTGATTTGACGCTATTGATGACCGTTCTACCTCATCGGCACCAACATCAGCGACAAGACGAATGTGTATTCGGTCAAATGAGTGGCTCGGTCTCAGCCCTGCTCGATAAAGCTAGGTACTCAACAATCTCAATACCGCACGAGAAGACATGAATGAGCGACTTGAGCGGCCAAAGCGACTCTCCCATGCCCGGCTGTGTTTTCATATCTGACTTGTTGCCTCACAGAAGATCCTCACCATGTCGTACCAATCCATGACCTCCTCCAAAGGCCCACATCGACGAGTTCCATTCACTCAATCCCCCTTCTCCCCTGCCATTGCCACCTCTGGCTACTTTCCCGTATTCAGCAGTTTGAGTAAAGGGGTGGCCGAGCGCTGGTGTCCTTTCGATAGAGCGAAGACAGTCCGTTTGGCGCCGTGTACCTCACATATCCACCCTTGTTGCTGCGACGGCATCTGTTGTAGATCCTGTTGCAGACGCTGCGCTGGCCGGTGAAACGCGACGACGAGCATCGATCGCTGTTGCAAATGAGGAATACGGCTGAGCGGTAAGTATAGATGTAACATCGAGCGCGGGTGCTACTGTAGGCAGGAGGTAGCGTGACTGATGTTGGTACCGTGCCGGAGCAAAGCCGTCCCGTCTCGTAGGAAGACGGGACACGGTTGGCGCATATGACGGGGCCAGCGACCGAGTCGATGTCAAGTGGCACGGTGCTGTTGTCAGGGTCGCCGTCGTCGAGATCAAGCGAAGCACCAAGTTCTTCGATGACTGCCTCGCGCTTTTCCGTCTTTTCCAGCATTTCCATGAAGCACACAGCGCCGCCATCGCCAGTCTCGGTTCCTCGGGCAACAATGGTATCGCAATGCACGATCTTGGACTCGACATCGCCATAGATGGCAGCCCCGTAGGTAGCCAGGAAAAGGCTGGAGAGGAGGAGTACCTTAGCTGGTAGGGAAGGTGCCATTCTGAACGAGTCTGTTGAATTCTTGCGATGATTGAAGGTCGGCTTCGATGGTAGAGTCCTCGCACGAGAGTAGAACTTCTACCTCTTCCGGCGTCTTGTTCAAGATGTGAGCGATCTGGTCCAGTGTGAGAAGCACTTGACCAATGCCGGGAATTGTGAGTAGCACGGCGGGCTGACCGGGCTGGGACTCGGCTTCGTGGTTGGAGGTGACGGTTGACGATTGAGGTTCCTCTTCTTGAGTGCGATGAGAGTCTCGTGGCTGTTCGCTGGCCATCGACGTGAGGATGCTCTGCTCGAGCAGGAAAGTGCGGATGTTGTTGGGTGGCTTTATAGATGTGTGGGCGAAGTTTCGAAAGTAGGGAGCTGAGCAATCACGGGACCAGTGCGTCGTAAGAAGTCCAGTTTTTCGTCGGTGGTCATACCATAACAAAGAAACGAGGGCGGGTGAGTGAAACGTGGAATCAGAGATCTGTCACTGTCGCAGTGGCATTGAGCTACCTTTGACCGGTGAGTGAGAAATCAATCGTAGCTTTAGCTACCACGCGGGCTGAGATCAGACACTGGCCTATGAGTACGGTCACTCGGGCGCAGAAGGTGTTTTTTGATGACGGCGAGATGGTAGAAGGTCGCCTCGGACTGGTCACCGCACTATCGCATGGTTCTTTGACGAATATACAAATACGAGCCTTGTGTGTTCCTGTACCTTACTGTATTCAGTAATGTACATGTACTCAGTTCAGCCGTAGCAGCAACGAGTCTGTCGCAGGGTCTGTGACGTACACCTAACTCCTAAGGTAGGTACTCACCTGGCTTCACCTCTGCCAATATGCCCCGGTTGGCTCAAGGTAGTGAACAGGTAGGTATCAGCGTAGACATAGGTATTTGCAACCGTCCAGGTCTTGTGCACTACAACCTGGCAAGTAAGCAGCGATGAGCGTATTATTGGTCTACTGCCGTTGCACAGAGGTAGAGCAATGGACGCACCACATACAACAAGTAGATAGACTCAACACTAAGGTAGGTAACCAGCCTCGACATTACCCATGGCTCATATTTGAAGGCAACTAGCCGTGTTTCTCCGGTATTCCCTAGTTCTAATTCCAGAAGACTCGATTCTCCCTCCGCAATCGATCAAGAAGAAGAAGAAGAAAAAGAAGAAGAGCACGATCTATAAAAGTCCCCGATTACCTACCTTACCTACTTTACATCCATCCATCCATCCATCCATCCATCCCTATCTAGGCATAGAGTCAAACACAAAAGACATACATGCCATATACTAAAAGTAAGTAACGCAGACCACATGCACATGTACTCCCCAATTATGTCCGCATCTTAACGCAAAAGTGAGAAATTCAGCTCTTGAGAAACATGCCTACCTTGACTATTGCATCCTTCGAGTCCGAGCTACAAGACGTGCTTGGAATTCTCAGTCGGCTGATATGAATAAGCTCGCCTGTGAGCTCAGCTCAGCGATAGTCTCATTGTTAAACAGACGGAGTCGCCGAAAGCAATCGGTCGATACCTTAGAGCAGTAAGGTAGGCACCTTGAAGTTGTGTCGAACGTAGAGTTATCACCAAGCAGGATATCTCGTTCGCTAAGGAGGTAGGTACTTTTGCGAGGCGCGTCTCTTGTCTCAAAGTGGATATGGCGGAATCGATATCTTCTGTCGAGTGTCGAGGAAAGCACCAAGTTACCAGTGCGCGCATCTACCTTTCTTAAGATGGTGCGTAACCAATACATGTACATACGTACTGCGTAAGGATACCGCGGTATTTGATCTGGAGATCGGACGACTGTGAGGCCTACCTAGGTATGCAAGCACTCTCGCCGCAGAGTGCGCTTCACAACTTAGGTGATGTGAGGAGGCTGGAAGTTGAGACGACGAAGAAGCCGGACGCGACTACGTGATAGGGATTTGACACAGCTCGGGATCGTGAGTGTCGACTTCCTCTATCAACACGCAACCATCAGTTTGGGGCCTCAAGGTCCTCTATTGCCTCCTGCCACCATGACGGCGAGTTCTGGGGCCTGTGCTGGCTTGACCATAAGTTCTGCTTTACGAAAGCCTTCGTAGTCACAGGTAGTCCACTCCGCCGCAGGCGTTCTAGAATGTTACCCTGATGCGAATAGCAGACATCAGCGTCTCGGCTATCATCTGCCCATTCGAAGGGTCGGCAATCAGCCGACTAGCTCGACGCAAAGTGTTCCGGACAGCGAGCTGAACGCATCACTTCTTTTTGCCGAAACCAAGAAATTTCTTCATCCGCTCTTCCACATTCCCCCTGTCTGCCCCAGCGGCCTCTTTCTTCTCGGGCTTATTCATCGCAGCTTTGTGATCTTCCTGACCTTGTGCCTGTTGAGTCGCTAATTCCACCTTGAGCTCGGTTGCTTTGCTCCGATATTCTTCCTTGAGACTCGGGCCCTGCCGGGCCTGGGTCGAAGCCTCAGGAGACCACACAAGCGTAACAAGCACTTTGCCACGGAAGCCAAAATCACGAACCAGCTTCTTTTGGCTGTTCCTCGGCAGACTGATCATCAGGTTCTTGTCGCCATAAAACTTCAGATCGAAAGGCTCTGGCGCCTGAGCGAGCGTGTTCTGAACAACCGCGTACAGGTCTGCAGCAGTTTCGGTATGCTGGACAGGTGTTTCGATGATGCTCTGGTCGGGGTACTTGACACGAACAGTGACCGTCTGGATTCGAGAGAGCTCTGCTTGCTTTGCTGCTTCTTGCTCTTCGAGTTCCTTGTCGGATGCGAGTTTCTTGTTCTGGCCAAACTTCTGCAGCGATGCTTGCAATGCCCTCGCCTGATCGATGCTAGGCTCAAAGTGCGAAGGGTCATGTGGCACAAGAGCAGCAGCCGGGGTTGTGGAGGTGGAAGGATGGAACACGGCGATGCCATTTACGATATTTGATGCAGCTGGAGGAGGAACGACTCCTTTCTGAGGAGGCTGAGCAGAATGGTCTGAGGGCTGGGGATCTGTGTATGAGGAGGATGCTATCACGTCATTTTCGACGGCCTATCAAGTACATCAAGTCAGTACGTTCTCTGAATGTGTGTAATCGATCCAATGAGGCTGTCCTTCCTGCACATGTTTTGCTTACCTCTGCTGTAGGGCCATCTTCCATTGGCACATCGCGTGGTTCAACTGGATCTTGGCCAGCATCACCTCCAAGCGGCACGTCGGGCGTCCCGGTCGTGGTATCAGGAATGCTCGTGGTGCCGTTGACAGGAGTCGCGTGAGCACCATCACCACTCCCTGTTGTGCTATGAACGCTCTCGGCATCGCTGAAATACTGACCAATTTCCTGCATGGCTTCCTCGAGTGGCTTCCCGCTGGGCTTGTACGTCAGTCGCATCATGGTACTGCCACTGACGCCAATTTGTGCCAGAGTTTTCTGCAGGTCTGTGAAGCTCTCCAATGTTCGCCCCATGACATTCAGACATGGCTGTTCGTACTCCAATCTTCCTGCGCCGGAGCCCACATTCGATGGGGTGGCACGCTGTGTGATGTTAAGCTTCTGTGATTGCACTCCTCCCGCGACAGCATCCTCAAACTTGCGCAACACCAGCCACAGACTCGTAGTGCTAGGAAACTTGTCTTGCAGACGCCGCCCTCCTTCACTTTCCGGTAGCTGTAGCGCCACATTGACCACACTGGCTGATCGACTCCCTTGCACCAGTTGCAGCCGTGCACCCGACGCAAGGCCTGATAGCCTGAAGGGTTGTGATAGATCCAGCGTCTTCTTTCCGTCGTTCACCTTCAGCAAGTACGACTCGGGATTCAGCTTCTTCTTCCTGCATGCCTCTTCCAACACTTCTCGGAGGTAGGTCCCAGGCGTCACCTTGATCAAAGTCTTTTGGAAGGTCGAGTCAACCACGTACACGCTGCTAGCCATGTCGTTCGCCCTCTTTTTCTCTCTCGTTCTCGCTGTCTCTCTATCTCTCTCCTCAAGGCTGCAGTGGGTCCAGCAGAAATCCGTCTCTCTATCGCTCTCTTCAAATCCAAAGCTGCAGTGGGTCCAGCACAAACAACGCGGACGCGTTAGCGGTTGTGATTCTTCTCGCGTAGCCGGCTTCTGATCCTGACAATGGACTCGTAGAGGTAGTGGGTCAACTTGCGGCCGATGGACCAGACGACTGGCGCGTAGTAGATGTAGCTCAAGGCGACGACGATAAGGCGTTCGGGTTTAGTCAGATGGAGGGTAGCTAGGGGGAAGTCCGAGGGCATGCTCCCGAGTCTGCGTATCGGTGTCGAGATCGTTCCTCGAAGTGGTTTGTAGCGAGTTGGTCTGGCCGTGGAGGGGAAGATGGGAAAGATAGACCTCTGAGAGAATGGCTGTGTCAGCAGTTCGATGTGTTTCCACCCGCATCACGTAGACAAACTGCGGGAAGCCCCACCACCTACCTTACCCCATACTACCAGGTACTTCATGTCAGTGACAACAACCACATACCATTGAGAGGGCCTGTCAAAACACACTAGCAGACACGATGATCGTCGACATCTCCTCGCCGCAGCACTTCTCGTCCGTCCTCTCGTCGTCGCGCGTCGTCGTCACCGACTTCTGGGCAACATGGTGTGGCCCATGCAAGATCATCGCCCCAGCCTTTGAGGCTCTGGCAAGCCAATTGAGCAGACCGGGCAGCATCACCTTCACCAAGGTCGACACCGACGCCCAAAAAGACATTGCCCGCACCTACAACATCTCCGCCATGCCTACATTTCTCATCTTCAAAGCTGGTCGTGAAGTCAAGCGCATCAAGGGCGCCGATCCCAAGGGTCTCAACGACGCGATCAAGCAGATCGCCCTGGAGGCACAGCAGAGTGATGCCGGAGCGGGAGCAGGGAGTGCAGAGGCAGGCCCCAGCAATACCACGGGAGGAGTGTGGTGTGGTCTAGCGGGGCCAAAGGCGTACAGAGAAGTCACAGAAGAGGTCGACATCAAAGGATTGGACTTTCTGAACGTGGATGGCGAGTCGGGGGATCGGAGATCTGTCTTCGAGTCTTCGCCGCCCAGCTCACTGGGGAAGGGCAAAGCATCAGAAAGCAGCAAAAAGGACTGGATTGAGTCGGACACGGACGAGCAGCTCATGCTCTACATTCCCTTCCAGTCGACCCTCAAACTTCACAGCCTACAAATCACGTCATTACCCGGTGAGGAGACGACACGGCCACGAACACTCAACCTCTATTCAAATCGGAGCCATGTAAGCGCACCAGTCGCCGCAAGGCATATTCTCGTCTGAAGTCATCTACTGACGTACAGGCTTAGGTTCTAGGGTTTGACGAGGCAGAAGACACGCCCGCCACTCAAAGTGTGGAAATCAAGGACAGTGATTGGGACGAGCAGACACACACGGCCAAGGTGGAGCTGCGCTTTGTCAAGTTTCAAAACATTAGCTCCATCACCATTTTCGTGGCAGATGGGCAGGGCGATGAGGAGAAGACGAGGATTGACCGAGTGCGATTGTTCGGGGAGAGTGGTGAGAGGAGAGCGATGGGCAAGCTGGAGAAGGTGGGAGATGAGCAATGAGAGCAAGTGAAAGATTCCGTGCCGTTGAGTGGAAAAAAGTCCTCTCCACGACACACCGGGAATCCAGTGCCAGCGTAGCGATATATGCTGTGCACAGACCAGGGTCACTCGGGCTAGCCGTACCCCGTGCCTCGGACGCTCACAACCTTATCGATAAGGGTCAGCGCCTGTAGTAGGTAGCGATAGAGCATCGCGGCCTTTGCCCCTTTTCGCCAGACCTTGTCACTTGAACTCTCTTCTCCCGGTTTCTCTGTTATAAGGTGAGTTATGTGTACCGTAGTATAGTCCCTTCGACAGCCGACTGTCAGACAGTAGACTGTCAGTCGATCCGCAATACGAATATTGCCTAAGAGGGACTAGTTCTGCATTTTTAGGTACAGATTGTATGAATTATGATTTATGAATACATCCACGCTACCACGTACCCGTAACCCGATCGCTAGAGTATTATTGTACCTGGTAATTGAAAGGGCTTGGCATATGTCAGTCCAAACATCACAAACGGATGAAAAGATAAGTTCCCCGCTCATCCACTCACAACAGTCTCGTCGGACTTTCTGGGCTTGCCGCCAGCCTTCACCAAAAGGAGTGTCACCAACAACTCGAGCGCTTGCGTCCATTGACGATATTACGGTGCAACGCCATCATGGCAACTCGCAAGAGCGATATGCTCAAACCTGAGGGCAACATAAACATTCCCGAGCTGCAATCCGACCTTCGTCGGAAGTACCGTAATGTCGGCGCCAAGGTCGAGGAAATCTGGCGCAACTTCACGCCCAAGCAACGGGAGAAAGCAATGCGTGAGGCGGTGGGCGATGGCAAGGTTCTAAAACACTCCCGCGATCCTGGGTTGGCCGGCCTGAGACGCGTTCTCCCAGACTGGAATCTACAAGATATCACGTCTACTCCGGACTTCTTTCTCGATCGCTTGAAGCATCGCGTGAAGACGAGCCTACAAACCCAACACTTTGAAGGCGCGAACGGAGGCCCGGGCGACCAGGAGATCATCCGCCCTGGCGCTCAAACAATCAATATCAACGAAAATAAATTCGGCTTGTTCATCAGTGATGACGAACAGTACGGCCAATATGTAGAAACCACTGGAGCTGAAGCAAGGCGTGCGTTCATTGAGAACATGCCTGTAAAAGTTCGGCTGGTCATCCCGGGCAACGAAGCATATCTCGTCATCAGCAGGCAAACATCTACGTTCATTTTTTATAATAGCTTGATTGAAGAGATCTTGGATTTAGGATCCGACAGCAGAGCTACGAAAACCGCTTCTTCGGCCAGGAAAGCCACCAAAGAACCAGCCAACGCGATGGCCAAGCTTGCGCTTGAACCAAAGCCTCTTAAATCATCTATCGCTGAAGTTATCGCTCAGGCAGTCGAGCAAAAGGTGGCATTAGAGGACTACCTGGCGCTCTTACGAAGCGAGCCCGTCGTCCTCAACCAGTCTGTCAACATGACAAACAGCAGCCGGCCAGAGCTCGTCCCGGATGACCGAGGACGCATACTTCCCATGTTCACCGACAAATATATCACCACGGCGTTCTTCGAGGTCATGTGTAATGCCGTCAAAACCATTGTCACCTGGGAATACATCGTCCGCCTGGTTCGCATGCTAGAAGGAGACGGTATGAACGACAAATTGAAGCGGCCAGTGGTCGTGCAAGAGCTCTCCAACACATGCCATCTGGAGTACCGTCGCGCACAGTCGGAATTAAGACGGCAGATGTCGCAGCCCGCTGGTATGGCATCCAAGTGCTTCAGACGCATCACGACGGGTGGCACGTCCCGGGTGGTCATCAAAGGTCAGCCGGCGGACTATACTGTGTCTGACCCTCAACTGCACTACATTCTGCGGATCTGCCATCCCGATGCCAAGCATACGGAAGCCGCGCAATGGATGCAAAGACTTGATGACCACAACACACGGCACCCTGACGATTTCCAGCGACTGACTGAATTCCAAGTCCTCGCGCTTGGTGATGTAGCGATTATTGTCAGTTTCATGCACACATTGTCTACCTCGTTGGCCATGGTAGCGGGGTCGAAGAAGCTCGGTGTTTTATTCACGACGAGAATGGGAGAGCTAGATGCTGAATTGGCGCAATACAAGGGCGAAGCAGATTTCAGCGATCACGTGGTGCCCATGGGCAATCTGTTGGAGCCAGGTGTCGCGAGCAAGGCTCTCGAATCGCTCGAAAACTTTGTGATCGAACGGGCTGGAACCAGCCTAGGTGGACTGTACGAGGAAATCCTGCATGATTGCGTGACCGACGTAGAGAAGAAATGTTCAGACGCAAAGCTCAATTTCGACAAAGCTCAGTCGCAACAGCAGCAGCAGCAGCAACCACTCGCCCCACCGATCGTAGAGGAGCCCAAACCCGCCAGCTTCCGCGCAGAGCAACGAAGAGAGAAAGCGAAAACCCGCCCGGCCGAAGAAGTGAGCGCATACAACATCACAGCCCTCACGCCCGCCCAACTCGAAGTCGCCGAAGAGCCCACTCCCCAACGACTCAAAGTCAAACCCTCCACCGCCTCCGTCTTCTTCACAATCTTCGCCAAATCTCAAGCCCGCGGATCCGTCTCCTGGGCAAATTTCACCAGCGCCATGGCCGATCTCAATTTCTCCGTCACGCCCAAGTACGGTTCGGTGTTCACTTTTCATCCCCCACAGTCGATGGGAGCGACTCGCTCCGTCACTCTCCATCGCCCGCACGCGTCCGATATCGAAGGGTACAAGCTATTGATTGTCTCGAGAAGACTATATCGGACCTACGGCTGGACTCAGGAGACGTTTGAAGTCGAGGAAAGTGTATCGTAGTATAACTTCTTTCTCTCGCGAGTATGACCATGGCACTCGAATGAGGAAGAGAAAAACTGTGCTCGCCTGTCCATGCGTTTCAAACTACGCAGTTTGGTAAGACTTATTGAGGGAGGCATCCTCTCCTGTAGCCTAAGCTCGTTGAAGCGAATGAAGTCTTCTTCTACGCTACTCTACCTTACTCTCGCTTATAACTTATAGCTAGGCCATTTGTCGTTCCTCCCTTCTTACCACCACCACCCATCCACCCATCTATCCATCGATCCACCCATCCTCCCATCCCTCCCCTCCCATCCCTCCCCTCCTCTCCCCTCCCCCCCGTCCCTCACGCCCACAATTCCCCATCCACAGAACACTAGTCACCACCATCAAAAAGAAAAAGACAACGCCATAATTTACTCTATCCATCTCCTCCAGCTTGCTAACACCGCCCCTCCCCCTTCCTCTTCCCCTTTGGCTGTCTAATGTATATGCGAAGAACTGACTACCTACAGTTGTATAAGATCTAGCGAGAAAGAGAAGGCAAGGCAAGGCAAGTAAGTAAGCCTGACTTGCGGATAGTAGTTCTCTATACTGAGGTTTTTATCCCCTGTGTGCCCCTGAGACCCCTTGGCCCCTTAGCCCCTTATCCCTTTATGGCTCTTATGTCTCTTATCCCGTTGACTCTGAGTGAGATGGACTCATAAATAACTATCTATCTATCCAACAGATTGCTGTTTTTATCATGCTTCTTATTCTTCACACTGTCCCAGCCTCTCACCTTCACCTACACTACGTATTTACGTACGCACAGACGCGTCGTATACCTGTATGTATATAGATAGCCGGCCGGGGCGTGACGCGAGAAGTTCTGTCTAGCTGCAGTGAGATTGAGTGAATTCCATCGATTCTATTGCGCAAGTATCCAGCTATTGACCTGTTGTTGAATTTTACCTACTTCCTGCCTACTGCTGTACTTGCTCACTGACTCACTCATCGTCCCACTCACTCACTCACCCACTCACTCACTCACTCAGCTCAGCTCAACGTTTCCTCGTATCAGATTCCGCACGTGCTGCGGCGGCTGGTAAGCCTCGGAGCCGCGCGTCGCTCATAGCGGCGGTGCTCAACATCTCATGCGGTGAATTTCACTAAAAAGGGTCCGTTGGAGGCTGCCGCCTAGCTGCACGTCCCCCTTGCTCAAAAAGGGGTCCTCGCCCCCCTCTTCTCTTTCTTCTTCTCTCTTCTTCTTCTTCTTCTTCACCATCATCATCACCTCGCAGCAGCAGCAGCAGCAGCACACGCAACGCTGCCATCCACCTCGGTAGGCTTGGACTTCCAACGAACGCGCGCTTCTCCTTCCCCTTTCAAATACTGACACTGTTGTCAGCATGATGGACACGGAGAGTGTGACGGAAACTGACAGCGCGGCGGACACTGCCACTGCCAACATCATGACGGACCGAACCAGAATGCAACTGGTCTGCCGTGTTGCCGAGCTCGAGACAGAATTATTCCTCACCCGCGAAGCGCTCAGGCAGTCAAACGAGTCCAAGCAATACCTGATTGAGTATATCAACGGATGGAAAGGCAACTTTGGCCCCAACAACGTCGCGGCCGTCAGCGGAGCCCAGGACATCGGAACAAGCAACGGGGCTGTGAAACGCAAAGATTCAATTACCAACGTGATGGATACGTTTGTAGAGTGTATCTCCGACGAGCAATTTGTGGACCCTAAGAGGGAGAAGTCAATTCTGGATGAGGATGATGTCCTCGAGGATCAGACTCCGAGTCTCGTGCCGAGTACAGTTCAGGATAGCAAGCCTGATGAAGAGTCCATCGGCCAGGACACTGTCAGCGAGAATCGCAGGCCCTCAATCGGCTGCCCAGCAGTTCCCTCGGAGGAGCCACTGGGATTCACCATCTATCACCAAGATGACACGACAACTTTTGTTTACACGGGCGGACGATGCCAGTCTCCCTGTCATACAATTCCACGGCGTCAAGCAAGACCGTTCCTCGATTGGGAGCACAGAAAGCTCGCGGGGAATGCGTTTGTCTGGGCCGAAATGACGGCAGAGGAGTTGACGGAGGTCTTTGCGCGTTATGCGAAGGAGCATCCGAAACATTCTGCTGAGGAGTACCACAGCTACTTCGAGGAATGCATTCGACCGGCCCATGAGGAGCGAGAAAGCCGGCTGCAGAAGGCCAGAGAAGCCCTGTTGGTACCTCTCGTCTCGATTGAGGCCGACGAGCAGGCACAAGAGCAGGATCCGATGATCCCGCGCACGGACGAGACAGAGGGTATGGTGTGGACGACGGGGCGATTGCCTTCCCCAGACTCCAGGACCGCGGAAGATTTCGAGAACGATGTCCAGCGCGCATTCGGGGTCGAAAGTGGTCGTACAGGTTGGAGTTCAAGGACCCGGCAGCAGGAACTGCACAACATTCGCTATGATCCAGGACGCGCCGCAGCAACCACGTTTGACACGGGATACAATCCTAACCCCTACTGCCCACCAGCCGAAGTTAATTTGGACCCATATAATACCATGGTGGTCAGCAATATCTCGGTCGGCACGACTCTCTCCCAGGTCCTTGACCAAATCCACGACGGGGGGGAAATCTACTCGGCCGTGTTCCTCAACACAGCCGGTTTGTGCACCAACCCCCGAATGACCACCGAAACGGCCCTGATCAAATTTCTCCACGATGGTGACGCCAGCTCCGTCGTGAAGAATTGGAAGGAGCACACCAACACCTCCATGACCGTCCAGCTCGTTGAGACTGTCTCACGCCCGATCCCCAGCCGCATCTGGGCGGAAATTGACCGTATCAATCTCAGCAGAGTGCTGTTCATAAAAGATGACACGGGCTTCTGGACGCCGGGCAAAGTCCTCCGGCAGCTGATGCGTCATGGAGTGAGGTACCCGCTGAAGGTGATGTTTAACCTCTCCCTTGAACGAACCATGCACTTTCACTTTGCGAGCTTGGCCGAGGCGAAGGCAGCTTGGCTTGCGGTCACTCGCGACCACACAGTTTTCGACGGCATACCCACGGGCTTCGTCGCGGATCCATGTAGTGGGCCTGCTTACGATGGAGAGTCGGAGGGTTTGAGTGATGGTTGGTGCGAGTACGTCAGGCTCACGGAGGAGACCTGAGAGCCCGAATAACATGGAGGACTAGGGTAGAAGGATGACGACTTTGATGGAACTCGCTCCAACATCGGGGCTCAGTCGACAAAGTTCGAGGGTTACCTAATACGCGTCGAAGACTCCAGACTCAGGCTCCATTCGGGCAAAGTAAAATTGGGGGGCAGGCACGGCGGCATATGTATCTTCGCTGTTGATGGATGTGTTGATTACCTGCCTCAGGCACCAGGTAGAAAAGGCTTTCCCATCAGCAATGACAATGACACAAAAGATTCTACTCTTCTTCTATACCGTGCCTGTTCCGTTTCCCATCCGGGAAATATTGTCCAGAAAAGGTGCCGAGATGTGTTGCCACTGCACTGAACCGCGTCGCCGGCTTGCTCGCTTCATCATGACTCTGATACAGTGTGATGTTTCTCCAGATCCATTTACCTAGTAAACTCCAGATGGGAGGTCGAGGAGACTACCAGTACCTACCTTACCTAAGGTATCTAGGTACAGGTAGGTACATGTAGCTGGCTGGCTACTTGCTCACGTCAGCGGGAATGAAATTACCTAGCGATAGCAGGAGCAGCAGCACAGAGATGGAAGCCCCAACCATGGAGGAAGGAGGTCACGTGAATGTATCAACTATGCTAGCCACATCAGTTGAGATCAATTCACGGGAGAGTCGTACGGCGGAACTCGTACATGGCTGCTGACTCGCATCAAGAACAGACACCTAGTCGTCACAGAGCAAAACATACAAGGAGAGCGCGTTGGGCAATTGATGCTAGCCAGACACAAGTTGTGACTGGCGCACGACAGCTGTCAATCCAGTGCACTGTCGCTCCAAGTAAGTAGTAGTCCGCTCGCAAATTCAGCGCGGGTCCATGTCGTGAGACCGGGACGAACACACGTACAAGGATGAGTGCAGCAGGCAGCGCGCATATCTGGACCTGTATGTGATAGATGGTGTGGTAGATGGAGCCGTGGGAGTGGGCAATGGTGGTACTCAAACAACCGTGGTTGAGCCTCTCAGTGTACTTTCGATTATTACAATTACTCAAGCGCTCATCCATAACTCATGGCCCGTTAATGTCTTCGTCACTGCAATGCATCCTTCCCGGAAAATGATACAGCCGTGGGAAATAGCTATGCCGCTTCGCTCCTGAACAGACCAAAACTCCAAATGCGTGCAAGCAGCTCTTACATGGCGATACCAAACACGGCCATGCCCAAGAGAGCAAAGAGGCCAGTGCCGTAGTTCTGAGCAATGCTCAGGGCAGCTGCGGAACCCGACTCGGTGGGAGTAGGCGTGGAAGTAGCAGAAGTCATCGAAGCACCGCTCGCGCCGCCAGCGCCGCTCGTGCCACTCGGGCTCGAGGTCATGCTTGCAGCGGCAGATGTAGTAGAAGAGCCACCACCGTTGCTGGACTCCGCCTCGGTGGCATTCATCGAACCGCACGTCACCGACTGGCATCCAGCCTGCCCATCGAGGTCGTCAGGGTGGCTGGCGACGCAGTTGGTCTTCCATTGCTCGCAGATGAAGAAGGGCAGAGTCTGAGTGTAGTCGGAGATGTTGCGGGGCTCGTTGTCAGGGCAGACGCAGTTGTACGTCAAGTTTTCCTGGTCCGAGTTAGTCTCCCAGCGTTCGATGGTGACAACGCGCACTTTTGTTTTCCACTCACCGAATCGCACGTGTTTGACGAGGCGCGACCACCGCAGATCTGGGGGCAGGCAATCATCTGGCCACGGCACCATGACTGCCTCAGTGCGGGTTGGATCTGGGTCGCATCGATGCTGAGATTGCCCGAAGTCGAGTAGTTTTGCGCGTTGGCAACGGCAGCCAGGGCCGTCACGGCAACGAGGAGGGTGGAGCGGAACATGGTGATGGGTGCGTGGGTGGATGGGAAGATGGGTTGACGGTTCGATGGAATCTGCTGCGCCAAAGAAAGCAAGTCAGTTTTTCTGGTCGACGACACGTTGACGGCCACGCGAAGAGTGGACCTGCTAGCACTCGCGTAGGTACGAACCTTTTCGGTTGCAGTGCGGTGCGGTGCGGTGCGGTGCGGTGCGGCAGTGCACAGTATCAATGGATTGATGGCGGTGCGGAGAGTCGCGATGCAGATGAAGATGCTGCAGAAGGAGGAGGAAGAGGAGTCGGGAGGATGAGGGTTCAGGTGAGGGTGAGAGTGCGAGTGGGCAGATGTTGGTGGGCAGTAGTGAACAGGCGGGCGCCTGCCCCATTCTTGTTTTATCCTCGTCCTCTCGTTTCCTCGTCTCACTGGCCTCGTTGCTACGGGCATTATTATGGAGCTCGGACGCACTTTCCCAGCCTGCTCCCGCCTGCCGAGCTTCGCATTGGCTGCACAAGCGCGAAACCGTAATCGGCCACCCGCGGAGCCTCACCTCTCACCCAACCCCCAGCACCGACCTACCATCGGCTTTACTGTTATGTCCTGATGATAATGATGAAACTGATGATACTGGTAATGCAATACTACCTGGTGTCTCCCCCAATGGTGCCCCTTCTTCTTACAGTCAGTAGGTACTGACAGGTACAAGTACGGGAGTGCCCATATCGCAACTGGTTACTGCCGAGAGCTCGCCTGCAGAAAGTCGAAAGTCAGATCGTGGCCCACTAAAAGTAGAAAGTAGCGCGTCCGTTTCCGGCAAGCGGCTCTGGCACCTTGCTTTCATTATATTGTGAAGAGGAACATCAAACCCCCCATGTCTGCAATTCCACGCCAAATTGATGAAAATTAGTTAGACGGTATTGCCCGTTGGTCGCACACAAAGTATGTATAATGTGCCCAGCATTGGGTATCAGGCAGCTTCCCACAGGCTACATCTCACTTCTCACCACCGCCGCCTCCGCTGGGAGCAAGCCTCCTCTCCTCATGCACACACACACACTCTCTCTCTCAGAGTCTCTCTCACTCACCCTCCCGCTGCTGCATGGTGGACCGGCCTCTCGTCGCCACCGCTCGGTCCATCCAGGTCGTGGCTGGTTGGCGAGCTCGCCTAGACCTAGACAGGCCTGCAGCAAGAATATTTACACTATTTCCTTGTTCCACAGCACCAGCCGCGCACCCGTCGGCCGGCCTGGCAGTCCGCATAACGCGTCGAACGCGACTCACCTCAAATCTTGATTCCGCTATCCTGCACGAGTCAGGTGAGATGATTGGAGTCAGTAGCAAATACATACAGTGGGTGTCATAAAAAAATCCATGTTCTTCACCACCATCAGAGTGAAGATCCCGAGCGCGTGCGTGCACGTGAAAGTCCTCGTTGATCCCAACGTCGTCGAATGATCTGGTAGGATGAGAGGCAAGAACGCTTGATCTGTGCTTCGGGCGTCTCCGAGGCCGCCTCCGATCTCACAACAACCACATCTGCACTCCAAACGTTGTACCGTACCTGTATGTAGATACAATAGTCGAATTTTACACCAATTTCCCAACACACACACCCACACCCACATACCCACGCGATATGCCAACATGACACGAAAGTGTATCCTCGCAACATCGCAGTTGAACCAGTGGGTGCTGGACTACGATGGCAACCGGTGAGTGTGACGCATCTGCTGAGAAAGTGCTGCTCTCACTACTCTCACTACTCTCACTACTCTCACTACTCTCACTACTCTCACTACTCCACTCTCGTCCATTCGAGCCCTCACCGCGACACTCACTTCCGCAAGTGAGATATCGCCGGCCGACGAGCTGATCAGTCACCTTCCAGCGACCGCATCATCCACGCCGTCAAGACTGCCAAAACTGCTGGTGCAAGCCTGATCCTGACTCCCGAACTCTGCATTACCGGTTATGGCCTGCTCGACCACTTTCTTGAAAACGACGTCTACAGTAACTCCTGGGACATCGTCGCCGAAATCATTGTCCATCCCGATTGCCAAGACATCATCATCGACTTGGGCATTCCCGTCCAGCACCGAGGATGCAGCTACAATGCCCGCCTCCTCGCTCTCAATGGTGAGGTGCTTGCCATCCGCCCCAAGCTCGATCTATGCAATGATGGCAACTTTCGAGAGATGCGCTACTTTTCGCCCTGGACGAGACAGCGCGTCGAAGACTATCGTCTGCCTGATGCAATCTCCACGCTTCCCAGGCATCAGCAGTGGACTCGAATTGGCGAGGTGGCCTTTGAGACCAGAGATGCATCGTTTGCGTCAGAAACCTGCGAGGAACTGTGGACACCAGACTCGCCGCATGCACTGTATTCTCTGGCCGGCATTGAGATTGTGCTCAACTCCAGCGGCAGTCATCACGAGCTTCGCAAGCTGGACACACGCATCAACCTGATCAAGGAAGCCACTGCCAAGACCGGTGGTGTGTACATGTACTCCAATCAACGCGGATGCGATGGTGACAGGCTCTACTACGACGGCTGTGCACTGATCCTCAACTCGGGCCATGTTCTTGCCAAGGGCTCGCAATTCTCGCTTCGAGACGTAGAGGTGCAGACTGCCGTGGTCGATCTCGATGAAATCTGGGCCTTCCGCACATCGAAGAGTCGAGGCATGCAAGCCAACAACCCCAAAGTGCACATGCTGGAGCGATTGAAAGTGGATTTCGATCTGTGTTCGGGTCAGAAATACTCACTGTCAAAGCTGACACCTGCGATGCAGGACAAGGACCTCTACCACCTCCCCGAAGAGGAAATTGCCCTGGGACCTGCATGCTTTCTTTGGGACTACCTTCGTCGCTCCAGAGCAGGTGGGTTCATCGTTCCCCTCAGCGGCGGAATCGACAGCTGTGCCACTGCCACGATTGTTTTTAGTATGTGCAGGCTCGTAGTTGCCGAGATCAAGGCCGGTAACAAGATAGTTCTCGACGATGCCACCCGTCTGTGCAATGGAGAAGATGTCACAAGCATGACAGCTGAACAGTTCTGCAACAAGATCTTCTTCACGGCATTCATGGGCATGAAGGACCGATCATCAGTCGAGACTCGTACTCGCGCGGAAGCCCTGGCGAAAGCCATTGGATCATATCACATCGACACCAACATCGATCAGATGGACTCTGCACTGCGAACACTGGTGTCGAGCATTCTGCAAAAAGAGCCTCAGTTCAAAGTGCATGGCGGCTCACAGACAGAGAACTTGGCATTGCAAAACTACCAGTCCCGGTCGCGCATGGTCTTGACGTACGGTCTTGGGCAGCTTCTCCTCTGGTCACTCGGAAGACCCGGAGGACTCCTGGTGCTGGGATCCGCCAACGTAGACGAGTGCCTTCGAGGCTATCTCACCAAATACGACTGTTCCTCCGCAGACATCAACCCCATCGGCGGCATTTCCAAAACCGACCTCAAGCGATTCATCGCATGGGCGCAAACAAGCTTCGCGCTCCCCATCCTCGGCGAATTTCTCGACGCCATCCCCACTGCCGAGCTCGAACCCATCACAGCAACATACGTGCAAAGCGACGAAGCCGACATGGGCTTCACCTACGACGAGCTCTCCATCTTGGGCCGTCTGCGCAAGACCTACAAACTCGGCACCGTCGGCCTGTTTGAGCGTCTCGTCGTCGACTGGAGCGACCGGCTCGCGCCTCGGGACGTGTACAAAAAAGTGCGAGATTTCATGTACTATTACGCTACCAATCGCCACAAAATGACCACCATGACTCCTGGCTTGTACTTGGAATCGTACACGCCCGACGACAATCGATTTGATCTCCGACCGTTTTTGTATCCTCGATTTACGTTCGAGTATCGAAAGGTGGAGAATTTGCTTGATAAGGTATTTTCTTTTTCTTTTTCTTTTTCTTTTCCCCTTTTTCTTTTCTTCTTGTTGCGAAACTACACGTATAGCGGAGAGAGCTTTATACACACACACATGAAAATGTACTGACGTACGAAAAAAATCAATAGATGGAAAAAGGCGAAGTTACTCATCCAAAAAGCAGTGGAACCTAATCTGATCTTGATGCTTCTCGTCTACATACTCGTTATGAGAGGCAGTGACGGTGGTGGTGGTGGTGAAGATAGAATATTCTACTGCACGTACCACCCCAATACATAGGTACCAATACAGTATAGATTGAAAAAAGAGAAGAAAAAAATTACCTGACCTGACCTTATCTTACCTGACCTTCACTTTCAAGAAGAAGAGAGACCACGCACACGTACCAGAAAGACAGACATAAACTCATACTTGCCTTCTTCACGCCACACGCACAATTCTCACAAAACTCCCTCTCATATCACCATTCCACCATCCGAATAAAAAAGGAAAAAAAAGAAAAAAAGAAAAAAAGATATCGGCCAAATAAAGTACTTATACCTATGTATGTATCTACATCTATCTTTTTTCCACATCACAACTTCGCATAAACCGCCTCAAACTCCTCCTCGGCAATACGCATCACATCCCTCCCATAAATCATCTTTTGCACATCCGCATCCGCCCACTTATCCGGCACGCCGCCCTTGCCGCCAGCGGCTTTGAGCGCAGCAAATTGCTTGTCGCGCTGTTCCTTGGCCGCGCCATCGCCCAGATGCAACGCTTTGCCACTCGCTGCGGCCAGATCGACGAGTTGATATGCTCGTTCGCGGCGGACGTGTTCGTAGACTTTGAGGGCTTTGTGAATCGCCTCGGGAGTCACTCCTCCTTTGGCAGTGGTGGAGAGTTTCGCGAGAACGATGGAGAGGACGGCGCCGTCTTCGATGGCTTGGGCGGCGCCTTGGGCCAGATGAGGGAGAGTGGGATGGCAGGCGTCGCCGACCAGGGCGACTTGTTCGTGGACCCAGGTGGGGAGGGGTTCGTGGACGCGGAGTTTCCATTCGCAGACTTCGCCGTCGGGTACCAGATCGAGCATGCGCTTGACTTTGGGGCAGAAATCGTCAAAGACGTGCATCATTTCGGGTTTGCTTCCTTTGGTGGTATACGAGGCAGAGGGCGCAGAGGCAAAGTGTTTGTCTGGTTGCACGGTGCTGAGATTGTAGATCTGTTTGCCCGACACGGGATAGGCAATGATGTGCCGTTTCTCTCCAATCCATCTCGTGACGCCCTCGGAATCAATCAGTTGCATGAGTTCCGGGTCGTCTTTCATTTGCTCGCGAGTGAGCATGATGCGGTAGGCCGCTTGGCCCGTATCGACAATCTTGGCGTCGATTTTGAGGAGGCGAAGCATTTGATCTCGCACGACTGATTTCACACCATCCGACGCGAGGAGCACGTCGCATGAGACCTCCACAGGCTCCCCTTCCCTGGGTGTTGCGAGAAAAGAGGGTTGGGGTCCCCACGCCTTGACCTCGGTCGCTTGGGTTCGAAAATGAAACTTGATGGCTTTCTCGCGTTGACAGCCTTCGTACAACGAGCCCGCGAGAGAGGATCGATGGCCCACCATGTGCGGATATTGATACGTAGCGCGGACATATTTGAGGTCGACGTGGCCGAGTTCCTCGTCGGTGGAGCCCTGTCGGATGCTGGTTTCCTTCAGATCCACGGCATCCTTTTCAATGTCCGCCCAGACTCCCAGACGATCCAGAATGCGTGCCATGTTGGGAGCGAGTTGGATGCCGGCGCCCACGAAGCCCAGATTCGAGGCACTTTCGTATACGTCGATGTTTCGAAAGCCCTTCTGGGCGCATGCTAGAGCGGTGGCGAGACCACCCATTCCTGCGTTGTGTAAGCCATCTATCTCGATCTCAGCTGCATTGAGATGGACAATATGAGAACGAACCAGCGCCGAGAATGACAATGTGCAAGTCGAGGACGTCTACGGGCGCCATGGTTGCGGTATTGTTGGTATATCTAGTCAGTATGGTACATGTATGTAAGTATATTTTCTCTGGTGGGCTGGGAGGTCAGCGTAGAAGAAAGGCAAAGCGGTCACACGGCGTAGAGGCAGACAGAGTGTTCTGGTAGATGTAGTTGACTAGTGATACATGGGCATGGTGGGCACCTCCATTCTTCCACTCCCATTCTCTGACCATCGGCAGTGAGTCCAAGCATGAAAGACAGCTCCCGGCAGAGGACGTCGGACTAGATGAGGCAAGAGCTAAACCGCTTGTTGACCCCGCGGCCATGAGCGGAAGGAGGAAGGGAAGGTCAGCAATGCCGGGAGAAGGTGAGAGTGCTTCGGCCGGAGACTCGGCGTTTAGAGGGGAAGTACACTGGGAATTACTAGGGTAATAAATGCTCGACGAGGCTGAGGAGAGCGTGGAGAGGCCGGCAGGCCTTGAGGGAGGGGTTATCGTTATCCTAGGAAGATATTGACATATTGTCTCTTCCCATCTCACCACTGACATAGTCTACATCACATGTCAGTACGGTATACAGCAAAACAGCCATGCCATCTCACAATACTGGCAACACAGGTAGGCGGAGGAAACATACATATCTCCTACTATGCTCCCCTCCAGTACTCTGCCCGGTCCCTTCTCTTCCGGCTGGCGACACGGACGCGTTCGGAGGTGATGTCAGAGCGCGCGGACACGCTTCCTCGCAGACATGAAGCTGACTGAACGGGCAATGAATGGGACACCTCATGTATCAACGCGCTGGTACCGACTGTGATAGTTCTCTGGGGCAGTCTGGACACCCACGGTAAGAACTGAAGCCAGCCAGCCAGCCAGCAAGCAAGCATGTTGTTTATGCGGCGACCAACCCCCACCACCATCGTTGGTGCTGGTCGGATCTCTCACGCCATTCGATCCACCCTGCTCAACAACAATGCGTCACACAACCGACATCTGTCCATACAGCAACTGGACGAGCAACGCAAGGACCGAGAGCGCATTGTGATCCTCGGCTCTGGCTGGGGCGGCTTCACCCTCTCGCGAAAACTGAGCGCCCGCAAATACCAGATTGTTATTGTCTCGCCGCGCTCCTACTTCGTCTTCACTCCTCTGCTCGCCGGAACCTCAGTTGGCACCCTCGAATTCCGAACCACCATCGAGCCGAATCGAGACTTCCGCGGAAGGAAATATGGCGCCGACTTCTTTCAAGGCTGGGCCGACCAGGTGAACTTTGGCGAGAAGACGTTGACCATTGAAGAGGCCGTCGAAGATCCGTGGGCCACAACGGCATTGACCGAGAGCAAGCATGAGCACAAGTCGAACGAGCAGCGAGGCAGAGAGGTCGAGGTGAAGGAAAAGAAGGGCGAGCTATTCAAGCTCAGTTATGACAAGCTGGTCTGCACAGTGGGATGTTATGCCCAGACCTTCAACACGCCGGGCGTCAAGGAGTATGCCTACTTCCTCAAAGACGTGGGAGATGCTCGCAAGATCCGCAACCGTCTCCTATCGTGCTTCGAGGTCGCTGCCCTCCCCACCACCAGCGAAGAGATGAAGCGCACCTATCTGAACTTCGCCGTCGTGGGAGGCGGTCCGACGGGCATCGAATGGAGTGCAGAGTTGTACGACATGATCCACGAGGACATGAAACGCCTCTACCCGGAGCTCATCCAGTACGTTAGCATCACTGTCTACGACGTGGCCAACAAAGTGCTCGGCATGTTCGACGAATCGCTGTCCCAGTATGCCATGAAGACTTTCTCGCGCCAGGGTATCCACATCAAGACCAGTCACCACATCGAAGAGCTGCGTCGTGGCGTACCGAAAGCGCAGGAAGCTTCGTCTGTCGTCAAGGATGCTTCCCATGTCTATACCCTCAAGGTCAAGGAGGAAGGCGAAGTCGGTGTGGGCATGGTCGTGTGGTCCACGGGCCTGTTGGCGAATCCCTTTGTCCAAAACGGTCTCCAGGACAAAGTCAAGAAGCATGAGCGGAGTGGCAGTATCCTTACCAACGAGCGACTGCAGGTCAAGGACAAGAACGATAGGCCCATCGAAGACGTCTACGCACTCGGAGACTGTGCCATTCTGGAAGGCACAGCGTACCCTGCAACCGCCCAAGTTGCCTCACAAAAGGCAGTGTGGTTGGCCAAACGCTTCAACAAAGGCGACATTGAATCCCAGGAGTTCACGTACAAGAATTTGGGAGTCATGGCGTACATAGGGAACAAGAAGGCCATTCTGGAAGGCAAGGGTGCGAATATCTCCGGCAGGATAGCGTGGCTGATCTGGAGAGGTGCATATTTGACCAAAACCGTGAGCTTGAGAAACAAGATTCTCATTCCGATATACTGGTCGATTAATTGGATATTCGGGCGAGACATTAGTAGATTCTAGATGGTGCACACTTTGTCACCTTTTTCACCCACCACTTGCATCATAAGGACATGTCACGCTACGATGGTGTCTATTTCAGTGGTGAGGATGGACTCAATCACAGCAGAGAAGCCTTCCATCATTCTCATCCATCTTGCGCATGCAATCTGTGGGTGCGATGCGTATGAATGCATGCCTGGGTCGCTCCTGCAGATGTCGATCTGAGTGTTGCTGACGGAAATATGTATACGCAGCGTTGCTGAGTACGCCTGTGTTCCAGAATTGCGTAGAGATATCTACCTGTACCCTCTTGAGTTGGGTCTATCGTATTCATGATAACAAGGTATAGCGCTCCCCGAGAATACCACCTGTAACAAGAAACTGTGCTTGTGCTCAACCCTTCTTGTCACCTTTATCGCAGAACCCAGGGTCCTGTCTAAACCAACAATTGTACCTCCTAGTATCATCGTGTAACAACACTACATCATAAATGTATGAGATATCCTCAAGACCATGAACGTTACTCGTTTGCTCGTTTGCCCGGACGGCCACGGTACACCCGTCAGCTATATCCCAGCAAAGCCGTTTTATTGCAGTGTTTCTCCACTACCATTGACATGGGTGCAACTCATCTGTATGGCTTTGCTGCCTATGCCGCTCTGCGCCGTCTGCGGCTAGTAGCTAAAGGTAACTTGGGTTTAACCTTTTCTTTGGCAGTTCTTCAATGGTAGCCCCTCATGTCAAAGCTCTACGTCTAAGGGGAGGAGGGGGGAGGTAATGAATGACTGAGGGTTTGCGGGCTCGTATGGAGGTGGGTGTTGTATAAAGAGAGCTATCTGTACCTATCTATCTACCGGACGACGTTCCTTTTTTCTCGAGAGCTGAAGTGAAGTATTGAAACTTCTATCTACATACAACAACAAAACGAAGCCTACCTACCTACCCGACTCTTCCTCCGTCCATCCATCCATTCAATCAACTCTCTCAACTATGTCTTCCTCTTCCTCCTCCTCCTCCTCCAACAGCAACAGCCACGGCTCCTGCTCCACCGGCAGCACCGGTTCTTCCCAAGGCGGTAGTTATGAAGTTACCTCTAGCGGCACCAACAGCCAGGCAAGTTTTTATTTTTTTTATAAAAATCAGTCCAACCATAGGTACCTTACCTATAGACCTCAACTCCTAGGAGAGGTACATGTAACAGGTAGCAATCATATGTTACCTCATCTTTTTCGTCTTCTCTTTTCTCATCATAAAAATTATAGGGTAACCACTACTGTTCCCGCGACTACGGCAGTTCTGCATCCAATTCTTATCATTATTCGAATTCGAATGGGAGTTATTATTACTCTAGTACGTCTCCCCTACCTACCTACCTACCTTAGGTACCTGATACTTGGAGTTGGAGTTGAAGTTGGATGGTCCAAGGGTTTTACTGTTTACTGAATCGAGAATTAGACCCGAATGGAAGTACTTACTACAATAATGGAGCGGGGGGCGCGAGGTATAATCCGCCGAGTGGGAGGAAGTAGAGAGGTTGATTGGCTGGTAGGGAGGGGAAGGAAGGAAGAGAGCTGGGGAGGGGAGATGTTGAGGGGTGGATTGTTGCCCGTCTTTGGGGGGAGGGAGGATGAGCGGTAGTGGGAGGTGAGAGGGAGAGGTGAATTGCGGCGAAGCGGACTCTTGAATCGACTGAGAAAGGAAACGGATGTTGTATGTGGTTCATTGTATCGGACATTCTCGTCGCGTAGGTACATACATGACAATGTTGTATTACCTATGCTCACACGGCTGCTGTTTATTACTTTCTCTGTGTCATGATCGCGAGACGTGCTTTCGATGCTTGTGGTAGGTTGTGGCGGAGAATTCCCTTACCTTAGCGATTCGGATTCAATTGTTCGTCCTCGTGGGAAATGACCTTTCTGCGGACGCCCAATTGGGTCGTCATGAAACGGTCCAAGGCACACACTGCTGGCCAGAAGGATAAAGTATTGGTGACACATGATGGGTCCCGTCAATCTCAGAGTGATGGCGCGTGGGACATGTGTACCTCGCGAGACCAGGAAGCATCTCAAAGAGCCCTGGTGGAAGTAGAAGACAGGTACGAAGCAGCGTTGGACGCTACGGGGTGGTCGAAAGCACGACTGATGATTTTTGTGCAGCGAGAAGATGTAGGAGGAGATTGTTACAAAGCCTGCAGCTGTGACAATATGAGCTCCTCGTCTCGCTCCCGCTGGGTCTTTGCTTTCTTGATGCGTGCCGAGCGTCGCTGCGGTGTGGATAGTGGTGTGAATTTCTCTGCCGCTTTTGCAGCTGCCTTCACTGTTTCTGCCTCTGCCACTGCCTCTGCTGTTCCTGCTCCTGCTCCTGATCCTCCTTCAGGTTCTCCTTCTGCTCGCTCAGGTTCAGCGGAACCCGCAGCGGCTGCTTTCTGTCGCTGGATGCGCGCAATAGTGGCTATCGGATTCCTCTCTCTCATCCTTCGCCGATTCTTTCTCTTCTTCCTCTCTCCTGAAGTCGCCGTGGCGGTGGCGGCGGTGTTGGTCGTCCCTTCGGGCATGGTCGTCTGCTCGATCTCCATGGGATCCATGGCGTCGTCGAAGTCAAGCCTTGTACCGTCAGCTTGAGTAGTTCGAGATCGAATGGCGAGGTCGCTGCGAGACGCGTACTCTGTGGATGTGCTCAGCTGCCGGGCGCTCAGTCTGCGCGCTGACTTCACAGCCTTTCGTTTGCGAGCAATGGCTTGGGGAGAATTGTATGCCTCGGCCGCTTCTAGCTGCTTCTTCTGGTGCAGCAGTGTGATCAAGTCGATGTCCTTTTCGTAGTCGTGAGGTCGATGCGATGCCATGGCATTTTCACAACCAATAGCCAACCGTGTGCCTGGTCTGGTTGCATGAAAATTGGGGCTGTTTTTGCCCTGCCCTGCATTTCTCTGGCTTATCGATAAAGAGCTTTCGGGGCGTGTCGGGCCGAACCGTCATCCCGTCGATCTCGGAGCTCCCTCCACTCCGTAAACTTCTTCCTTCGATATGTTCACTAGCAGGTGCTATTTTGCAGTATATGAACACCGCCTCGAGAGACATATCCCATAATTAGAACAACGCTTTATCAACAACGGAAGCACATGACAAGACTTGATACCAGTTCAACCGCATGTGCACTAATGAAAGGATCGAGATGATTCAACTTTCTTCGGGGCAGGGCTCACATATTCTCCAAGACATAGCACCCCATAATACCATCGATATTGCCTATTCTGTACAGGTAGATTGACACCAGATTATGCGGGTGCACATAATCTGGGCTGCATTTGCATGTGGCGCAACGATGTTCCAGGCGCGTGCCTGGTATGTAAACATGCAAGGGATTTTGACCCTGGCACGGGCACTGATGAAAGTCATGATGCCAGGCGATGTTTCGCACTGGGGGGAAATAGAAACTTCGACTGACCGACACTTGGACTGTTCTCATGTGTACAGGTAGCAAGAGACTTTAGCTCGCGCAGCAAGCTTCACTCCCTCAAGATCGACCCTCCCTCCCGAACGAACGAATTGGCCATATAGCACTCTATCAAGTCTTGATCCTGACAGCGAGAACATGCCATCACGCAGTTCATCTCATGAGCGATCCTACCATGATTCTGCTCCACACTCGCCTTTGACACCTCTATCGCCAAGCAGCACCATCCCCCAATGGCTGAGACCGAGTCGAACGCGGGCTGTCATGCTGTCCAAAGGCAGGCTGAAAGTCCTCCTCGTAGCTTTTGGATGCATCCTGATGGGCTGGGTATTGACCTCAACTTTGGCTCCCACCGAGTATGACGATTTCCTGGTGGACGACCCCAGTGGCTATGATGATGCAACATCTCCAGGCAGTGTTGTGCTGGGTGATCCTACAGGATTTGGTGCGCGACCTGGCGTGCCGAAGATGCCGGCAGGGGTGATTGGCGATGTACTACCAGGAGAGGATGTCAGCCTCGCCGTGGAAGAAGACAAGCTACCATCTGTTACTGGGGCATTGGCCGAATTGCACAGTGCGGTCAAGGACAAGCTTCACTCCTGGAATCCCTATCACAAGCCACTAGGACGTTTGCGTAAAGGCAGCACCGCGGGAAACAAAACTTTACCAATAAAGCAACATAACAAGCCGAACGATACCACTGTCGCTGTCGGTGGAGAGCATGTGCACGACGGCATGTCCACAGAAGAGCAATTGGGTGCCAAAACTCGCATTGGGAAATGCACAATCCTATTTTCCGGCAACAGCGCCTGGGAACGTGCACTTCGCACTCACGAACGCCACGACCGGGAACACGGGTACCGTTTCCATGTCCTTCGCCAGCAGATCCTCGACGACGTCTGGTCCAAGCCCGCCTACATTCTCAGCCTCCTTCTTCGAGAACTCGCAAAGCCCGAGAGTGAACGACTGGAATGGCTCATGTGGGTAGACGCAGACACCGTACTCCTCAACCCGTACATACCCATCGATGTGTTCCTACCGCCGCTAGGTGGCGAGTTTGACGATATCCATCTCGTCTACTCCAATGACTGGAACGGCCTCAACAATGGCGTATTTCCCGTCCGTGTCAATCAATGGGCTGTCCAGCTCTTCTCGGCAATCGTATCATTCCGCCACTATCTTCCCGACGAGCCTCTAGTCTTTCGAGATCAATCCGCCATGGACACCCTCTTGCACGACCCAGCGTTCGCTCCCCACATCGTCCAAGCTCCTCAGCGATGGTTCAACGCGTACCAAGGCGAACACAACGAGACTCTCGCACCATTCCAGCTCCGTCGCGGAGACTTTCTCGTGCATTTTGCCGGCGTGCCCAACCGTGAAGAACGCATGGTGCACTGGCTGAATCGTGCCGAGCAGCATTTGGACGACTGGGAAGTCCCCCTCAAGTCAACTTCGTACTTGCAAGAAGCTCGAGATTTCTGGGCAGAACAGAGTGATGCGAGACGAGTGAAGAAGGAAGCTGCAGATAAGATGCGAGCGCACGTAGAAGAGTTGTTAGACAAAATCTCTCAGCGATTGTCAGATTATGGCGAAAGGATCAGTCCGGATACCACAGCAGCCATTGAAAATCAACAAGAAGCATTAAAAGCCCTCTTGGCCGACGCAGAACGTTCCAAAGATATCGAATCAATGGAAACAGCAACTCGCACAATGGAAAAAGTCGTTCAGCCGCTCATTTCTGCGATTGCAGACGCACAAAAGCTCTTACTGAATTCCGCGCACGAAGCCATTTTCGGCGGCGAAAAGGATCTTCTCGACGCAGGATTCAGCGATGGAGGAGATATGTCGGATATCGAACTCGAAGCCATTTCGAGCAAAGTGAAAGCTTTGAAAAAATTGGTCATGGTGCCGCAAGCTGATTGGAATAAAAATGAAATTGCTGCGGCGACTAGTGCGTTGACGGAAGCGAGAGCCGAGTGGAATAAGAAGGCGAGTGCTGTTGAAGCGGAGAAGGAGAAGGCTGAGGAGGCGCGTAAGAAGAAGGCTCAGGAGTTTGTGGATTTGCAGGCTCAGTTGCTACAGGAGGCTGAAAGTGCCAACGCGGAAAAGGCTGCTGCTACTGATGGTAGTGGTGGTGCAGCGCCAGTTTCGACGCCCGTTTTGCCAATGCGTTAGGTATGGGAAGACTGGATCTTCGTATGCTGTAGTGGACTTTTTTCCTGTTTGGATGAGCTTTTCGAGGCGATCTACTCTCTCCCGTAGAATTCAACGAGCTGAATATTAGTTAGCCATTGCCCCCACGCCTCTTCTCTCTCACTCTCTTTCTTTCTTCCTTCCTCAAATCCCAAATTCTCACGTCCCCGCCTATCACCGAAACAACACTACAAATCACACATCGGACACCTCGTCTCCGTATTCGGCGTAGCAGGATACTCATCTTCCCCATACGTACGATTAAGCATCACAGCCCCAACCACATTTCCACTTTCCAGCCGAATCCACGTCTCCAAATTCAAATCATCCTCTCTCACCAAAATCTGCCTCGAACCTCGTTCCCAAGATCCATAACCACCATAACCCGAATGTTGATTGAAGCACAAATGGATTCCATTTCCCGCGATTTCCATCCCGGAAACTAAATGGTTCCATTGATAACACCATGTATCTCCGTGATTGTGACCGCTGAATACGGCCATGAGACCGGGTGTGGATACGAGGGCGCGCATGAAGGGTGCGTCTTGGCCGCCGTAGGTACAATCGGATTCTGCAGTTCCATCGTGGGGACACCAGCCTTGGGATTGTGGGGCGAGAATGTAGTCGTCGTTGATGCCGGGTTGTCGATGTGGATGGACGCCGTCTTCGGATTGTAAAGCGGCGCTGGCGTTAGTGGGGATGTGGACGAAAGCGAGGGAAGGGATGATTTTGCCGTGCTTATGGTTCAGGTGGTTGGTGGTGGTGGTGAAGAATTCGACGACGCTGCGATCGACCCAGTTGGGTTGCGCGACTAGGTTGTCGTCGGGAGTTTTTTCTTGGTAGTAGTGGCCGCCGCGACTGTCGAAGAACCAGAGCAGTAGGCTGGGGACTTTGTTGTTATTATAAGGGAACACTTCCAGATAGTAGTTGGATACACCGGCTTGACGGCCGAAGACCATTTGCTTCGTGAGAGAACCAGGAAAGCGATGTTCGTGAGCGAGGATCTGCTCTCGAGACAGATTAAAGGCAGAGTCATGGTTACCATAAGTGGAAGCAAAAGGCAAATCTCGGTTTACTATCGGAGCAACGATTTGGTCGACATATTTGGAGCTGTTGTGAGCGTAGGTATTTTCACCAGTGATCAAGTCGCCTGCATGGTGGATCAGATGCGGCCATCTCCAAATCGAATACTTACTTACCATTGAGAACGACCAGTTCCTGAGATTCGGCATCGAGGATATCACCCATGATCTTGGCGGTGCTGAGGTCCTGCTGAGGGCCCCAGGAGTCCCATGCATCTTCAGTGCAGATTTCTTCGATCAGCATTGCGTTTGCTATCTTAAGGGGTTTTGACTACATCTTACTTTCTCCAAAGTGTAAATCCGCAAACACGGTGATCCGAAATGTCCCATCCTCGGTGAACCTCAACGGCCTCCGTCGGTGTGAGCTACCATTTCGTGGCACGACCGCGCTCCACATGAAGACAAGAGCGATACCGAGTATAGCACAGACACAGAGTATCTTGACAAGGTGACACCGTTCCGCATGGCGTATTTCCCGCCCACTTTCGTCCGGCAAGGCTTCTTCTATAGACTGTTCGCCATCGTGAAGCCTATGATATGCGAATTTCTCCGCGGATTTCGGCGCCATACTTGTGATGGAGTGATTGTTCGAAAAGCTTAGCAGCCTCGTGTCTCCGAGCTGTTACCCACGTCTAAGTCCCATGGTCGAACACGTTCTCCAAATTGTCCAGAGACGAGGTTCGTGCCGCCTCCTTGCTGACAGGTGGCGGTAAACAAACGGAGAGTGTGCCGAAGCGAGCTGACGAGTGAATATAAGTTATTACAGGTACATGTGTGTAGGAGGTACAATGTAAGCGCGATGCTTGTTGTTGGTCTGACAGGGACCTACTGTAAGCGTAGTCCATCGACGTCACATGCCTCGGCCAAGTTCCCCTCCAGTCCGATCGATATATGTACTGTAGGAAGTACATACACGTACCTACCTTACATGTACTCATGTAAGCGGCTCGACACAACAATAAATAATACCATGTCGTCTCTGCAAAACTCGTTACCATGGACGAAAAGTCCACTGGTAATCAATGCGCCCGTGAGTCGAATTTCTTCTTTCAGCGAAAATCTTCCCATATGCAGAGCAAGTTCCTAAAACAGCACAATTCAGATGGGAGGCTTTGCCACGGCGGAACTCGCGATCGCAGTCAGCAGGTCCGGCGGTCTGGGCCAAATTGGCTCTGATGGCTCCATGAAGAACCTTGAAGTCGAACTATCCAAAGTTGAAAAAGCTCTAGATCGGACGGAGAAAGGTCTTCTGCCTATCGGCGTCGGCCTGCTATCTTTCGTCACGGAACGAGAGAGTGCGCTACAAATTGTCGAAAAGTACAAGCCAGCAGTAGTTTGGCTGTTCGCTGCTCATAAGCTGAGCGATTATGCCGAATGGGCGAAAGAAGTTCGCAAAGTAACGTCACACTCTCAAATCTGGGTGCAGATAGGCAGTGTTGCAGGAGCTCTGGAGATAGCAAAGGACACAAGGCCTGATGTAATATGTGTCCAGGGCATTGATGCTGGAGGCCATGGGTGGGAGAAGGGCGCTGGAATTATCTCGCTGCTCCCAGAAGTTAGTGACGCGCTCGCTGGGACAGACATTGCGCTGGTCGCAGCAGGGGGGATAGCAGAAGGACGAAGCGCTGCTGCTGCCTTCACGCTGGGAGCGCAAGGCGTCGTTCTCGGGACGAGGTTCATTGCCGCATCGGAAACGAAGATCAATCCGCACTATCGGGCTGCAATTCTGGCTGCACAGGATGGTGGCCAGACGACCGTTCGTGCAAAGGTCTTTGATGAGCTTCGTGGCGAGAACATATGGCCGAACGCCTACGACGGACGCAGTATTCGCACTGAGAGTTTCCAGGACCACAGTGAAGGTGTGCCGATTGACGAGATTCGTCGAAGATATGCAGATGCAGCCAAAACGGACAGTGCTGGGTACGCCCCGGGAATCGGCCAGGGCAGGGCGGCGACCTGGGCTGGCACAGGTGAGTTGCGAGACTCGTCTCGACGGACTCCAGGTGCAGACAATGCTGACGTACTTTAGGTGTTGGCCTCGTGCACTCGGAGCAGCCCGCAGAGGCTATAGTAGAAGAAATCCGGACTGGCATAGTTGCGGCTCTTGAGGCCGTCAAAGCCAGATTGTGATTGTGCTCATATCCTATTGACTCTCCTCCCTCGCCCTGGCCTTCTCCCTCGTTCTTCCTCAACGTCCTCGACCTCATCTTTGCCCTTTTCCAATTTGCCATCATTGAGCTCCCACGGTTGCAGTGCCCAATCCGTGGTATCATACCAATCCTCCCCGTCACTCATCTCTGTCACCATGTTGCCCTTGCCGTCAGATACGACATGGCCTTCTGCCTTGCAACTTCTGTACACGAACGAACGCAACCGGTCCGCCTTTTGCAGTCCCCCGTGTAATGCGTCCAATGAGCGCACAATCTGCTCTTGTTTTTGCACGTATAGCAGTAGGAGTTTCCGTGTCTCTTCTGCTTCTTGCGGTGGAAGGCCCAGATCGCGATCGGTCAGGGCGGCCGCGGGTGCTGAGAACCACGGATGCATGGCGGGCATCGCAGCAGAGTCGCTGGGTGTGGGCGAGGGAGTGCGATCACTCGGCCCAGCTGGTGATCGTGCTCGCGCGCGAGTTGTCATGGCATGCCTCTCAGTTCCATTGGATTGCGAAGCCGTCTCGGAACCGGCTTCTGCGTCAGTGATGTTAGCGACTGCGGGATTGGGTATGCTCTCGGGATGATCAATCGGAGGAGTGGCATTCGATGCGCTGCGGGTGTCTCCATTGGTGATAGGTGCTAATGCTCCTTCTCGTATCCCTCCGTGCACGCCATTGCCATTAGCATTGCTCTGACCCGTATGGACTGAATTCGTCATAGCCTCTGCCATGTCCTGCGCCTCCACACCTTCCATGGCCTCGTGATCAGAAACCACGACCCCGTTCGCCTGTGAAGTCGGTTCCGAAGGCTCGAGCTGGTCGCGAGCATCATCGGCGACCACGAGCTCCGGTAACGGTCGATCCAGGCCGAGCATGGGCTGGTCAGCAAGAATGCTCGGGACAACGCTCAGCTTGCCGAGGAATTCCTCGCCGGTGTGCAGCAGCCTGTAGTCACTATCCGCCTCAAAAGTCTGCGAAGGCACCCAGTCCGCGTCGCCTCGGAAACGCTGCAGCAGTCTTTTGGCCTTCCACAGACGGGCATGCTCTCGACGCAGCATCTCGCAAGCTTCAGCAGCCATCTGCGTAAGGCCTTTGCTTTTGTACGGTATGCTGAGCGTCGGATGGTCGGCGAGCTCACTGGCAGACTGTAGAGGCCGCAGCAATTCTTCCAGCAGGATGCCCTCATACGGATCGTCGTATTCGCGCTCGTGATCCTCGTCGTCAAGCTCTCCATCTTCGTCCAGGTCGCCGTCCTCGTCCAGCCAGCGGGGATTCATCGAAATCACGTTTCGCTCGTAGCCGCTATGCTTGACTCTCTACTATCTCGTAAGCGATGCATTCATGCGTTCTGTGTTACTTGTTGCTCGTGTGCCTGGAGTTATGCCCACACACCTTTCTGTATGCTTCTAGTCCGCCGGTATGATCGAGGCGTGTTTCGAGCCGCTGGCGGGGCTTGTCGCCGCTGTCGCTCGTGCGGCGCTTCATGGCCAGTTTCATGCCTCGAATGGTCTCGGCGACCAGAGCCGCTTGCTGTGCCGCGGCCATGTCGAGCTGCAAATACTGTACAATGTCCAAATATCGATTGCTGTGTGATGAGGTTTGTTGATTGTGACCTGAGCTTGCATCCGAATGCTCGGTCGCTTGTGACCGACGCTAAACCCTAAAGCTTGTAACTCTAGCCCCCGGCCTGGACCCTGCTTCCGCTTTCACATTTATCCATCCGGAGTGACGGAACGAACCGACACAAAATTCTTGAACCTCAAAATCCACTTTTGGATCCATTACCACACCGAGAAAGAGACATCACACGCAGAAATGGCAGAGCAAACGATACCAGCCAGCCTCTGGCCGTATGCTGGACCTGCACCACAATTGAGTCAAGTTCTCGGTCAGGTCGCGGGCCTCTTGAACGATCTTGGGTATAGCAAGACGAGCAGCGCTTTGGAAAAGGAAGCCGTCAAAAAAACCGGCCTGACAAAATTGGATCCAGCAACCGGGCTACTTGCTCTATACAACTCATTGGATGCGGCTACCACATCAGCGAGCGACAGTGATGCGGACAGCGAATCCAGCGACAATTCGAGCGACGATAGTGATGATGATTCGGAACAGGATGAGGTCGAGGGCGCTCTTTTAGACGTGGAAGCGGAGGAAACATCGGACGACAGCAGTGACGAGAAATCGAGCGTGTCTAGCTCTTCGGCCACACCTGCGAAGACGAGCACAAAGAGGAAACGGACTGCGACACCATCTTCATCGGGAAGCAGTAGCAGCAGCGACGAGGACTCCAACTCTTCCTCGGACGATAGCGACGCCCGTCCTGCCAAGCGAAGCAAAACTGTGGTTGCATCCAAAGGAGCAAACACACCAGATTCCTCTTCCAGCGAAAGCAGCAGTGACAGTAGCTCAAGCGACAGCGACAGTTCAAGTGCAGATTCTGCAGCAGACGACAGTAGCGATGACAGCGACAGCAGCTCCTCATCGTCTTCCAGTGACGACAGTTCCAGCGACAGCGAGTCTGACTCGCCTCCCGTCAAAACCAAGAAGGCGGAGAAGCAGAAGGCCACAAGTGAAGCTGCTGTTTCCCAGGGTGAAGTAGCAAAGGATAACGGATCACAGTCATCCGCAACATTGCAAGGGGACTCCCCTGAAGCCGAGGAAAAAGAGGAAGATATGAGCGGAATCCACCCTGATCGTCTGAGACGAAGTCAATTCGCGCCCGTCACAAAAAAGGAAGGCGCTGCGAACGCGAAGAAGGCCGCTGTCCCTTTCTCGAGAATTCCAGCAGACCAGAAAGTCGACCCACGCTTCAGCAACCAATATGTCTCGTACGACTATGCTGACAAGGCGTACCAAGATCTTGTGGTGACTAAGGGCAAGGGTTTTACAAAAGAGAAGAATAAGAAGAAACGAGGTGGGTTCCTTGGGCGGTGCCCTCACACAAAGGTCATGGCTAACGTGCTGCAGGTTCATACCGAGGTGGAGCGATCGATCTGGCACCGAAGGGTATCAAGTTTGACGACTAGCGATTATGTTTTCTTGGTACTTTTCGCGACATGGCATCGCATAGTTACTCTTGGGCATGTCCAATACACATACATTCGTGGCTGCGAGGTAACCGCCACATAGATTTTAATGAATCCTTGGACTAGGCATTCTCCGGCTCCCCTCTACCAGACCGGTCTCACTCGTGAAGCCCGAGCAGTTCTCGTGGAGATTGTCGCATGCTGACTGGTCAAACATCCAGCGACTCCCCGCGTTGCGTAATGTGAGAGCTTGGTTGCACAAAGAAGCTACAAGCTCGAAGTGAGTGCAGCCCACCTTACTTATAACTGATCAGTATCAGCTGCAGCCCTCCGACGAGCAGCGCACGTTCCTCCCATGACCAACATGCCTTCGACTCCACCGAAAACCGTGTTCGTATTCGACAACCCCAGAACATGCTCACAGCTCTTCAACAAGCTGATGGCATCGCACCCTCAACTGAGCAACATGTTGCACCCATTTGTAGGCCCTTCCATGTACGGACCGGAGAACCTTCGTCAACACCTGGAAGACAGCGAGCCTGCTTCTACAGCAAGAGACAATCTCGCGCGAGTCTCTGGTCTCACGAGTGAAACCTATCCCCAGGTCGCTGAGCGACTAATACGCCAGGAAGCAGCTTTACGCGCTGAGGTTCTCTCCCGCTCGCCCAAAAGGCCAGGGTGTCAATGCTGACAAGTGAAAATTGAAGGGCACAATTCCTTTGATCAAAGACCACGCACTCTGCGTGACGAAGCCAGATATCATCGCCGCATACATCCACCACCGTAAACACGACACCTCCGCAAACCCCACTGTTCTTCCCGACTCCTTCTTCCTCGACTCGACATCAACCCAAACCATCATCACCATCCGCCACCCCGCTTCCATCCTCCCTTCCTTCTACCGCGTCCAAGGCCCCGTCTTCCACTTCTCCATCACAGACGAGACTCTCAAAGCCATGTCCTCCCTACACTGGTCCCGTCTAATCTTCGACTCCTACCTCTCTCGAGGCCACCAACCAATCATCATCGACGGCGCAGACCTCCTCTCCAACCCTCAAGCTCTCATCTCCACATTATGTCAATATCTATCTCTCGACCCGGACGGGATCCAATACACGTGGCCTGTAGTCCCTCGAGAGCAATGGCCAAAAGATTTGATCATGCAGGGATTTTTCCAGGATCTCTTGCAGTCGGAAGGTGTGAAAAGTCGCCCTAGAGCGGTTTCGAGGTCGGGAGCTGTGGATTTGGGGGTCAAGGAGAAGGAATGGGAGGAAGAGTTTGGGAAGGAGGTTGCGGGGAAGATGAGGCAGCTTGTTGAGGAGGAGATGGAGGATTATGAGTATTTGAGGAAGTTTTGTTTGGTTGTTTAGTGATATGGGAGCTTGAGTTGGGTAGTGGTGTTCGTGTCAATTAAGAGCACTCGTTTTTTTGCGAAATTTCATATCTCGGTTAGTTAGATAGCTTTCTGTGTTGTATCTGGGTGGGTGAGTTGACAGGATAGATGAACCCTCGATGGATTTGTTGAGCATATCGTTCGTTCGTTCGTCAAAGTCCGCCGCCATCCATCCATCTTGAGCTAAACCTGGTGTTCATACTCACAAAGGCGTGACCAAATGTCGCATAGCACTAATCTTTACGCGATTATATACAATTCTAAGTTTCCACCAACCATCAGTCAAGTAGATTATCATCCGAAATGGTCTAGTGGCTAGGATTTCTCGCTCTCAAGCATTCTTCAAATAATGCGAAGTGCCGAGGAGGCCGGGGTTCAATTCCCCGTTTCGGAAATTCTTCTTTTGCTCAGCTTCACATGGAACATAATACATATCTTGCATGCTGTGAAAAGAGTATGTCCATTTTGGTATCCCCTAGAGAACAGGCGAGATCGAGATTGTATACAATTGAAACAGGACTTTGGTAGAGGCTAGCTATAGCTTACTTACCTGGTACACAGGTGTTTCTTTTTCGGGGACACGCGGGGCACTTTGGGAAAACATATCTCGATCGTGGAGGATGGGTGCTTGGCATGGACACACAGCTCCCTAGAAAAATGTGTGTTATAGCTGTAGAGAGATAGGATGATTTTGAAAGTTGAATGTTTGTAAGATGAACGCGGGAAGAAAGTGCTGGTTACAAAGTCCTTTATTGATTATAATTCAGGTTGAGGTCCACTGGGGCGTAGGAATATCATCTTGTAGCAATGGATCAAGCTGCAACTTTTCTACCTCCTACTAAAAGCATCAAGTCGGGCAGCAGCTAGTAGTGATGCAAAAGAATAGCAGATCGTCTGCGAAAAGGCAGTAGGTATGTAGGATCTATACAAAATCACAGTTCACAGAATTATATTTCGTTATATTTGAATAAAAAAGGGACAAAAAGGAAATTCGTACGGGCTCAACTCGGCTGCAGAGAACGATTAGAACATCATCCGTCAACGCTAGGAAGCTCAACGGCGGGTACTCACAATTGAACCAAGGACCTCTTGCAATTGTGATTTGGAGAAACCCAAAGCAAGAATCATACCACTAGACCTGACGACGCCGTTAGCGCTAGGTCAACATGGAAGAGATCGTAGTCGAATCCTCTTACCATTAAGCCAGACGTGTTTGTTATGCTGTTGGGGGATGCGTTGAGTAAAGGTAATATAAAAGCTCATTGAGAAAGTTTCTATAGGAGAACGGCGGCGGTGACGGGGATCCCAGGTCTACGGCAAATGATGGAATGGGGGCACGAGTCTCGTATTCGGTACAAGCTGTACCTCCTGCATTACCTAGCTCAGGTATGTAGTCAGGGAGACTTTTGACGTATGTCTTTCTCCTGCCTACCATCTCTCGTATAAGTACCAGTCTGCTAGAGGTGATATATCACATACGGTTCTTTAACAGCTATAATACGTAGCTGGAGCTGGAGCATCGAAGGTCGTTCCTAGACGTTCCGGTTGAGCCCAGTATCGCGAAATGTATATTCGACTACTACTACAATAACCTTGAATACACATTTATAGGTCTCGTACTTAGGCTCACCTCTTCATGAATAAGTACACGGGCATCGCGCAACTAATTTAACCCTTGGAGCCAGCTAGTTCCTACCAGCTATTGAGCCAGGCGACTCGCACGAGTGGTATCTATCCAGGCTTGCTGCGTATGAACAAGACTTGGCTCTTTCATCTTGAAAACACGACATACTTGTCGCCTAGTGGAAGCTCTTTTAAAACCTCGGGCGGACCTATCATTGCGTGCATGTTGTCAAATCGACTGACTGAATCAGGTTTACGGCATCATTTTCATCACTTCTTCTTCTTCTTAGATGGTCTGTACGCTACGAGAGATGATGGGGAACGCGTCTCTCGTCCTAAATGTTACTGCAAGCGAGTCGAGATGGCGAAGTCGTTTATCGGATGGCGCTTCTCTTTTTTCCGGCGTGTCGAGAAGGGGGTTGAGTAGGTAGCTGTGAAAGGGGGTTACAGATTGTGTATACCTATGTATCCACGGAGTCGATGGCATGCAGTAGATGGGATGAATGTTTTTGTGGTGGTCACCAGACACAAACATGTCTTTGAACTAGCCGATGTCGGCGATTCTGGTGTTTGCATCCACTGAACCGCAGACAGGCCGATATGGCTGTTTACTCCTTGTACAACGAGGTTTCAAAAGGGATCCACAAGGGCATCGACTACAACGGAACAAACAACGGCGCTTAATACCACTATGGCGTCGTTCTGTTATACCATCAACGAATCCGCGTGACTATGTGGCACCTACACTCACTTCATTCGGGGCCACGGTCCTAGTTACATCACCGTACCTCACACATTCTCGAAGACCTTCTCCAAGAAATGCATAATCCAATCCGATCCGCATCATTGCACAAGTGGGAGATGGCTCCGCGACGATGCCACCCAAAGACAGAAGCGCTACATCGACTTTGATTCCAGCTCCTTTGCGACCGAGTCGTGAGCCTTTCCCCCGGGGCGACGGCGGTGAGATCATGGCGGAAGAAGGAAGGCGGGTTCAATCGCATCTTCATCATGAACTTGGATTCGGGATCCAAACTGGTCGCAGAGATTCCGTATCCGGGTGTTGGTCTGCCGCAAAGACGAGCCACTGTATCCGAGGTGGCCACTGTTGCCTACTATACGTACATACCTTCAATGGATCCAGGGCATCTGTATAATGGAGCGCTAACACCAGCTATACAGTACAGCCGCACACGATCGTTCCCATCCCTCGAGTGATGGAATGAAATTCGGATCCTCAGAATCCAGTGGAGTGCGAGTACATTATCATGACAGAAGCTCGCGGAGTCCTGCTCAGTGGTAAATGGCCGCAGATGACAGGGCCGCAGAGGGTGGGTTGCATCAGTCCGATTTTCCAAAACGTGAAGCAGCTTCAGGATCTCGAGTTTCCTGCTTACGGGAGCCTATATTTCCACGAGGAAATCTCTCTGATATCGACGAAGAAGTTCGACCTCGATTGTGGGATTTGTCTCTCACAATACTGCGGTATCGGATATTGGGACAGCGACAGTACCAGCCGTGCGCCCATTCATCGCGGTCCATGTAAGCTTTCAGGCCCATTGTTTTGAAGGACTTTCAGGCGGACTTGATCCATCTTGCAGGGAGAGACTTGCAGGGATTTGCGGACAGTCTGGTCGATGTGGGCATTGCACGTGTCCCCACTGAACTTCCTACAATTGCATCCGGCCCTCCCTACCAGGGCTTACCCCAAGAGCACCGTGACATGCTCACCACGGCTCTCTCCATCTTTCAGGCGATATCGACAAGCCCGAGTGTACAGAAAGCCTCAAAACCGCTCCTATACCACCCCGATCTCCACGCTCGCAACATCTTCGTATCCGAGCATACCCCGACCCTCGTCACCGAAATCACCGAGTAGCAGGGCACCAGCGTAGAGCCAGCCTTCTGGCACGCCGACGTAACACCCGACTTCGCGCATCCGAACGACGAGACATCTGCCAAGACATGTGCAGTATACATCGCCGTCTTAATCCCCAAACTTGCGGCAGCGCAGCGCGTGGACGAGAACATTTTCCGACCCTACCAATACTGTTTTCGCACGTGGAAAGATGGCATCCCGGCTTATCGACACGAACTGGCCGAGACGTGGGAGTGTTGGAACGAAATGAATGAATTACGAGGAGTCGATCGACCCCAGCAGCAGCAACAGACGGATGTCAAATTCATCATCACCCAAGACAAGAGAGCATACGATTTATTCGTCACCGCTCAGATGATGAAAACGGATTTTGCGAATCTGTTGAACTGCGAGACGGATGGATGGGTGCGAGCGGAAACATATGAGGCGACGAAAAAAAAAAGATACCACGATAAGCTATTTCACGGCGCGTTACACGCTGTGCTCGACGATGCCAATGATTCCGAGGAGACGACCAAGAATGAAGAGACGACTTTTCGAGCGCTTTGGCCGTTTTGAATCGAATGCATAAAAACCGAAATGTTATAGCTGAATGCGTGATAAATTGATTTGTCCGCCTATCTAAAGAGAACAAGGAGAAGTATAATTTTACTCTCCAAAAAAAAGGAAAAAAAAGGGGGAGCCAATCACCCCTCTCCTCTCCTCTCCTCTCCTCCTAGATATCCCCAAAAAAATAGAATAAAACCTCTAAAACCTCTTCACAATCCCCTCCCCCTTGGACCTCCTATACCCCTGAAACTGCATCAACAACTCCTCATCCACCCCTCTCAACTGCGAACAACCCTCCAACTCCCCCATCAAAGCCTTGACTTGGCTCGTCAAAGAAGGAATCTGGCCTGTGACGACATCCAACGCACCAAGTAAATCCGGTTTAGCTTGCGCAGCAAACTGATAAGCAAAACAAGCAAAACTATCTTTTTTGGTAAAGAAATTTTCTGCGGGGAAAAGACCGGAGGTGAAAGAGGTGATGTTGAGGCCTGTGAAGGTGTTGGGGCCGTTGGTGTTTCTGTGAGAAAAAGAAAAGAGGGGGGTTAGTGGTTGGTGATGAAGAAATGAGAAGAGGAGGAGTAGGAGGTGAGGCTTACCCGCCAATATTGAGAAATTTGGGATGGAGAGCTGCAGCGTTGGCGGCATCTGCGAGGAAATAGGCGTTGTCGTAAGGGTATTCTATCGGACGTTTGTACTGTTTTTTCCTCATATTAGAAACATACTGGCAAAAGGGGCTTGCATGGATAAGAGTCGAAGGAGGTAAGGTAGGTACATGTACTCACCCAATTCAACGGAATCCTCTCCCACCCTTCCCTCCACACATATTCTCCTCCACCTCCCTCTTCTTCTTCCACCCCAAACCACGACTGCAACACCTCCGACCTCAACTCCCCATGCGGAGACTCCACACTATGATTCGCCATGAATCGATAAATAAAAGTATACGCGGCAGGTTGCACGAGGACACCCGTAAAAGGGCCGTTGAAGAAAAATGGATTGCTGGAAATTTGATCGTCGAAGCGTTGCGAGCGGAAAGCTGTCAGGGAGTTGAGATCGATGATGCCGTTGGGAGACATGGAGATGAGTTGCCGGAATTGGTCGATGATGAGTTTGTAGTTGTTGCCGGTTTGGTAGAGATCGGGTCGGGTGGGTGAGGCGTCGGATTCGTATCTGTTTGTTTGAGTAGACTCGTCGGTTAGTTTGAGCGAGACATTTTTCTCGATAGATCTGGTCGAGCGGAATGGAGGGGGGGAGAGAGGTTTACTTGTTATGCGATCCAGAAAGTCTAATACCGAAAAAGAAAACCCCGTCAGTATCTGATCATCAGGATAAATAAAAATCTCTCAGTCCATCAGAAATATTTCAACATACCCATTCCCAAACCCAGAAAGAGGCCCTCCAACACCCGGAGGAGGCGTCCCATGAATCGACCACGAAATCCCATCTCCATCAATCCCGGCTCCCAGCACAGCGAGAAAAGCAGCAAGTTGAACACCCATTCCAACCACAGAATTCGTAGCTTCGATGAATTGCGTAATAGTCGCATAACCATTGTGCGGTAAAAATCCATGGTTGGCGAAAGCATTCTGTTTTTCGAAAGTAAAGAAAATGTCAGCAGAGCAAAAAAAAAAAAAAAAAGAAAATATCCATCTCCTTCTCATCACCATCATCATCATAACAGACAGACGACACTGTTAATAGTAGCTGATACCTCCTATAACAAAACTCACCAAACCAGGACAAGGACCCCTCAAATCCTCCGGTCCAGGAGCAATCCATTCATGACCACTTCCCGGTCCAACATCGACCAATTGAGCTTCTGCATTAAAAATTCCCACGGGCTCAAATATTTTCGTGGCTCCATCTGCGGTGAGAATTTGTTGTCGTTTGGAATTGAACGTGTTGCTGCTGCTGCTGCTGCTGCTGCTGCGCAGAATCTCGGCTGCTCGGGCTGCGAAGCTGGGGTCTTGGGATGCTGCTTGGGAGAGAATGGAGGAGGGGAAGGCGGTAGCAAGTTGAGGGGCGGAGGAGAGGAGGAGGAGGAGGGGTGGTGCTGCTGCGTAGTACTTCATGTTGTTGTTCGTCCTTCGTCCTTCGTCCTTCGTTCGTCCTTGAGGTAGATCAGGCCAAATTTCAATCCACCCTAAGGTACCTAGGCGTCAAAACAAATCCAAAACAAATCGAAACGGCCAGAAAGAAAAAAAGCTCAAGCAAGCAAACAAGCCGATCGACCTTATACATAAAAAAAACACATAAAGTATCCCTCCAACCACATTTACCTTTCCAGCGCCTCTAGATAAAATACCAAACTTGGCAAATCAGACAGACAATCCCTCGGCTTTCCAAATGCCCTCAAATAGTTGCAAATACCTTATGCAACAGTTCCTCACATGGCCGATCACTTACCGGTTTCACGCTCTAGTGCTCTTTTGTTGGATGTAACCATGAACTGATCCAGCGAGCAGCAGTAGCAGTAGCAGTAGCACCCCCCCTCCCAGAAAAAATAAACCCCCCAATTAAGCTAGAACCTTTCTTTATTCAGATCGACAAAAGTGTATCTCCTACCTCCTAGAGAGAGGAGGGGGAACCATAACCATAACCATGGTATAGCATGTGCGTTCGCACATACCTATACCACCCCAGAGTCTAAACAAAAGGTCGAAGATCCAGCCAATCCCAAGCGAAAGAAAAAAGTGCCAAATGACCTCCTTCTGTCTTTCAACTTGGTAGTGATCAGCAATGGCATTTTCGCAGAGCACAAAAAAAGGGACCCTTGAACCCTTTAAGGATTTCCCCGCGTTTTTTGGTGGACTTGCAGGTTGCAGACAAAGGGGGATCCCGGCGGCCTTATTTTGGGGTCGTTTTTCCTGTCGTGCTTGGGTATATGGCGTGCAACTTCTAGTAGGTTTCCTCCTCTTATCCTTGCGTTGTTGAACAGTAGGTAGATACCTAGGCGATTATGGCCTCCGCCCACCCTTGTGGAATCTGTACGCTCATTCTCGTTACAATATGTAAGGTGTATATGTATATGTATATACAATACAGTACTGTTATTACATTTCGTAATTGAGGCCCGAGAGAGATACAAAAGAAAAGCTGCACACAATACAGACAGACTTCAAACCGCCAACACCATCGCTCAGTTAGGGATGCTGCCAATTTTGGATTTTTCTTCTGAATTTTCTTTTTTGCTCGTACTGACTTTCATCAACTCTCAACTCACCCACCTAGAGCGGTACGGGCTTTCGTGAAATACTCCCTATCCTGCGACCGGGGATGCCCTTCTCACCAACACTGGGAACGCGACCAATTCCGCCTTGATGATCATCGTAGACTACGCTGCCGTTCCCGACAACGCCTCCCGCGCTAGACTGCACATGGGAATGATCGAAATGGAAGGGGACCGTCTGACCGGTCTCGTAACCACCCATGTCAATGACAGGAGGATGCACCCAGGTCTGCTCGGAAAAGTGACATCCATTTTCGCCTACACCTTCCCGGAAATCGCCCACTGTGCCACGAGGATCAAACTCGAGCGCGGTAAACCTCCTCGGACCCGACTGAGGGGGATATAGACGAGCGAGTTCGCGGTCGACAGCTTCCTGAATGACGCGCTGCAGATTGAGATTTTGAGCTGCACCGCCGGGCACCTTGTCGGCCGAAATCTCGTAGCGACCTCCCGCAGGCGTTTGCACGAAATGGCGAGGCGGCAAGACTTCAATGTCGACGATGGGGAGAATGCGGTGGTAGACGTCGTGGGTATGGATCTCTCGTTCGACGCGTTCGGTGACGATTTCATGCGTGTCCACTCGCACGGTTTCGTGCACGACTGCCGGCGCGGACGTGGTGTGTACGGTCGTGTCCTCCGTGTTGGTCAGATTGATGCCGTGAGCGGCGAGGTCGATGGGGGCATCGGAGTCGTGGACCAGGTGGTCTGGCGGAGCTCGAGGCTGGGTGGACGGAGTGCTGAAGTTCTTGACCGCTTGGCCGTCGCGGGCGAGCGAGTGTCGACGCTGGTCCACGGGCGGGCTCATTCTCCTCGTGCTGGCGCCACCATTCTGGCGCTGCCAGTCTTGACTCGCGTCACGGGGTGGAACGGCGGCAGCTGGAATGACGTTTCTAGGAGCACCGTTACTGTTGCTGATGCGAGAACTGCCTGACCTTGTCATGTCGTTGCTCAGACGAGCGCTGGGCGGGCGAGCTGGGTCATCGCTTCTCCTCACGTTGATGACTGGTTCTCCATCACGACTCATGTTGCGTAGCGGAGCGTCTTGTGGTCCATATCCTCCCTCCTCTTGCTGCAAGTGCTCTGGAATGGACTCCTTCGCATGCTGAGCGGCAGTGTGGCCACTTCCGGCGCTGTCCACACGATGTGTTGGCTGGGCACCATTCCCGTCATTGGCAGTGCCATTGGCGCCATTCACCTCCAATTGCTTGAATTTGGCAGAGAGATCTCGGTGATCGTCGACGCGTCGTACGCTCGAGGCTGCACGCTTGGGCAGTGCTGGTGAGTGTTGCGAGTAGTCCCTGGAAGAGCGAGAAGCGGTGGAATTATGGCCGGTGGGGCGGGATCGCGATCGACCTGGTTTGGTGGGAGAATAATTAGTGATGTCCGGCACCACACGTCTGGCAACGATGGAACGCGCCTCTTTTCCCCGTTATTGTGTAGTCGGCAGTCGAGAGTAGTGGTGATGGTAGTGTGTGTGATGCTATACCACGCCGTCGGATAGTTCCACGGAAGACAGGAGTCCCTCGCCAAACCCTGCACAGCTCACCCAAGCACTCGGGCCTGTCACAAGGATGTTGACGGGCTGCGGCTCCGTGGACCGGGTTGCCGTGCCGTTGTGATGATTGATAGGGATGTTCGGTAGACGGTAGAAGTCCGTGATGAGAACGACAACTCAAGGAGGAATGCTGCACTTACTTGCACTTCTCCTCACAAATTCTCGCACCGACGAGCTTCTCGAGTTGCGAGCGAGTCTCTTGTCCTCGGAGGTGCGGGCCACTGCTGGCGATGGAGCAGCGTCGTTGCCATTGGCATAGGCGTAGGCATTGGCATTGGCATTGGTATAAGCAGGGACAGGGGCAGGGACCGGGGCATGGGAAGCTTGATGGCGGTTATGGTTGTCGCCATTATCGCCGTGCTCGCCCCGATGCAACACCTTGGCCAACTTGTGCTTCAGTGCCGAAGCCATCACACGATCTCGACAATAATGACAACAACAACAACAATAACAATTCTTCCAACAATCCACGCGGTCGCTGTCTCGTGCAGAGGGAGACGCTGCAGAGAGACGGGAGAGAAGGGCGCGTCTGGTTACATCATGTCGGACGGGAAGGGAAGAAAAGTCGTTCATGACGCTTCCCTGCATAATGGCAATTTTATATCAGCGGCGTTGAAGTGTCTAGAACGAGAACCGTTGACGGGGCTTCCGTTGACGGGAGCAGCCACAATTCTGTGTTTATACAGGAACATGTAGGTAGGTCAAGAGGTGGGTAGTTCTGTGTAGCCACGTCAACTCATCATCATCTCCCACCGCCAGATGGCGCAGCACCAGCCTCTGCAGCGTATCACAAGCGTGGAGATGGTGTCCGAAAGCATTTACCCCCTCCCCTATACGGACGCCAAAGAGTGCAAGGAAAAAAAACAGCGTGGCTCAAGCTCACAGCTCGCAGCTCCCACAGCCACATTGTCGTCATGTTCACCTGGTAGCTAGTTGCTAGTCTACTGTACATGGAGGAGGTAGTGTACTGGTCGACCATTGATGTTATTCGTATTGCCGCTTGCAGCGCGTCGGTACTAGTCGGTAACTCCCCAAAAGTTGGCACACGCTTAGACCTAGACAATGCTGCAGGTCGATCACTACAACTCTATCTGTGATAAGATGCAAACATCGATGCCGCTAGCAGTCATAGGGTCCACCCTGCTGGGAATTCTGCCACGAAGCCTGCGTGTTCACTCACTTCTGGACGGAGAAGAAAGCCTTGCCTCGTCCCCACGCCGACGACGATGATGATGCACGTGTGTACGCAAGCTACGAACAACAGCAAACCGCCTTTCTGGTTGGTGGACAGGCGCCTAGACTGCTGCACATCCTTCTCTTCCCGCTCCGAACAAAGCAATGCTGGATACGCTAGCAGAGCTCGAGTACACACAACCTACGCCATAATGAACAATGTCAAAGGAATTCTGGTCCACCGTGTTCGGACCGAACCTCACCAACAAAATGTGGCTGATGCCGTTTGTTCCCCTTCTGCGCTGGCGAATGCTGCAGCTGCCCGATTGACGACAGCCACAATAAGAGTAGTGATGCCACGATGCAGCGATGCAAACGACACCACATTGCCACCAGATGAGACAATGAGTGAGAGAGAGAGAATAGGGAGAAGGGAAATGATGGGCTAATGTATTGCAGTCGATACCGTCTTGCCTCCCCTTATACATTGTAGTTCAAGTCTGAGAGAGAGAGAGAGAGAGAGAGAGAGAGAGAGAGAGCAGGATGGAGGGGATAACAACCCGTCTCATCCCACTCGTCGACCACTTCTCACCCAATGGGGCGCAGAGTGAGCCTGAGGACGGTGTAAATGTGGCAGACGTGGCTCGGTGTAGCCGATGTCTGTGGCGCAAGTCCTCGAGACTGTCTCGCCCTTTCGTTGTAGCAACGGATCGCCGGAACGGTCGTCATACATCATCCACATTGTGCAGTCTGGTCGCTGCATTCGCAGTAGTTCAGTGGATCTCTACCACTCAAGCGTCTCGGGAACTGCCAGCTACGGCATGCAACACTGTGAACACCTCTTCGACGTGACGTGACATGACGTCGACCCGCTCCATGGGAGGAGAGGCAGAGCTCCGGACGACGACGGCGACATGGTGATATAATCAACCGCTTCTCGCCTCCCTTGAGCATCATTCTCCCTACTACATCACCACCCTTTCTCACAGAAACTACTCCTCCCTACACTCCAGCATACACCCATAATAACCAATATCATCAATCAACATGGACGCCGCCAAGAACGCAGTCAAGAGCTTCATCAGCAAGGATGGTAAGCATGACACCACCGTCCACGAGAAGGTCAACCCCGCCGTCGTCAACGAGACTGTCGCCAAGCAGCAAGAAGACCGTGTCACGACTGCTGTCGACAAGGAAGTCCACCAGGACCACTACCACACTTCGGTCCAGCCCGTCAAGGACTCCAACATCCTCCCGGAGAAGCACCACCACAACCTCGCCGGAGTTGAGCACCGCAACTTCGAGCACGACAACCCTGATCAGGTCAAGCAGAAGCTTGCTGCCGAGCAGGCACGCTTCAAAGACACCACTGAGACCGTCGCTGGCGAGCACCGCACCACCGCCATGCCCACTGTTGCCGGCGAGCACGTCCACCACCATGTGCACGAGAACATTCAGGTATGTCTCTTTTATCTTCCTTCCCATTGGTACGGGGAATGGCCACTAACATTGCCTAGCCCGTGGTCAACCGCCAGACGGTCGAGCCACATGTCGTGCACACCACTGTCCCGATCCATGAGGTCCACCACAACGCCGCTCAGCACCACTCCACCTCTGCTTTGCCCGCCATGAGCATGTCTGAATTCAAGAACTCTGGCGGTTCTCTCACTGGCCGCGAGGAGCGCCACGACCAGTTCGATGGTTGCCCACGACCCGGTCACGCATCCACCGCTGGCACCAACAACAGCATCGAGGGTGGCGCTCACAACCACGGCCACTCTCACACCCACGGCACCACGGGTACGACTGGTACCACTGGCATGACTGGCACCAACGGCATGACTGGCAGCAACGGCGTGACTGGCAGCAACGGCATGACTGGCACCAGCGGCATGACCGGTACCACCTCCGACGGCTTGACCGGATCTCGCGCTGCTGGCACATCTGCTGGGTAAGTTCTCTCCTATTCACCTCACACAAATACACACACATCCATCCATCCATCCTATCAATTTGTTTCCAGCCTCTGAGAAAACCGTGTATCACACAAAAACAAAACAGTCCCACAGGAACCCCCATCGCTGATCAATTCACCCACAACAGTTCCGGCGCCACCGCCGGCGGCCTCACCGGCCAACGCCAACACGACGTCGAGAACAACCTCAGCGGCACCAACAACTCCACACACGGCAACACCTCTTCTTCCAACACGGGCAGCAATGCCACAAAGCCTTCGCTCATGGATAAGCTCAACCCCAAAGTTGACGCCAACGGTGATGGAAAAGCCGGCTTCATGAAATAGATTGCATGCATTTTTCTTTTGTCTATGTTATCTACCACCACCATATACGACACCATCCTGATGATATGAGATGATGATGACGATCATGATGATGTTTTTTTCTTTTCGTCCTTGGGGGACGAGGAATTTTTGGTCTCTTTTTTTTTTGTGTATTTCTAGCCGATAATAGTTTGATACCAGAAAGGAAAAAGAAGAAGAAATGAAATTGGAAAACATATTTGTTACTTTACTTTACCTATAATTGACCTTTCCCTTTCCTTTTTCCTACCTGACTTCTATTTTTTTGGTGATAGGATTAGTATAGTGATAGTAACAGTAACAATGAAACCAAGCTCTTTACCTTAACTACCTTACCTAGGTACATGTACTAAGTGACTTGGAATTAAATCCAGACTTAAATTAAATAGCGACTAGCAAAAAGGAAAAAGAAAGTAGAAAGAAAGATTTCACTTGTTTGAATGTTAATACAAATATTATATATTCAAGATAAGTACATAGATCCAATTTTTTCGAAAAGGGTAAGAGAAAAAGCCGACCGATAGATCCTAAGTAAGGTAGTAATATAGATTATAATACTACAAACAACTCGATCTGACTTTGTATATCTCGAGGTATACAACTAAACAAAATCGGATAATTTCTTTTATTGGGCAAAAGAAAATTCAGGCACTTTTTTTGTATATAGGAAGTAGTTCGGTCTTAGTGTCTCTTGATAGCGACTTCCAATTCCTACGTACGAAGGACAATTGGAAATTGACCCGTAAAGTTATCGATTAAGGTAGAGTCTGTTACCTTCGAGAACTATTCCTCCCCCGTTATAGTCGGTCGTATCACCGAAACCTGTCTGCCTGTCTGCCTGCCTCCATCAGCCAGCCCGCCTCATCAAGACAAGAAAAACCCAATCAAATCCTCTGCCAACCTCTCCGGCTTCTCCAACGCAAGACTATGTCCACACTCCTCATAAATCTCCGACTTGACGACATTCTCCGCAAACTTCTCCGCACACTCTTTCACCGTCGGGCCAAAAAACTCGGGTGCTCCCACAGTCATGACGGGGATTGTCAATTTCGTCTTCGCACACTCCTGATTGATTTCGGCGTTTTCAAATGCGGCTCGATAGGTTTCGAGAATGCCCCGAAGGCAGCCGGGTTGTTTGACGCATTCGATCCAGTGGTTGAGGGCTTTGGGTTCGATCATGTTGGGGTTGTAACATTCTTGTTTCATGAACATTTCCCAGAATTCGCGTTCGTGGCCTTGGATGAGCATTTCTGGGATATGGGGGATCCAGAAGAAGGAGAGATGCTGGAAAAAAAAAAGATTTCAAGGTTTTTAGTTTCATCATGGGGATCTTGCTTATGATTCTTGGATCGATAATGATGATGAGATACTTACCCAGCACCAGACACCCTCCATTCGATACTGTGCAGACACGTTACTCGGACTCCATAGGTTACTTTCCTCCAAACCCAATCCACTCAACAACATTTCACAGAAACTCAGCTTCAACACCCGATCTCGATACAATCCAGCAACAGCGTACGCATAGTCCGCTCCACGATCCTCGCCATGCAGATAGAACTTTTCATGTCCGAGCTGTGTCATCAACTCGGCCACATCGCTGGCTTGTTCTTTGGAAGTGTAACCTTCCGTAGTGGGAGGCTTGTCCGTATAGCCAAAGCCTCGCAGATCGGGAGCGACCAGAGTGAAGTGCGGTGTCAACAATGGGAATACTCGATACCAGTAAAAGCTGTTCTTGGGAGTTCCATGGAGGAGGAGAAGAGGAGGGCCGGATCCTGCTGTGATATAGTGAAGGCGAATGCCGTTGACGCGGGCTCGGCCATGTTTGACTGGAGCGCCGGCGTGGTCGTACGTCTCTGCGAGTTCAGATGCCATGATTGTCGTGAAACCCGAGCTTTGAGAAAGGCGTGTAGTCGGGATGGTGGTAAGGTAACCTCTTAAACGGCTCGGAGGGTCTCGTTGACCCCGCATATTGTACAGCTACAAAGGGTGGAAAGCCATTGCATCATGGTCGAGTTTGGTCCATCCATGTCGACGGGTGAGAGGAACGTCTGCAACATCGAGCGAGACAAGCTGGATATTTATTCTTCACTTATATACTGTTCATGTGGCAGAGCGTGAGTCTCCTCCTCATTAGACAATGGTCATGTATCGAACCAACCCTAGCAAGTTGAGTGTCTACATGACTTGCTGGAGCGTCGCTCAGCTTCCCACTGCTTGCTGATGCCATTGTTCGATGTTGAGACAGCACATGGGCGGTGTCATAAAAAAGAGTGGTGACCAGCCCAAATGGGAGTACGCCGACATGGTTCGGGGAGCGACTGATAGTAATGTTGCGTGCAGAGAAGCGTGGCAACCCCGAAGTCCAGAAACGGGCCATTTCTGGTAGATCGTTCTTGACCACAAGAATTGACGGCAGTGGAGCTTTCACTCCGCACCAGAAGCCTGTTCAATAAAGAGAAGCGTGGCGACCCCGAATCCAGAAACCGGCTACTTGATCTTCTGGAACCTCATCAACAGGGCCCTGTCGACGAGAATCATCGCGTTCAAAGCTCCGACTCCTCGCCAGCAAGGGCGCGGAGTGGGAGCTCGTCTGCTAGAAGCTCGTCGAGAGGACCCCGATCAAAAGAGTTGACGCGACCCAGAAGGGCGGATCATGGGGGCACCTCTGTGTGTACGGATGCCCTAATATCCAGAAACGGGCAATTTGCTCTTCTGGTATAAGTTCGTCGACAAGGCCCCGACCGCGAGAATCGAGGCGAACGGAGCTCCCACCCTCGCCAGAAGGGCGCGTGGTGGAAGCCCCTATTTGCAAAAGTCCCGCATTGTACGATTGCATTCGCGATTTGGTGAAATCCAGGGGGAACGCGGCGGTGGAACGCGGCGTTGTATGATTGCATGCGCGATTTGGTGAAATCAAGCGGGAACGCGGCGGTCGAACGCGGCGTTGTAGGATTGCATGCGCGATTTGGTGAAATCCAGTGGGAACGCGGCGGTGGAACGCGGCGTTGTACGATTGCATGCGCGATTTGGTGCAGTCAAGCGGGAACGCGGCGTAGGTGCTGAGTAGGGAAGCATCCACCCTCGCCAGAAGGGCGCGGAGTGGGAACTTCTCTCCTCAGCACCAAGCTACAACGCGGCGGTGGGACGCGGCGTTGTAGGATTGCATGCGCGATTTGGTGCACTCTAGCGGGAATGCGGCGAAGGTACTGAGGAGGGATGCATCCACCCTTGCCAGAAGGGCGCGGAGTGGGAACTCCTCTCCACAGCGCGAAAACCGGCGGCGACGGTTCGCAAGGAGAGTGACGTTCCTCGAAGGGTGGTAGAAGAGGATTCCCACCCTGGCCAGAAGGGCGCGGAGTGGGAGCTCCTCTCCTCGGCGCGAAAACCGGCGGCGACGGTTCGCAAGGAGTGTGACGTTCCTCGAAGGGTGGCAGAAGAGGATTTCCTTGCTCCTCTACGGAGAGTGCGGCGTAAGTGCTGAGCAGAGAAACCCCCACCCTCGCCAGAAGGGCGCGGAGTGAGAGCTCCTCTCCTCAGCACAAAAACCGGACGGCGGCTTTTGGCGAGGAGTGGGACTTTCCTCGTGGGGTGGTAGAAGGGATGCTCTGGCTCTTCTTGTTGCTTGCCTGGAGTGTGTCAGTGTGTTGTGTTCGTAGAAGGAGCAATCGAACACGTGGAGGTGCAGGAGAGAAGTGAAGTGAAGAAGATGGCGGCCGCGGTTGCCTGCTTGTGTAGGAGAGCGCCCGCTGCCGCCAGCACTGGAGGCATGATGGTAGCAACGATGTGATCCTGGCCGCTCAAAGGCGGCGAGGTAAGTGAATGGATGGACTCACCGTTGTTGGCAGCAGCCGCATCCCCTCTTCAACCACCCCCAAGGAGGGCTGCCCGCCCGGCGGCATCGAGGCTGACCCAACGCCGACGCAATGCGTTTCGACCCGGCTCTGAATCGCCCGAAAGTTGCACATCTGCCGGAGGGGGTGCCCCGGAGTGCGACCTGCAAGACCCAGTGGAACTAATCATTGCTGGATAGATTCGACCTCGGCCGGTAGACCTTCTCTTACAGACTCAGTTCTTCATCCTGAGGGATTAGCACGTTCCTTAAGCCAGAGAGTAAGACCTCTCCAACCCATGGCTGCGCGCTGGTTTCCACCTCTTTGAAGCCCGGACTGTTGAGTCACGTCAGTGGTGAGTTGCCTCGCGTGTGGGCTTGCGATGCAGAGCGAATGAATGGGTGCACCAGTGACTGGAGATGGATGAGGAGAGATGGAAGTGTGACTTACCGTGCTGCAGTCGATGACTAGACAATGTCTTGTGTTGGTGTTGTAGAGTCGAGAAAGTTGGGCTGGAAGAATTTGAGAAGTGAGAAATAGGGCCATAGGACTAGTGCGAATATCTTCTCTTGGCAAATATTGCTGTTGCCTGGGCTCCTTCACTGCAGTGCTTTACTAAGCTCCTCCGGGACGATGGCGCGCAGCAGGGGGATGGCTAGACGAGCAGAGACGTATCTATATCGTGACTGCTCACTGGTAAGATACATATATCAGTCTCCTTCGAGTTTCATACGCTGGTCGAAAGCAGAACTTCATGCACACCTGACTGACCATCATCGAGTGCTTCTCACAAGCCTTTCAGCTCTTTCTGAGACGCGTATCGAGCACGCCTGAGAAGCGCCGCTTTCTGACGGTCGCAACTGACAGCTCAAAAGGGGGCCACTGGTCGATGCTTCAACCTAGCCAGAGTGCTACAGCGGATGAGGATCAAGGAAGTCAGTGGGAAGATGTGAGGCATACTGTTACATTATCCTCAAATCTGATCGGCATCATATCTAGCTCCGGCTCGTCTCCCTCACCATTCCGACCAAAAGTCATGACTTTTCCTTGCTCCACATCCTTACGCGGCTTCTTTTCAACCGTGGACTCTGTTCCACTCTGGGCTACCAATCCTCAGACGTCAACCGCCTTGTTCCCCATACCGTCCGCCAGGCAGGATCGACACGTCTTAGCGGCTGGCAGAAGCGCCAATACCTGCAGCAAGGCCAGCAGTAAGGCCACCGAGCGCACTGGTCAAGCCAGCAGTACCGGAGCCGGAAGCAGCACCGGAAAGAGAAGAAGTCAGTTCACCAAGGTTACCCAAGTTCAATGCGCCGAGGAGGACGAAGGCGGCAGAAGACACAGGATCCTGCACGTTAGGCACGATGGTCTCGAGAAGGGTGAGTAGGCTGGTTGGATCGGAGAGGAGGGTTGTGAGGTCGAGGCCTCCAGGAAGGCTGCTCAAGATCTCGAGGACCGATAGCAAGTCTTGGGTATTGAGTCCTGAAGCTGCGGTCTGGATGCCTGGAAGGTTGGTCAAGCTGGAGAGGGCACCAAGGTCACCAATGTTCAGGCTGGAGAAGAGGTTCAGCAGGTTGAGGACAGAGGAGAACTGGGTGAGTTGGCCGGTCGACAGGATAGAGGATACGGGTGCAACAACAGCTTGAGCGATGCCGTCAATGATGCTGCTCAGAGAGTCTGGGATTGGGAGAGTGTCGACCTGTGGAGGGGGACAGTCAGTAGCTGTTACGGCTGGTGAAGACGACGATACATACGATGTTGAGGATGATGGAACCAAGACCGAGGTTTCCAAGCACACCTGTCACGCTACCGAGAGGGCCGCCGCTCAGTGAGAGGCCGGACAACAGACCGGTGAGAAGGCTGAGTGGATTGCTGCCGACCGAGTCCTGCAGACCAGCAAGAAGGCTACCACCACTCTGACCAGTCAGGCCGCTGACAATGCTCCCGACAGGAAGAAGCGTGCCATCGGTGAGAGGCGCAAGAGTGCTGCCGGTCAAGGAAGAGAGAGGATTGCTATTGGCAAGAAGGCCACCGGTCAAGCCCGATGTCACACCAGTAACGGCTCCTAGGTTCAAGCCGCCGAGCAAGCCCCCAAACAAGCCGTCGAGCTGACGCTTCTCCTCAGCTGGAGCAGCCATCTTCATGCGGCCAGCAGGCGTGATCGCCGTGACATTGGCCCCAGAAAGAGGCACATTGGCCGCAGCTGCGACGATTGTGGAGATGATGTTTGCCAATTGCTCAGCCAGCGTCGTGATGAGAGTTGTACCAAGATTGGCCAGAATCTCCTGTACTGGGGAAACTGCAGCGAGAGGAACCAATGGCAGACCGGTTGGCAGTGATGGAATCTGGATTGGAAGAGCAGAGATCGGCAAATCGGCTGGAAGACCAGTGGGGAGGAGGGACTGAATGGCGGTTGGCACAAGCGAGAGAGGAGCACTGAGAGGCAAGCTCAGAGGCAGATCAGTCGGAAGAAGGGCAATAATGTCGGTTGGCAGCAGGGAGAGCGGAAGATCAGCGGGCAATGCGGCGGTTGGGAGGGGAAGGCCACTCAGAGCGTCCAAGACACCTTCCAAGCCTGGGAGGCCAGAGTTAACTGGCAAAGAGGCCAGAGACGCGAGCAGAGAAGTCGAGGCGAGTGGCACTGTGATCGCCTTGGTGATCTCCAAGACCGAGCCAGTCGGGATGGAGAGATTGGGGAGCCCCGAGATGGCAGGGGTACCAGCTACCGGAACAACCGATGGAACTGCAATGGCGGGCACGCTGACGGGAAGCGTGGAGGTGATGGCGGGCACAGCAGCAACAAGCGAAGAGACTGCTCCCTGGCCGCCGCCGAGGCCGCCGAGGACGCCAGTGAGGCCGCTGAGACCGAGACCTTGAGGACTGGGAGCCATGATGGGAAAGAGTGTGCTGAACTGCTGTCAGGAACGAGTGGAGTACGATGCGGTGGCAATCGATGTCTGGCTTTGATGCGTAGATGTATGGACTGGAGCTGAAGGTAACGGGTTATATGTTTTGAACTCCTGCAGCAGCCTTTCACCACAATCAATGCGTGTGGAGCCTGCATTCTTCAAAATCACTGCCTAGGATATTGGCAGTCACAGCATGAGACTCAACCGCAGCGGTGGTATGATGCTCAAAGAAGTTCATGATCCCAAAGGAACCATGTTTCCCAGACAATTCGTTGGCATTGGCGCAATGTGCTACAACGATCGTGCCCTAGTACCGTGAAAGCGGCATGGGAGAAATCGACAATGCGGAGTGCAGCAGCTGGAGTGCGACCCTTGCGTCGGAAGCTTGAGGTATGTTGACTTCGGCATGCCGATCAAGATTGACTGGTATATGATGTGGCCGTGCGGCATTGCTGGAGGCTTGGAGAAGCACCATGACGGCTCAATGGTGTGCCATCGTGATCTGCGAGCTGACCTTGCGGAACGGCCTACTCCGTGGACTCCAAAAGAAGATGGTCTACGACGAACTACACCTTCCATGGACGAAAGGTTGCCAGTTCAATTCGAAGAACGCCCAAGAGTGGCCGACATTGTCCCCTGTCTGGGCATGGTGCCAGCAGAATAGCGTATCAGCTAATTATTTCTCTCTACTATGGCATACTCTCGATATAAAGGAGTATCAATGTATCTCCCTCGAGGATCCGAGTCTTCGGCACGTTTCCAAGGGGATAGGCGCGGCTCGTGGTGGCAATGAACGTAGTGTTAGCCATAGTGAGAGTATCAGTCTGTACTGGTCGATTTCAGCGTAAGGAGAGTAGTGAAACAAGACATTACAACAGCGATAAACCGGTGGCCGTTTGCTAGGAAGTGCAGGAAGGCCAAGGTGACGTCTCGAGACGACCTTGCCGCCGCTCCAGCGGAGAAGATTGTTTTCCCGCCTGCTCCGCTTGCGCATTTTTACCGCAACACGGTTAGGTCTTGGCGTCTCCAAACTCTCCCTTGAGGATCCCCACCGCAACCATCAAACCACATGGCTTCACGAATGATACCTTACCAAGGTGATACCAACGGGGTCTCCTCCACCGCGCCAGACTTTGCTGGGAATGGCTACCTCGGTCATCCGAACCTAGAAGCTCGCATCGGGGACGGCTTCGTGGACGCGCGCGGGGCAGCTTGCACAATGCACCATCACCACGAGTGAGGGCAGGCTCAGGACTGCTCTGTAGATGAGGGGTCGTCTCAATAGGGATCTGGTAGGTCGTAGACACTGCTGAAGCGTCAGGACGACACCGAATAGTAAGGGGCACGGCTTTTCCTTACACTGTGCTTCCGCTCTACTACCATCAAGGTGACCATATCGAGACCATTATGGCTTTTCAAGCCCCGGAGAAGATGCGAGCCGTGGTGTTCAAGGGCGACTATGATGTAGAGTCTCACTTCACTCCCTCGCAGGGCATCGCATCGTTGCAGGTGTGAGTATTGATCTCTACCGACACAGGTTGCCGTGGAAGACCGACCATATCCCAAGCTCAAGAACCCGACCGACGCGATCCTCAAAGTCACCTCGACGGCTCTCTGCGGCAGTGACCTGCACTTCTATCGCGGACATCTCAAGTGCCCGCCGAACTTCATTTGCGGACACGAGTTTGTGGGCGAGATCGTGGAGAAGGGAGATGGAGTGAGCAAGTTCAAGATCGGCGACAAGGTGAGGAGAGGAGGACGAGAATATATGATCGTGGAAAGGGGTATTGATGAGTAGTGGCACAGGTGGTCGTGCCATTCTACACAGCATGCGGAGAGTGTTACTACTGTGTTCGAGGACAAGCTTCACGATGTGCAAAGGGCGAGTTGTTTGGCAACTCGGCGCCTGCAAACACGATTGATGGTACACCGTTGATGCACAACAATCATTAGGCCTAGTCAAAAGTGCTGACACTCTCCAGGCGGCCAAGCCGAATACGTCCGCTGCCCTCTCGCAGACAGCACTTTCGTCCTCGCACCCTCCAACATTCCCGAGGAGATGCTGGTCCTGATGGCCGATATCTTTCCCACAGGTTACTTCGCCGCCTCTCGCTACCTTAAGAACCTGCCCGAACGCGACCGAAAAGAGTACACTGTGGTCTGCGTTGGCTGTGGGCCAGTCGGGATCTGCGCCATCACCTGCGCCTTGACCATGGTAGATACCGTCTACGCCATCGACTCCATACCCGAACGTCTCGAGCAAGCCAAAGCCCTTGGTGCCATCCCTATCAACCTCAACGATAATCCCGTGCAGAAGATTAAAGACGTCACGGAGGGAAGGGGCGCGGATGTAGTCCTGGAGGTGGTGGGACATGCGGATGCATGGAATTTGGCTTTTGATATGATACGTCCTTGGGGCGCCATCTCGAGTATTGGAGTCTATACTGAAAAGTGGGAAGTCAACGGTCTCTTGTTGTATGGCAAGAATGTCCAAATGGCTTTTGGTCGATGTCCTGTGAGGAGTATCTTCGAGGAGGCATTGAACTTGCTAGTGAAGGAGCAGAAGAAGGTTGCTTTTCTTTGTGGCAAAACGATGAGCTTGGAAGATGCGCCGCAGGCTTACAAGGTGAGTACTGATATCCCGACATGGCAGAAATTAGACCTGTGTTCGTGAAGACGACGTGAGACGTGAATGTGCTAATGTGTCTTTCGTAGGACTTTGAGCAAAGGAAAGTGCACAAGATTGTATTCAAGATGGGAAATGTGAAGGAAAAGGAGATCAAGGCGATCGTCTGAGACATCACTGTACAAAACGAGGAGGCAGTCTGTTCTGTGCGTCTTGGGAGTTTGTATTCCCAAAAGTACCTACTCCCTATTGTTCATTGACCGCTTTGTTACGATAGTCAGCCAAGACCATTCACGTACTTCTCCGTTAGACGACTTACAGGTATGGGTTAGCGAGAGACTCTAGAGGTTTGATGTGCTCGCTTATTATGCAACATGGCCATTGTCACAACATCACAAACGCCTTTCCGCAAAGTCACACATAGCGAGACCAGGACCTGATCCGTGGGCCTCCGGAAGCAAAAACAAGCATTTGTGATATTTCACCAAGGTCGTTTAACAGGATGCTTTACAACGAGCTGCCACCTCGCCCTGACAATCCATATTGTGGTGGAAGAGATTCCAAAACATACCTCTAGGGAAGCAGATGTTGAATAGCGATATCTCTGTTACGGAAGTAACAGCGGAGGGCTCCGTGACTCCCCAAACCTTACGGGGAAGGGGAGCCCCCTACCTGACTAATCAGTTATGTATATTAGCCTATCTTGAACCTAGATAGGAACATTATCTTCTTTTCCTACTCCTAATAAGTAGTAGTATCGGGACAAACGTCCGTTCGCCTACTAGCCGATTTCAAAGGTACTAGCCGATTAACGGTACTAGTCTCCTTAGAGACGTTCGAAAGAAAACCTAGCCTCCCTACCGCTACCGTAGCTAGAGACGTATATCGAATCTCTTCTAAGAAGAGATCAAGCTAATCTAGCAATTTGCGCTATATACCTATAGTACGCCTCGAAGCGTACCTAAGCCCTTAAAGACAAGACTCCTAGAGTTCCTCGCTCTCTACCCGGTACCTAAAGGTCTATATCCGGAAGCTAGGTAGATAGACGATACCTAACTTAAGAGACATATATAAGCCTCTATTACCGGCTTATTAGATCGAGAGACTTCTATAATACTCTCCGAGACTGCTAGCGAGCCGTCGGTTACCCTAAGATAGGCGAGACTAACTCTATATATAAGTAACACTCCGCGAGCGAGCAGTATAGCAAGTAGTACTTTAAACTCGTAGGTAATAAGTACGGCTTCTACTCCTATAAGGAGGTAGTAGGTTATACCCTCGCCCGTAAGAGCGTAATAGCAGCTACGCCCGAACTATTAAGAACGAGTTCCTAGACTATTTAGAATTCGACCTCTAGAAGTACTTATAAGAGAAAGAGCTCTTATAGAGGACCGAGAAAGAGAAAGGGCGTACGTAGAGGAGCGAGAAAGAGATCTTATAGAGAACCGAGAAGGAATAGGGATACCGGATATAGTCCGTTAAGTTCCTCGGGCAAGTACTACGTCGAGGTCGAGTACTCTCTCCCTATTCCGTAGAGAACGTACCGATACGGCTAGTACGGTCTTATCCTAATTACTGCTATATTCGACCTTGTCGGTCCCGGCTACGTTCCTATCTATCCCTTACTCGACCTATTCTATCTAGACTAGGTCCTCGTCGACCTAGATACGCGTTAACCAATTAGTCCCGGCTACGTCTTTATTAACGTAGCTATAGGTTAACTAACGCCTATGTACGTACCGCTCGCGGCTATCGACGTCGTCGATATTATAAAGGACGTACCGATCTAGACTATCTACGTCGTCTATATTAAGACAAGACCCGTTAAGATCTACGACGTCCTCGACGTAGCAGGCTTTTACTCTAGCTACGGAAGAGATACCTCGGCTAGATCTTAATATAGTTGACTTTTCTACAGATTAGATCGCGTAGATTATAGAGATCGTCGCTTAGGTAATAGGCCGTTAGACGCAAGCCCGTAAGGACCGCCCTAATACGCGAACGCTATCGTAGCAAGATACCGAGGTTGGTTTCTTCTACCCGGACTATAACGATACGGAACCTAGACAAGTTATAACGGTCGGCTACGATACGGTATACCGAGACGTCTATACGTTTATCGATAGGTTGAAGGACGCTATCGAATACCGAAATAAGGCACTGATCCGAGATCGGATTCTAGCCCTACTATACGGAAAGGCGTAGCAATAGTATACGACAGGGCTTTCCGAGTTAGAAAAGGTAGGCCTACGCGCCTCGCCTATCGAGCAGTAGTACGCGAAGCTATAGGAATTTTTCAAGCAGCCCCTACAAGATACCCTATACAACTTAATAAGGTATAGGTATACCTTAATAGACATAAGGGATCGACGCCCTGTATATAGTTACGTCTACGACGTAATTCGGAACGTAAGAGACGCCGGCTTAACGACCGTCTAGTAACAGTTAACCTATACTTACGGCTAAATAGATATACTGCTCTATATAACTATACCCGAACCTAGCGAGGCGATAAGGGTAGCTAACTATATCTACTAAATAGACCGTTAGAAAGAGAATTAGGCCTAGCTAGCAGCAATATAGCTACGATAGCGATAGCCGACCTCTAGTTCCTAGCGGCTACTAGGTAATTACGCCTAGCGACGTTAATAGAACGACGGATACGCTAATCCCCGTACTCGAACTAACTACAACTACTAGCCCTAGACCGACTAGTCCTCCGAAAGACTATAATACGAACGAGCCCGAACCGCGCCGGCCCTACTAGCTCCTAAGGAGCGACTCCAAATTACCGCCGGCTCTACTATATCAACAAGCCGTACCTCCGAAAACAGGCTATTAACGGCGCTAGGGCGGCGAGAACCGTTACGACCTTTTAAGGTACGAACTAGTTACGCCGAAGTACCCGAAGAAGAGTATAACGGCTTCTATACGGAAGAGCCGGAAGAGTTCGAGGACTAAGGGGACGACGCTAATAGCGAACAAGAGCAGCTCGTCGATATAGATACTTACTATTTGAATAATACGGAGGAGTACCTAGTAGCAGAGTACAACTTCTACTATAATACGTTTAACTCTAGTAATCGCCTATACGAGCACGTACGCGCTACCGGGTACGGTAAGTCGAAAAACTAACGGCTGCCCGACCTACAAAGCAAACGGAGTTCCCAAAGGTCTAGTATACGATAATTCTAGCATCTCTCTCCCCGGATAGGAAGAGAGAGCGAATTTGCGTCGATAGTAGGAACCTAATTACCGTAGTTAGCCTAGAGTACTTAAAGAGGCAGGACTACTATAGCCGTACGAGGCTATCGCGGTTACGTATACGAGGGGTCGGTAACGCGGTGCTAGTAGCGACTAAGCAACAAGAGATTACGCTTTATATACCTACGATATTAGGAGACGTTACTAAGGAGACCTTTTAGGCCTACGTATTGCCCGGTCTCTAACTAGCTATACTTATAGGCGTCGACGTTATAGTCGAGTATAGATAGAAGATAGACTTCGACAATATTCAATTACACTTACGACCTAGGGTCTCCGCGGCGCTAGATATAATCGACGCTCCCGTACGTCCGTAGGACGTAGTCCGCAATATAGAGCACCTCTCGCTAGAACCCGGTATAGTCTATAGGATCCAGATTAGTACGCTGCTATCCCTCGATAACGGGATATAGACCTTCGTACCCGAGAAGGAGGGTTTCCTCGTAGCAAGAATTAACAAGGGTACGGTATAGGTTCTAGCGCGAAACAAGGGCAAGTTGCCTATAAAGATCCCGAAAGGTTCCCGACTAGGAACGATCGAGACGGGATCGCGTATAGAGTTAACTACTACGTACTAGACAGAGAGTATTTGCTCTATCTAGAACCCCGCGTACCTCGACGACAAGGGCCTTAGCGATAGCTAGGCGGTCGAAGTCAGAGGAGCGCTTAAAGGCCTTACCGACGGTTAGGCAATAGAGATAACTTAGACGGCGTCGCCTTACGATAGCTTCAGAGCGTAGGACGGGGCACGATAGGCTACGAAGAGCCTAAAGCCTAATATTATCGAACTATATAGTACTAGACTATACGGAGTAACGATATATAGAATCCCCGAGGTACGCGAAAGGTACGTAAAGTTACTTGAGAAGTACCTACGGCTGTTTACCGATAATAGAAAGACGGCCGACATCCCCGAAGAGGATTAGATAACGATTCCTTTCGTAAACGACTAGAATACCGCCGGAGCTAAGTTAGCGTACAAAGTATACCCCCTAGGACCTAAGGACTACGAGGTTCTTAATAAGATTTATAACAAGCTCTACTAACAAGGCCGAATAAGTTAGACGAAGGGTCCTACGCCGTTCGGGTTCCCTACCTTCGTAGTCTAGCGGGAAGTTAAAGGGCAAAGTAAGGGCAGAGTAGTAGTAGATATCCGAGGGCTTAACAAGGTAGCTACTACGGACGCCTACCCTATTCCTCTATAGACCGACATTATCTAAGTAGTAGCGGGAGCTAATTTCATCTTAGTAGTAGATAGAGCCAGTTTTTTCTATCAATTCCTAGTAGCTAAGTCGGATCGATATAAGCTTACTATAATATCCTATCGGGGATAGGAACAATATAACGTCGCCGTAATAGGATATAAGAATACCCTAGCATATGCCTAGCGTATAATCGACAGTATCCTACGCGATATAGGATATAGCGAGTTCGCGAAAGCGTTTATCGATAACATTATAGTATAGAGCCGATCCCTCGAGGCCTACTTAGAGCACTTAGACCGCCTCTTCTAGAAGCTAGAAGCGAGATCTATAACCTTAACAGGCAAAAAGGCATTCCTCGGGTTCCCGTCCGTTACGCTACTAGGATAGTATATAGACGGACTAGGAGTTTCTACGGCTAAGGACAAGCTAGCTACTATTAGGGCGCTAAGCTTTCCTAAAACCTTAGATAACCTCGAGATGTACCTAGGCCTTACCGGGTAGTTACGCTACTATATCGAGTACTTTGCTTAACGCGCCGAGCCGTTGTAGAGGCATAAGACGGAACGCCTAAAGGGCGCCCCTAGAGCCGGGTACATACGTAGGCACTATACGAGTACGGCCCGGATTAAGCCTATACCGGATTTAATAGTATCTTTCTAAGCCGTCTAAGAGGCTTTTGCCAAACCGATAATACTAGTCTACTACGACAAAAGCAGGCGACTATACATCCTCCTAGACGCCTCTAAGACTAGAGGGTTCGGGGTAGTAGTTTATTATCTAAAGGGAGACCTAGCGATAACTACAACCCCCCTAAGGACGTTAGTAGAACCGATACTGTTCCTTTCGAAAACGCTAACGCCCGCGGAATAGAGATACTAGCTAACGGAGCTCGAGGTCGCCTGTATAGTTTAGACGCTAAAGACGATCCGATAGATAGTCTAGGTATCGAGCTACGAGGTAACCGTAATAACCGACTACGCTAGCACTATAGGGATCGTAAACTAAACGGCGTTGACTTCGAGCGCAACCGACAAGCTTAACAATCGGCTCGCTCGCGCGTTAATATACGTATCCTAATATAAGAACCTCAAGGTCTGCTACGTCCCTAGTAGGGAGTATACGGTACCGGATACGCTATCTAGACTGCCCGCCGGGAGAGGATACGAGCGAGAAAGCTAGGATAAAGACGTTCTCGACGACCTAGTTATATCCTTCCTTATAGAAACGACCTCTAACGTATATACGGTAAGCACGACTCTAGATATTGCGACTGACTTTAAGAAGGTACTGCAAACCGGCTATAAAATAGATTAATTTATAGTAGACGCCGGAGAAATCGCTCGTACGAAGCCGGACGAGTCTAAGTTCTACTAGGAGGATAGCCTCTTATAGTTCAAAACCCGGCTCTATATCCCCGAAGGCCTAGAGGGCGATATCTTCGATATAGCCTATAACAACTAATTCTATATAGGTACAAACCGACTATACGCGAGGGTACGCGAACAGTACTATATTAGATACCTCGACTAAAAGGTAAGGGCCTACGTAAGGCATTGCGAAGATTGCTAGCGAGCGTAGACGAAGCGATACCTAGCTTACGGCTCGTTATAACCGATTACGTCTACTACGATCCTATTCTATACTATTACTTTAGATTTTATTATAGGGCTGCCCGAAGACGACGGGTACGACGCCTTGTTAATAGTAACGTATAAGTTTAGCAAGAGGGTACTACTAATTGAAGGTTACTCTACTTTTACCGCCGAGGTATAGGCTTATCGGTTCCTCGATACCCTGTTAAGAGCGGACTAGGGACTCCCTACTATAATAATTACCGATAGGGACCCGAAGTTTATATCCGAGTTCTAGAGAACGATCTTCAAACGAATAGGTATAAAGTTAATCCGCTCTACTAGTTACTATCCCTAGATAGATAGGTAGTTAGAAAGAACGAACTAGATAGTCGAGATCGCGATACGGTACTAGATAGCTCGGTACCCGGACAGAGTACTAGAGTAGCGGTACGCGCTTCTGTAGATCTAGTTTATACTAAATAACTCCGAGAATACTAGTATAGGAATTGCGCCTAATATACTACTCTTCGGCTTTAAGCCTAGGGAGGTACTTAACTGTACTCTAGGGAGACCTCTTAAGGACAGAGAGGTTCTTAAAGGAGAGGCGGAGGACGTATTAGCGTTCGCTAATATTAAGATAAAGAAGCACTACGACGCGGTATACAAGCCCTAGACACCCGAGGCTAGCGATATAGTAATATTGAACCTAAAGCACTACTACGTCCCGGGAGTTACTAACCGAAAGCTGTCTAACCGCCGAGTAGGACCCTTTCGAATTGAGTATATATAGGGCAAGCTAGTATACAAGCTAGCGCTGCCTAAGTACTAGAAGATCTACCCGGTAATCTTAATTGCCGACCTAGAACCTTAACCTATAGCAGATAAGGACCTATATACGGCTAGAAGGACGCGTTCGTTACGAAAGGTTCAACCGTAGGGCTATTAGTCAAGCTAGGAAGAGCTAACGCCGGAAAAGTTGCTAGACAAAAGGATACGAATAATTGGCCGTAATAGGACGGAATTCGTAGAGTACCTAGTAAGTTAGAAAAATATAGATTCCTTATATAATACGTAGGTACGGGAAGGGAACCTTCCTATACCTATAACGCGTAGGTATCGTCGTTGAACAGGCTACGCAGTCGTATTAAGCATCTAATTAGCTATACGAGAAACTTATATTTCTCGATTTTAACCTTACTTCTCGACTTTGACCTTACTTCCTATAGATTATACGTACTTGCCTAGGGTACGAAGACCTTAATTTACGAGTATAGATAACCTATATCTTAGCAACCTTTCCTATTTCGCTCTATCCTTCCTATAACAATATCTACCGTACGAATAGTATTAATACCGATACGATACTTAAGAAGAACCTAAAGAAGATCGAAGGGTATACTCTAACCTACGTCCGAGTACGCCGACTTGAAGAGGCCGGTACGATAGTACCGCGACGTAAGGCAATCAAGCGCTACCGAGACAAGGTCTTAGAACAGCTAGCCGAAAACTAGAACGCGATAACGATAAGAATGTATACGGCCGTCGCAGACTATAACTGTTACCGTATCGCTAGTAACGAGGACGTCTAGACGGTTATAGACCTCTAGCTAGCCCTCGGGCGTAAGATAGTTAGATACGTTAGTATTTAAGATTAGATCCGTAAGGCCCTATAGGGAGAAACAGTAAACGAGGGGAATATACTAGATTACGGTACCTTGCTCGATCTTATCTATACTAGAATAGAGACTAAGAATAATATCCCGGTACTTACTCCGCTCTCCCTACTAAAGCTAGAGAAAGCGTCGAACCGCTCGATAACCGTACTAGTACAAGCCCTAAACGAGCCTCTAGGTACGATAAGAAACTTAAAGCGACTTTTCCGTACCTTATAAAGAGACATCGAGACGGTACTAGAAAGTTTTAGTACCCTAGCCGGTATAGAAGGTAATAGCAGCGAAGACGAGGGAAGCGAGGGAGAACTCGACGCTACCTCGGGATATAGGTAGGATAGTATAGGACCTAAGTAGGATACTAATAAGAGCCCCCTAAAGAAGAAGTCGAAGGTCGCTATTATAGTACCCGAGCAGGCTGTTAAGATTAAGGAGGAACCTAAAGAGGATATAATACCGTTCTAAGTAGAATATTAGTAGAACATTAGTAGACTATAAGGGTATAGGAGGTTCTTCAAAGAGAGCGGCATTTGTTATAGAAGTAATAGCGGAGGGCTCTATAACTCCCTAAACCTTACAGGGAAGGGGAGCCCCCTACCTGACTAATCAGTTATATATATTAGCCCATCTTGAACCTAGATAGGAACATTATCTTCTTTTCCCACTTCTTAACAATCTCGTAGGAGAACTCAGCTTGGCGAAGGCATTTTCCAGGTTTGCCTTTTGCGACCTAAACCTTGCGAGGTTCTAATTATCCCAGGAGAAGCTACAACAAGTACCCTGCCCCTTGAGCTCGTATGGCGAGTTGGCATACTCGTGACAACACCCAGGGCAAGGCTGCCTACCTGGATCCCAACTGCCGCGTACTGAGTGAGCATGTTGCCAATATTTTATCCTCCACCAAATCTCACTCGCTCTCCTATAAAGTAACCAAGTACATATACGTACTTGTACCCGTTGTAACAGTGCAACAACCAACGTACACTTGTTGTCCAGTACTCTCCACGCCACAACACTCGTCTCCCCATCATGGATATCAACATGGATCTCATCAACTCCAAACTCACCCCCGAAACATGTCTGATCCCCACCATCATCGAGCACCGAGCACAAGAAACTCCCAATCGAGTTTTTGCGCTTTTACCCAAAGGTCCAACACTACGAGATGGATGGTTCGAACTCACCTACAGCGCACTCGCCAAAGCCGTCGATCGCATGGCCTGGTGGCTCCACGACACTCTCGACACCGCAGCAGCAGCAGCAACAGCAGATGAGCAGAAGGAAAATACGAAATCTTTGACATATGTAGGAGCCAACGATATTCGTTATGTATTTCTCACGTACGCGGCCGTGAAAAGTCGTCGGAAGCTTTTGATTCCTTTTCCTGCGAATACCGTTCCAGGCATGAGTAAATTGCTTGCTGCTGCGGATTGTCGGATTGCGTTGGCGAGTGGAAAGGGATGTGAAGTTTGGGGGAAAATTCAAAAAGTCAAGCCGGAGTTGAGGATTGTGGAGATTCCTGAGATGGAGTTTTTTTTGAGGGAGGGAGAGGGAGAGGTGTTTCCGTATGAGGTTGGGTTGGATGAGGGGAGGAAGGATATGTTGTTTATGCTTCAGACTTCAGGTTCGTTTTTTGAATGTTCGATTATCCACGCGTGGCTTTTTTTTTAATTTTGCCTCAAACTACAAACACTAACCCATTACAACCTCTTTGAATTTTTTTGGTTCTTCTTTCTAGGTACAACAGGCGACCCCAAACCAATTCTCTACCTCCACCAATTCCTCGAAATCTTCCTCGAAAACCGTCTCGCCAACGAACTTCTCCTTAACAACTCCTCCTCCTCCTCCTCTTCTTCTTCTCCCTCCTCACAACACCTCCTCTGTTTCGCCCACCTCAATCAAGACATATATTTCCCATGCATGTTCCCCATCAGCTGGAGCGCCGCACTCACCAGCTGCACACTTTCCTCTCTCGCCTGGGACGTAACATGTATTTATTTACCCCCGGACGCACCTTTCGATTCGCACCCGATGCTCACTCCAGAGTACGTCCACGATATTCTCGAATTGACGCCCAAAGGTCCCAAGAATGGAATTATTATGGCTCCTGCTATGTTGAGGGATGTGGTACAGCAACATCAGCAGCAGAACTCTTCTTCTTCTTCTTCTTGCACATCATCATCATCATCATCACTAACCCTCCTCCAAAAATCCTACAATTGGATCGGCTACGGCGGTTCACCCCTCGATTTCGCCACTGGAGAAATCTTACGAAAATCTTTCTCTTCCTCTTCCTCTTCCTCTTCTTCTCCAATCCGCCTCCAATGCGCCATGGGCCAAACCGACGTCGGACCCTACGACATTTTATTCAATCCCAATCCCGCAGATTGGAATCTCGTACAATTTTCCGAGTTGCATGGGTATTTTTTGGTCGAATTCGATCAGAGAGAAGGGTTGTGGGAGTTGTGTGTGCGGCGCCAACAGAAACAAAAAGGGGGAAAGGGAAAAGAAGAATGTCGACATCCATTTCTGATGGATGAGAAATTGGACGTTTATCATACGAGAGATTTGTTTCGAGCTGTGAGGAGGAAGAAGGGAGGTGGAGAAGAAGGGGAAGAAGAAGGAGAAGAAGGAGAAACTTTTTGGCAAAGTGCAGGACGAGTAGATGATTTCATCAAATTATCCACTCTTACAAAATTCCACTCCGGTCAAATCGAGAGTATTCTGGAGACATGGTGTGAAGATGTTCAAACGTGTTTAGTAGGAGGAGAAGGAAAAATTCGACCTTGGGTGATTGTGGAGTTGCGTCAGAAGAAAAAGGAAAACGAAAAGGAGAATGGGAATGGGACGACTGCGTCGCTCACGCCGCCAGAGAGCTTTTGGTTAGCGGTGAACAAAGCGAATGAGATTTTATATTCGGAAGCGAAAATTCAGAGGGAGTTTGTGGTGTTTACGGATGCGGAGAGACCGATTCAACGCACGGGGAAAGGGAGTGTGGATCGGAAGAAGACGGTGGGGTTGTATGAGAGGGAAATTGAGGCTTTGTATGAATGAATGATGCGGATATTGTTTTTGTTTTTCTTTCTTTTTTATACTACCTATGAACTGTTGCTGCTCTTAATCCTGTGCCAGATTTCTGCCCAGACAGAGCCGACAGTAATCGATCTGAATCGCCAGGTAACTCGATGCACCTTTCCAGCCCAATCTTTATAATCTCCCAAAAGTTTCCCTCAAGGCAGTCGAAGTCTCGATCCCAAACTTCCTCTGACGATAGTGCTCCTTCTTTTCTTCTTCTTCATAGAAAAAACCCCGAAAGGACCAAACCACGCGATCATTCCGCAGACTGTCCATCCTAAATCAGAGCCAAAAGTCAGGTATATACCTAAATGCAATCCAAGCAAACCCCGCTCTCCATACTCTCCAGATTTCTCGCTCCTCATGGCCATCTCGACCCGCCTCTCCTCCCATCTCCTACTGCGGTTCTTGCTTGTATCCAGCGCTCAGCGTCTCGGCGGCCATACACCACTTGGTAGAAGCGGTGATGTCCTGGATACAGCTCATAGAGTGGGCTGATCGGCCTTACTAAACGTAGTCGATTTTCCCAAAAAAGCAATGATGTCCTTGATACAGCTCGTGAAGTGGGCTGATTACACGGCCTGGAGCAGGAGAGAAGCTAAACTGGTCTTCTAGGTCTTCGATTAAAAAACGGGACGTCGACGCCGCTTTCGCGCGTTATGCGAAGGGACATCTGACGTCTCGTTGTTCTTGGAGTAGTATATTTGCTGACGAAGCGGCGACGGCGCGGTGTTCGCTGTCGGATGAGGTTTTATATACGCCTAGTTGGGCCATTCTGACGGCGTCAATCTGCGCGTGAGGACGGGTTAGTGCTGGGATGATGGACGGAGGGAGAGGGAAAGGAATAGAGAGAAGTCAGAAATCCGCTTACTTTTGGTGCTGGCTAAAGCTTCTCCATGCCAGAATCAACACCCGAATGTCATGGGGTGAGAGGTCGAGATAGCCTGACGAATGCCTCCTGATCTCGTCGTATTAATGAACCGTCCGCTCAGTCCTTTCTAATCGCCTAGTAACTTTCGTCGTAAAACCGAAAAACGCGGTATTCGCTAAGGCTGCTGCTCTGCTGTACCCTCCCAATCCTGCCATCTTCTTCGCGTCAATCTGTACGCGGGGACGAGTTAGTGCTAGACCAATAGACCAATACACCAATACACCAATAGACTAATACCTCAAGAGAGAGAAATGTCAGAAACTTACTTACTTTACCTTTGGAGTTCGCTCAGAACATCCTCTAGCCAGAATCAAAACCCGCACATCATTCCGAACAGCGAGTTTCCTGAAGCGCCCGACGGCTGATCGCTGATGACTGATGGCTAATATAGTCATACTTCCGACCCAACCGTCTGCCCAGACCTGAAAGTCACCTGCGAGTTTTCTCGTCATCGGACTCACTGAGAGACGCGGTAGTCTTATATCTGCCCAAGGCGGCTATTTAGGCGGTGTTGATCTGTGCGTGAGGAGGAGTTAGGACTGGGATAATAGAGTGTGGTAGAGAGAGAGGGAGGTATAGAGAGAGAGAGGGCAGAAGGGTGCTTACCTACCTCTAGGTATAGTATTCCAGGCACTTCCAGGACAGCACCAATGTGCGGATTTCGGTACCTAACAACTTAGCATTGGTGGTAGCAGCAAAGAGGCTCTGTATTTCTTGATGCCATTCTGATATAGTGGCGTGCGGTTGATGATATAATACGATATTTGCTTGCGTGTGGAATATATGAGATCAACCGGAAGAAGGGGGGTTGAAGGACGAGTGGGTGAGCTTATAGGTCTGGAAGGTGGAGGGTATATTTGTGTGAGGAATGAAGTTAGATGGTGGGTGAGGAGGAGGGTATAAGTATGCTGGCGTGTGTTTGTTGTGGAGTTGTGAAGCAATGTTTGTTGGTTGCTTTTTCGCTTCACTTTGATATTCTTGAAGCTAGGAGAGTTGACTAACCTTATTCGGCGATGTTCTGAACGGATGTGTGTGAATCAGATACACTTGTTCTTTTTTCTAGGCCAGATGTCGATGGTATGCAAAAGCATGGTTGCGAGTTCAAACTTGATTACGTTCATATTATTATCTCCACTCATCAAAGCCACTCGGGCATCCTCTTCACCACTCCACTCAAAAGCCCACCCAAAGGCCCCAAAGCCTGCTTCACATCCGGTATAGGCGGCGGAGCCGACCCAGGCAAAGGTCTCCCATCAGTCCCACTATACGGACCAACAGCAGCCGGATTTCTCGGATCGGTCAAAGGCCCTCCACAGGTAAAAACACTCCCCTCGGGAATGCCAAACAATTCCCAATCACTAAAATAATCCTCACTATAGCCAATCGCACTACACTTCCCTCCCCCCGTAGGTCCCACGTGTGGACAATGTACATCCGGTCGCACCTGAGTGAGAATCAAATGGATGACGCGACACGCTACTGTATCTCCCCACGCTTCGTCGAAGGATCCGAAGGGTTTGAGTTCGAGCTCGACGGCGCAGTCTAGGACGCTGCTGTAGACTTGATTGGGACCTGTACATCGTTGTTGAATCATGGGACATAGTGAGACGGGAATGAATTTTTGAATCAACAATGCGCCGAAATCAAATCCTGTGCCGGCTTGAACCCAGGCTTCGAGATTGGGAATCCAGGCGTGATAGCGTTCGACTTGGCCGTATTCATCGAATTGCCAAAATGCCACCTGTGAAAAAAAAAGAAGTCCACATGTCAGCTTTGACGGATTCCGAGCAGCCTTTCACGAATGGAATTCGTCTCTCTCTCTCACTAACCTGCGAAAGCGTCGAAACCGGAACCCTCGAATCCACCTCCCCCGTCTTTGGATCCACCTTCCCGGTCCTCAAATACACCAAACTAGCCGCAATCCCGGGACAGCCCGACGTAAACTCAACAACATCGGCCTGATAAATCGCCACACCCTGAAATTCCGGATCCGAAGGGACAGGAGCCAGGGCGAAAAAATATTCAATCGAATCGTTAAATCCAGAAAATTCTCCGACGGGGGAAACTCGTCCGACGGCGGAGGGACTGAAGAGTCCTGGAGGGACTTGGGAGGAACCGAGTTTGACGATGGGGTCGTTGTTGGGGTAGACTGTGAGATTGTAGATTGCGCGGATGGTGGCGAGGTTGCGTTCGGCGAAGGAGGGGAGTTGACGTTTGGAGAGGGGGGAGGAGTCTGTTCGAGGAGAGTGGTGGTGTTGGTGGTGGAGATGGTCTGTGGCGAAGGCTTGGTTGAGGAGGAGTGCGAGGCAAGCACTGATGTATATGGAGAATCTCATGGTTCGTTGTCGATTTTTGCCAGTAATAAATTGTTCTGCGGCATGTGGTGCTGTTTGTTTGCTGTGCGCGACGAGTCGCCGACGATGTTGTTGTTGTTCTTTTATTCTATTAGTATTATTATTACAGTGCTGACACTATAGGGAATAATCAAAAAGCACAAAGGAAAGCAACCCATCGACAGCAGAAATGAGTTTCTGACAAGGTTTCTAAGCTCGAGAGATTGCTCGTCAGGGATTCCTCGGGATGTTTCGCCAAGATCTTCGTACACTGTTGTGTTACAGACTATATGTACCTTCGCGTCGCCAGTAAAAACAATCCATATCCCTCCAAGACAATAATAAAAGGATCACAGACTCCATCAATCAGAACTGCAGCGTGGGATATCTGATGCTGGCATTGTATACTTTGAACTTCTGTATATTCCAGCAATAAGATTGAGCAGCCAACAGACTTTAAGTATATCGAGATACCTGGTCCTAGTCGACGCGTGTGACGTCCAATACCATGTAAATTGACTGTCAGCATCTCGCTTGGGCCCAGTCCTAGACGAAGAAGTACACATTCTCTTGCATTTTCGTGCACGCCGCTGTGATAAGTATACCAATTTTGAGCAACTGGATAATTTTGCATAAATATTTGTATAAAAGATACGAGCAAACTCAACTATCAACTGCTTCAAAGCCGACTGAAAGACTATATAACAAGCTATCCTAGCATCTTGGCAATTGAACATGCAATCCGACACAAGCTAAGTGCACGGATGATATATAAGGTAGGTAGGGAAGCTAGTAATTATTCAGCTTTTGCAGAATGAACTTCAGCTATACCGACATACATACATTTCCAACACTACCTATACATTCATTTTCTTTTTATTAAAGAACTACCAGACTTCTATAACTTGAATAGTTTTGAATATATTCGAGTCCTAGGACTTGCGAAGAGTCTTAAGCAAAGAGTATAACTATTTATTAGTAAGTCTGTATAGCCTTAACCTATACTGCTGTTGTTCTCTTCTTCTTTATCCTCGCGGCCTGACTATAGCCGTAGCGTAAATCTCTCTCTTTCATACCTACCTACCCAAGAAACGATTACCGCTACAAAGGACCAGACAACTATTAATCTATACTGTATTTTTTCCCGAAGTTTTCACGGCTAGGAATTACGCTCTTCAATAACTCTCTTCACGAGAGCCACAAACACCGAGACAAAAAGGACGAGGGTTCGAGGGATTGTCTCGAAGACTGGCGGAATACTGAGGTATCCTCTTACGACAAAGCTGTTTATCTTATTATCGTTGTTCGCAGTAGCACATTCTCTCGCTCTTTTACCTCCTGCCCCTGGACCGTTGTGGCTTTTTGGCAATGGCTTGGAGAAGGAGAAGGAGAAGAAGGAGAGGCGTCTTTTGTCTCCAGTACTTACCCCCTGTCCCCTCCCTCTCTGTTATGGTCGCCGCTGTAGATCGCCATATCGAAGTTCAAGGGCGGATATAGCTGTTCGACGCGAGTCTTCTCACTCCTCTTCTCTCCCCATAAGATAGCCATCCCGTTCAAGATCCACTCGCACGCCATGACCATCCAGCGTCAGCTCCAGAATCCCATAGCGGTTACCGCTCACAACGTCTGAATAGCGGCGAGCAAGAGATGGACCGTGCAGAGAGGGCCTTGGGTGCCATAGCAGCCTTGCTGCAGCAATAGATGCTGAATCAGCACAAGCGCATGCAGCAAACAATTGAAATTCACACGTAGCTCGCACACACACTTTTTCGTCTTGCTACCTGTCACACCAACAACGAAAAGCACACGATCTTGCAAGACACGTCGCCGCTCCCAGAGACACACACACACGCACGCAAACACACACAAAAGCAGTGGTCGAACAAGGGCTTGCAAACCTACCATCAGAAAAGCAGTTTCCATACCCCGTCCTATCGGTATGGATGATGCTGTAGGTGCCAAACTCGAGTCATCCACCTCCACCGTGCCGCTCATGAACTGACAGCTTGGCAGACATTCAACAAGGTCAAGGAGGAGAACAAAAAGCAGGTGCAAGACGTACTGGCAAGACAAGCCACCATCATTAAGAACAACGAGTCTTTAATCGTCCCATTCACCCGCGAGACTCTGAAGGAGGCTGCGAGCCTTCATGACAATGAACCGGACCGAGAGAGGTTTGTGCGGGAATCCCTCATGGGATTCTGGCTCTCTCTCGGTCTGGGAGAGTGAGGGCTGCGACGGCGCATCGGTGGGACTTTGGCGCGGAGACAAGATGCCGCCGCCGTCACCACCACGCTGCTGAAGCTGGAGGCAGTTCACGTTGACGGGGAGCCTGATACAACAGAGAACGGGAAGACACTGCGTTTCTGAGTATCAACAAGCACCAGGCAAACGTGCTTTGCGACCATGAAGCATTGCCATAGAGCTTGAATCAAGGCTAGCCAGCCCTTGTCCTGAGCGCAATTTCACCTCTCATGCTTCGAGTCTCGTCTTTCTCCCCAAGCCTCGCGCCAGATGTGGCCTGGTTCTCGTGCTTGTGCCGTGACTGTTCACGAGATCGACCGTGAGTAACACGAAAGATCATGTTTCCATCTTCATGCGTCTTCAATCGCGACATAGAGCGGAGAACCCACGGTTTCTCGCCGTGGGATAAGTCTAGTCATCCGTCAAATGATCAGACGAGCCAGACCAGAGCTGCTGCCATCCAGACTTGATCGTGACGGTGCAAGAGAGTGGCGCCTGGGCTATACGTCCTCTGCTTCCCGAGATCGAGACGCTCCTCCATAGCAACGCGTCGTCGTGTGCCCACTTCCAGTGAATATCGGCCTCAAAACACATCGACTGTGTGCAGTGCCAAGCCTCAATGCAAGTTGCCTCACCCCCTTTCGCACTTCGAATTTCTTGGCACGACTACAACTCTTTCAAGACAACAACAACATCACCACCACAACATCATCATCGCCCAAGAACACTCGCACCAGCAAGCAGCGAGGTAAGTCACCATGAGCGTGTGACAACTGTCCACTGTGAGCGTGAATCTCCTCTGATGAATGAACAGTTTTTCTTTTTTTTTGTCGGCCACCTCAATCTCTTTCCACATCTTCGCCCCTCAAAGGAATAACAAGACCACCAAGCCACCGCAAGACATGCCGCACATCATCGTCGCTTGCCAGTGCCCCCAGGAGCTGCATAGCCCCGGCGAGGTCAAAAAGTGCAAAAGCGCAGGCGCCGTTTTGCAATGGGAGAGCCTGGCGAGGCAGATCCAGCGCAAGATCAAGCGATGGTTTCGCCGCAGAGAAGAGCGGCGCAAGTGGGAGAAGAGCATGAGCACACCATACTCGCTCGACGGGAGACGATTTGAGTGCACGCCAAGACCTTTCGTCTCTCCTGCGCCGGCACCATACGTTCATCACAATTTCGACAATGACGCGCTGACTGCGCTGCCACTATACACCGTCGGATGCCAGAGGAGGGCAGTGTAGAAGTTCGAGAGAGGGGAGGACGAGAGAGCTGGACGTTCACAAGTACGCCGCCGCGTGGAATTCCTCCTCATCGCCTTTCCAGTTCAACCATGTAAGTTGCATTTTTTCCCACCCATCACCAGCGATCAATGATGAACACTTTTCCGAACAACGAGATGCAACAAATGGCATTGCCCGCCGCGGAGTGCTCGGAGGGGAAAATCCTAGTAGTGTAGTATCTTGAAGAGAGTCAAAACGAGCACTTCGAAGGGCTGCCAGCAGCGGATCATGTTCGCCATCCAAGGCAGTCATAGCTCACCTACTACGGTAGGATACTAGGTTGACTGACCGAGGATCACCCATCTGAAATGTCGCAATATTCACTTCACCGTCCGAAAACGATATTCCAAAGGAGCTCATGCTGACATTAAACAACCAGCAACACGCTACAGCCAGCCACTCGCGGCTCTGTGCCCTTTTCGCTTGTTTTGCCTGCGCACCATTGAGTGCCGGTCTCGTGGAGAGGCGTGCAGGCGTAGGTTGAATGCGCAGCGAAGCTCGTCGCCCTTATGTCACTGCCAATTTTCAGACATGGATCGTGGTCTGGCCGAGCCCATTAACGACATCAAGACGCGCTTCCGCTTCGCATACCCACAATGATCTCGGGCATGTGCTCACTCGTGATACCACGGACACGATTTTGTGCTTTGGCGGCGCAGGAAGCCGAGGATGGGAACGCAACACCAGCGGATAGAAATGTCCAGCCGAGTCCGCTGACATCGTTCCAGCAGTTGCGTGGGCGTGTTGTGCAACATTGGCATAGCGCAGAAAAGTACGCCAACAATAGATACACCTCTGCACAGAACAGTACTCGGCAATCTACCTCACCAATTTCCGATTTTCCTCTTCCGCTACTGTCAACTTCTTTCAGCCTTTTTCTCCCCTCCGGATCAACAGCCAGAGGAATAGCAAAAGGCATCGCAGCTTGAACCGCATAACGTGACGACCTTTCAGCAGACGCAACCGCAGGGACCATTTCCACGTATTCATCGACATGTGTGTACCAACTTGGGGTTCGTGTAGCAAATTCGAAGCTAGGGGGCAGGATTGCGGAGACAGTGTTCAGAGAGAACCCCAGCAGATCCGGCTATGCGATCTGGTAGGAAGCATACACCGGAAGCATATACCAGAGGTGGAAGTACAAAATGTAGCTGCCCCAGTGTGAATCAACATTCGTTCACCCACCGAGCAGGAAATGCTACATGGTGGGTGCTGACAGCATGTCGAATCGGACGGTGGCCGAGGGATATGTTGAAAATTATGCGACTCTTTTGCGTGCCCAATGGTCCACCTCGAGTACACGACGGAGGCGGCCACGCTTGTGGCTTTGATTGATGCTGGAAAAATCGACCAGAGTGCACAAGGAGCTTGCCAAGATGCGTGACAGGCCCACCATACAGAGGAAAAACTCCGTCATGGACAAACATCCAGAGCCCATTTTCGATGACCATCTCGTTTCAAAGCGGCATGCAGCTGGATCGTGGCAAATGAGCCCAGAAAGGAATCTTAAGGAGCTCCGCAGCATTGAGGCCACTAAGCCAGACGGCGAGAGCCCTCTCGCTGGAGACTCTAACGTGAAGCGCGTATGGTGCGTGACACCCGTACTTCGTTGCAACAGAAGCAGTTGGCTCACCACACCCAAAAGTGGAACACCACAAGCAATATCAATCTCGTCTCCGACCAGCAGAAATCGTTACGAGCTTCCGCAATTCCCGTCTCCAACAAGTCGGCACCCAATCCGTCAAGAGTCTACCAACGATAGCCATCGGCTCAGATCGACCTCGCATACCCCAGCCACTCCGGCATCTGTAACGCCGCGCACCTGAGCTCACAGCAGCGCAAGATTTGACCATGGTAGTCATCGAACACTGCTGGCTTCGTAATCTTTGGCCGGGCCAACAGGCACACCGGCAGCAGCGACGCAGGAATACAGGTCTCAGCTGTTCTCCTAGGAGCAAGCCCTGCCTGGGCTTGAAGCTCGCCAGTGTCAAGTCCAAAGCGAAACGCGTCGGCAGGCAAGTCGGCTCGCTCGTATTTTGATTCTGAGTTGCAGCACAAGACTCAGCAGCAATGCGCCGTCATCCACACTCCCACAAGAATGGTGAAGCTAGGTTGAGGCCAAAGAATCCAACATCTTCAAGGCCACCACAGCCGAACGTGCAATGTTCAGAGAAGCCGCAGCAGAGTGTTCGCTAGCAGATCAGTCAGCAAAAGGGAAAATGTCCGAACAGCTGCTTTGCTCGAGATGAGGTGGACCCGATCAAGCAAGGGAACCGAGGTGTTGCACAATTGTTCCCATTCTAACACGAAAGATTAGCCGTGTCGAGGTGTCAACTATCACCAACACTTTGACGCCACGCCCATGCGTCAGCGAGAAGCGTGAAAGGATGTTCAAAGAAGAAGATCCGGAACTCCAGCGACTCTCTCGCCAATTCAGGTCGAACTGTGATGGAGATTTCATTACATCGCGTCGAAATAAATGCATTCCGAGCGAGCCGTCTACGTGCGAGAGAGTCGAGTCTCAGCACAAAGATAAAAACAGAGAAGAGAAAATGCAGTCTTCAGTCGGGCGTTGAGGCTCGCCGACAGCAGTGACGGGATCGCTGGAATCGACGCCAAAGTAATGTGTGGTAGCATCAGCGAGCGTCTACCGGGGGCATGTGCTGACTTGCAGCGGCCGGAGCTCGCATTCGTCGAAGTGAGAGGAAAGAGGAAGGCTCTGCGAAGACGTCCGCCCAAGCGCTTCCAACCCATAGTGGAGAGAAGGCTTATCAGCAGGTCTGAGAGCTTAAGCCGGCCATGTTGAGGCTCACGGCTGCCCGATGCACGAGCGGTGGAGTGGGAGATGAAGGGAAGAACTTGCAGCAACATCAGCGCTGAGACGTCTTCGGCTCCAGCATTGCGAGAAGCAAGCTGAGCAGAAGCAGGGGACTTGCACCGGCCGACAATGCAGCTCACGGATGCCCAAGTGTAACGCGTGGGAGAGGAAGAAGGGCCCGCGCCAGACCTGGGCCTGCTTCTGATTACCAGTCCACAAAGCAACATGGCCGAACAGTGTGCTTTCCAATGATGCTGCGGTGGCCCAGGACGCCGTTCACAAGCACGATCATATGTGCTGATATCTACATTTTGAGATATCATTGCGAACTAAGTTTGCCAGCATAATAGCTCAGTCGAGTCGGCCATGTATGCCTTGATGGAGACCGCACCTAATTGGAAAGACGAGGCGAAGTTTGCTCGTGTGGTTGCTGTTGTCGCGAGGCCAGTATCCTGCATGCCTCGACTACAGCACCTCCTGGGAGGCCAAGCCTGTCAATGCATGGCCTTGTGGGATACCAGACGTGGCATACCGCAAGCTGATAATTGCTACCCACTTCCAAACTTCCAGAACAATGAATGAGTCTGCTGGTCAGCTCGTGTGTGTTGCTGAGTGTGCTGGAAGCTAGAAGCAGCAGCGCAGAGTACAGAAGTGCCGAACTGCAGAAGACAGCATCAACCAGGGCAGACTGTGCTGGCTGTGAAGTGGGGTGTCTGAATCCAAAGGAGAGTGGCAGTCATGTCACCGGCCGCTGTCGGGTTGCGCGGTGAGGTGGTTGTAGCGTGCTCTGTGGCATGCGCTGAGGTTGTCTGCGGATTATTCCTGCCATATTGCTGACTCTTTCTGCCCGAATATTCATTGCTGCTGATACTGAGGGTGCAGGACGGCGGTAAGATGTTGATCTCACTGTCGTGGTGGTGGTGGTGGTGGTGGTGGTGGTGGACCTGGCGGTGCTCAGCGAATGAATGCTGATGGAACCAATGTGCCTGGTACGCCTGTCAGCGGCACCAGCGGATTGCGAAACATTCGATGGGCCTACTGGAGCATCTGGTCACGATCACAAGCTGCCTCTGGCTTGTTTGAAGGCCGCTGAACTCGTCGTCGTTGCCTCAGGGGAGCCTGAGTGGCTGCATGCCTCTCGTCGGCTCCATGTCCGCCATGGCTGTGCGTTTCTGGCGATAGAGCGGCGGGATGAGGAGACTCATCGAAGTGATGACATGTGACTGCTCTGGCGATGCCCAGCAGCGTTGATGGGAGCGGAAGGTCGCTGTGGTGGAGGTGAGGTCGGGAATTAGAACTCGCCCGTGGTTCATACGGTTGCTCCACCCCGGTCGCCAAGATGAGCAGATTCTTAGTTTTATTTCCACCTCATCTCATGCACCTGCTGGTCACCGACAGCTGTCGAGGAAGACAGATCACCGCCAGCGATTGTGATAGCGCCGAAGAAGCATCAAGAATCCACTTGGATGTCCGCCAGGCTCGTACGGGTTTCTGCGAGCGCAATGCATAGCATATCGGACGGAGCGAGGACAACCACGGCAATGATGAGAGTTTCGCGCAGGCATGTCAACAGCGGCAGCGGGCACGATTGATACAGCATACAGAAGACAGTCGAGATTAAAGTATAGAGGTAGCCACATCAAGAGCCGGCACATATATATCCCTGATACCCTCCAGCCAAGATGGCCGGGTCAGCTGAGGAGCAGGACTTGTGAGAGGAGCAGATAACAGGCAAGAGACGGAGTCAAAACAATGCTGTACTCGATCGTAACAAGCAAAAGGAAGCATCTAGTCCCAATACTCAGAAACCTGATTGATCTGTAAAACACTTTTGGGGGTGTTGCCTGCCTATCCCCGCCCAAATGACGGCGAAATGCTGACTTTCTCCAGACACCGCAGGTAATGAAAAGCAGGTCAGCATAGCGAATGCTAACGTAAGATGGCTCTCAGTCTCCTTAGCGTAGAGCCATCCCTCTGCGTGCGGTCTTTGCCTCGGCTTCATGCGAGACGACACATGTCACGTTTGAGAAATTCCGGTACCGGGTAAATCTTGACTCCCGGGCACCAACAACACACCACGAACGACCCCATCTATCGATTCACGCGCTTCAACCCAAGGAATCATAAGATCCCGATTCTTTTCCCTTCTGCCTCTGTTCCACATCAGCACCAGCTGTCCTTTGCCTCTTTCAGACTCTTACTGCCATCTGACGAGCCCTCTCATTGGGACAATCATCACCCGGTATCGTTGTATTCTCTCCTGGACTGTCTTTATCCGCAGTATGATTTAGCAGACCTTGTCTTCAACACTTCAACATGAAGTGGTTTCGCCGCATCTCAGCCCGCCTCCCGCTTATACAGGAGGAAAGAAAGGAAGATCTAGACTTTTCCGGTTCCGACGACGAGGCAGGACTCGACCAAGAAAAATCATCAGAGGACAACCTTGATCCTGATGCCGGTACAAGCAGATTTCAGAAACGGAAGCTAGATGATGATGATGATGATGATGATGACTTTATGATGGAAGAGCTGAGATCGTCTACAACTCGAGTGGAGCCTGCCCAGAAATAGCCGTTAGTCTGTATTTCATTCATCATATGTATCGTTCGCTAACAGTGACTACAGTCCAAGCATAACAAGCGTGTGACAAATCGTCTACCGAAAGAGCACATTCTGTATCTTCCTCTGCTCATTCAGCAGCTAATCTACTCGTTGGTTCTGGCGTCGGAGGATTTGTACATTTTTCTTTCAGACGGCAAAATGGTCCGAAAGCCACTCGTCTACTACAAGATCCGAGAGAATAATCGCCTTGTCAAGAAAGAGCTCAAGAAGCACGAAGGCACGCCCATCTGCAGGGCGCCCGGTATACTGTTGGTATGCAAGCAGGTTCGAGGACTTGCTGTTCGAATCTTCTACGTCAGCAACTCTTTCGAAGTTCGTATCAGCAACTTCTACGGCGAAGGCATCAAGGAGTGGTGGCAACGCACTGAAGCTCAGCGCAAGCAGGTTGGCATCGAGTCAGGACCCCTCGACTGAAACGGAACGATGCACTCAGTCGACCAGTCAGTAATGAGACATCCAGCAAAGCCTCTACTGCGTGAGGTCGCTGATCACCGCCTCCTCTCATTCCCATCATCGGAGAGCCGAAACCACAACTCAGCGTTGCGCAACCTTAAGCCTTTTAGTGCAGCACCTGCTTACGGGACGATTACCTTGCACGTTGCATACGAACCCAACTGGCAGAACCTCGTCACTTGGCTCAACTCATCAATCGAAGGTAATCTACTAAAATACATGCCCACAGACCTGGCCCACAAAATCGAAGGTCATCGCCTACAGACTGTAGCATGGTTGTTCAAAATCACGGAGCAGTACTCCAGATGCGACGATCAAGCTTTCGACAAGACCATTATGTCTCATCGTGGACACCTTATCCGCAATGATCTCGGATGGTCTGTTGACCACGTAAATGAGGTTGAGGACGACGATGAAGGTATGGACTTCTTGTATGGGGCCAAGTACGATCACGAAATGGCCACTGCGAGGGATGCCCAACTCTGTTCAGTAGCAGGATCACCAGCTGGCAGCCCGATACTGAATTCCCCGAGTCAATACCAGGATCCTCGAGAGAATTTGTCTCCTAGCTTCCTCGCCACGATGCGCAGTATGAAAGATTTCGATGAGCAAGAAGTGGAGGATGATTCTGACTATGATATGGGCGGCGATGATGACACACCAGGAAGAGCAATCAGGACGACTCGTGAAACGCTAGAAGACATAGAAGGATGGAGTTGGTCGTTGGGCCGCAGGGAGTGCAAAGAATGAAGAGGCCGAGCTGGAGTTGATTCCCTTTGACAAGTGAAGACGCAAGGAACGGCCCTGTCTCCTGCTTTTCTCTTTGGACTGGTTGAACTGGTTGAGGTCTGCCTGGGTAGCAAGTGGCCTGGTATTGATGGTGCTTGGCGAAAGGTCTTCTTCCCAACTGAGTCCGGATGGTACGCCGGCATAGCTTTGTATCCCCCATTCCACCAGAGCCTCCAAGCCCACGTCGATTAGGACGTCAGACTTGATGGCCCCGAAGGGCCCTGCTGAAAGGGATAGGCCACGGTTCTTGCGAACCGAGTCAGCGCCTGCAAGCAGGATACATGTACCCAAGGCTAACGTGCCTCGGCCATCTCGACGTCGGAGCCGCTGCCCCTCGACGCCTTCTCCTCCGCCCGTCTCTTCTTCTCTTCCATCCTCTGCCGAATGTGCCTATGCGGTCGGCTCTGTGGGCCCCTCGGCCTCACCCTCGGCTTAGCGTAACCGGACTTCGGCCGGTCTAAGATAATTTCCACGTCCGATGGGTCAATACTCCCATCGGACGCCGCGTCCTCCTCTTTCTCCTCCTTCTCCACCTGCTCCTCGCCGGAACTCTCTAAACCCCTCTTCGGCCTCACTATCAATGCAAAATTACATTGATCACCGCGGAGTCCCAATTCACCCAGAGAGCGGGCGAGATCCTCGTCGTTGTCTATGCCGTCGGCTACCAGCACGTGCGAGAGGGAGAGGCGCTGCTGGTAGGGCTTGACGGCGCCCTCGAACGCCGTTTCGATGAGATCCATGATCTCAAACACCATCGTTTCTGTGGTGCACCGGAACTTCAGTTTTTCGAGGCCTGGGTTGTGCACCCATACCGTAACGACGGTGGGCGCGGTTGTCGACATGGTCGGGGGGGGGGGGGGGGGGAGGAAAGAGAATGCGGCGTTGGAGGTGGTGCTGGCGGTGTGGTCTTCGTGGAGTCGAAGCAAGTATGCGGCCGAAGTTTTGCGGTATACTTGAGAAGAGAAAAACAGAAGAGGAGAGGAGAAGGAGGGGGAAGTGTGTGGAAGTTTTGTTATTCAGGCTGCGTCACATGACTGCTGGAAACAAGATTCTACCTTCTGTTGACCTGGCAATTTGCCTAAGGCTGTTTTCTCTGAGCTTCTAGAAGGAGGAGATGGGATTTCACGCAGCATGGGAGTACTCCAGTTCTACATGAGATGCGCTGACAGCGCCCTTTTGCCAGCAGATAGGTCAAGAAGAGATCATGCAGACCAGCCCGAAGAGCAGCGAGACGTTCCCTTCAATCTCATTCTACTGAGAGCCTGTCTCTCCGTTGAAGGGTATCAAACCCGCGAGTATACGCGCCTTCCTCCTCCCATGAATTGTATGTAACCCCAGACAACCAGCAAAAAAACCAGTTTTTGCGGTCAACTCCACTGCACATATGTACTCGACACCATCTGGGTCTTTTCACCATGCTCCTACACTTTCAGGAGATCTGCTCCATCATCATCTAAAAAAAAGTGATAACACATCCCAATATCTGTATGCCCAGCGAGCGGGCATGGATTTCACTCCGCGAAATTTAAGGTTTGAGTCGCGCGTCCTGCTTTTGGAAGCATTTTTGCGTCGCGGGTAGCGGACAAAATCGAGTGAAGATGATGAGCTTGGGTAGAGAATGATCATTTGTAGTGAATTACGTGTTTTTAATCTGTTCTGATGGTTGCAACTTGATGGATAATGCTTTTCGTGTCGAAAAGGGAGGGTGGAGCAGGGGTGTGGGTTGGAAGGACTGTTTACACGGGACGCGACGAGACGCGACGCGCTATAGAGATGGATTTACACTATTTGGAAGAGGATTAGGAGTGAGCGCACAGCGCTGTTAGGAAACGCGTGGAGCAATCAACTGCCTCGACTACTGTGACTGTGTGGGACGCGAGGAAAGTACTCGAGGATACAATGAGCTATCCTGAGAACCCCAATTTCTAGGCTACGCGCTTTGTGGCAAGAATCTCATACGACGTCCTTGTTGCGCGCGCGTTGCTAGACCCAGGCGCCACGTTACAACGAACTCTGCGTTGACAAGATTGTGTGGAGGGTCGTGAGCTCAAGAGTAGCGATGGTCTTCATGGCGAAAGGACAAGAGGAACGGGAGTCATGCGAGACTCTGACTCCAACGTGGTGATGAGAGCAAGTACTATAATGGCGAACCGTCAGTTGGAATGAAAGGAACGAGAGCAGCAAGCTTGGCATATGTGGACTTACGCAATTTGGTCTGGTCGTCATGTCTCTCCAAGCGTAATTTCGCCGTCCGCATTCGTGATGGAATCTCAGGTCTTCTCCAAGTCCTCATCATGCTAGCAGCGCAGCCTCTCTCTCTGAAGCCAGGCTCATTGTTGACATCCCATGCCATTTCTTGCTTGATGGCGCACCCCTCGACAAGCCAGTGGAACAGAGGAGTTGATGATAGGCCTTGCTCATCAGGCCATAGCAGTGCACCCCCCTTCCGCCGTTCTTACTCTCGCCGCCAGCATCAGTAGGCCTGGAAGCACTACTCGCCCCTGATCAACTGCGCATCCCTCCATGCTCGCCAAAATGCTCGCCTCGTCGTCATCTCGACTCGTCTCTCCTCCTGTCTCCGTCGCCGTTGCGCTTGTATCCAGAGCTCAAGGTCTCGGCGGCCATAGACCGCTTGGTAAAAGCGGTGGTGCCCTGGATAGAGCTCATGAAGTGGGCTGATTGGCCTCACCAGACGGAGTCGATTCTCCCTAAGGAATCGAAACCGCCGGAGCTCGTTGTGCAGCCATTCTCCGCCGCGGCCGTTCTTGGGCGCCATTGCAAGCTGTTGGATAATGAAAGAGGATAGTGGAAGAGAGTTGGATTGATGCCAAGCTGGTGAAGTCGATGTGGATGTTGATGTTCCTTCCTCGCGTTGAATGTTGTGGATAGAATATCATGAATTCACCCCTGCTAGTGCGCACGGGCCTTTGGTCACAATAAAAACACTCTCACGTTTCTCTGCTTCTTCCTTTCTCTTCTATCATCTTCTTGTTCTTCACTCGTTTTTGGGCCAACTTCACTCACACCGCCGCTGGCGACGATCACCACCAAATACTAACATTCGACGCTCTCTATGAGATGGCCTCTCGTCGGTCAGGGTTTTGCCTTTGTGCCCCTGATCAGACCACGGCCTCCCTCGAGTTGGTGTCAAGAGGGTAACTCATGGAAGTTGGCCTCTTCTTCCCCCTTTTGTACCCCACGGGACCGGTTTGTCGTGGGTCTAGATGCGTGTGCTCAGGACATGGCAAATCATTGTGCAATACTCTACCAGTCTCGTATGGTGTTCTTGCAATACAATGATACGAGACCTGGAGTGTTCGTGATCATTCCCTTCTGGGTGATCCGCACATAGATCAATGCTCGAAGAGACTGCTGTGCCCTTTTTGCTTTTACTCATTGAAACGTACTTTGTCACCTCAGGCACATGTGGCCTCCAGCACAGCACCGTCCGAGGGATTATAGCGCTGTGTGGGCAGTGCGGGTTGCAGTCTCGTCGGGCAGAGCTTTGGGAAGTCTTGCCGTCGTGGCAGCTCATATGCTGTCGCCGGTAACGAGGACTTGAAGCTTACATACCTCTTCTCTTGTACATAATTGATTTTTTACAAGTCTCTCCCCTCTCATCTAGCCTGGCTTCTTCAACATCACCGCGCTGCGACGTCTCCTCCAACCGCCGTATTGTCATATGGGTTCCTACAATAGCACCTTTGCGACGCTTTCTGACCCTTCTCTAGGCGAGCACGCCTAAATGGAGCTCACCAGACGCATCTTCCTCTCAACCGTCGTGCTCGACACATGGAATCCTCCAATACCACTGAGGTCAGCCGCTATCGCGTGGTCACAGGCTATCTTGTTGGTTAAGTCGTTTTGCGGTCAAGAATGCAGTCATACTCGCTGTGACGTCGAAAGTTGGCACTCCCCGATCCTCGAGAATGGTCTTCTGCCACTTCCTACCTCCGCTCGCCTATGGGAAGCGAGCGCCGCAGTCTCCGCCAATCGTTTAAGCGCGCTGCCCAGCTCAAGCCTTGCCTTGATACGACAGCGGCGCCTTGTCCTATCCTCACGAGTCCCGGCGTAGTTGTTACTAGAGAAGGATGATTTGACAGACATTGGAACACTGTTGGGCGTTCGTTAAGGTTCAGGGGCTGTACGATACACCTATCTTACTCTTATGGGACACTTGCAGCGGAGAATTGTGGCTGTAATGTGAGTTGGTTCAGGAATGCTGAGCAGCCCCCTAGGCTTGGCAGTTATCGGTCTATAGTAGGCGCTTGAATTGTCTTGCGACTCGAGAGTAAGAGTAGGATCTCAGTCTAAAGCGCTAGTAATCGTATATTTTACTATTGCTATATACGGGTATATAGTAACTCGACGCGGTTGATATGAAGTTACTATTTCCTGCCAAGACTTTCTGTGGTTTCAGAGCTAGCTATACCACTCTATTTGAACTTGAATTTCACTCCTGCTTCCACTTCCTCTTTTTCAACTCTCCCGTCGTCTTCTTCCGCCTTCATACGCTTGGGAACTCGTATATATTTCGACCGAACTGGACCCCGACAACAAAGCAGCATTGCGGAGGACAGCTGCAGCACTGTGCTGCGCGAACGGACAATCTTCAATGCATTCTATGGATGGTGGGACCAAGTATCAACCTGGCCGTCCTAGGAAGAGATAAAGTATAAGGGAGAAGAGCGCATTGCGACCGCCGTCCCAAGTCCGAGTCCCTACCGCCGCCCCGGCAGGAGATTCGTACTGGGCGCCCGAAGCCCGAGTGGTTCATTCGTGAATACATTCGGCGCCGAAGGAGTCTGTGGATAATTGGCCGTTGGTCACCATTATTCGCGACGCACTTGGGGGTACACCCGTGTACCGGTATCCGCCTCCGGGCGTGACCGACGACGGGAAACCTCTTCTTGAGGTAAACACCCAGACCGTCAGCAGAGGAGATTTCCCTGTACACCGCGTATCGTCGGTAACGGGACTGTCGCTTGGCAAGAAAGACGGTTTGTCGACTGGCTGCCTTTCGACAACTTTGATCGAAAAGTGCTGTCGCAGGTTGATGTACTCCTGCGGACTCACAACACTCCGGCCAGAGGCGGATATCAAGGTAAGACATAACTTACGTTCAGATTAGTCCAATCTGACATTCCTCCAGCTCCGTGGCTTCATCAACCGGATTGGCGAAATGAAGCCCACCGGGGGCCTGCCAGCAGCTTGGCCACGCCGTGTCTTCGACACGGCCGAGTTGTTGGAGGCGACATCGTTGGACAATGCGAAGTCCAGCCGACTACAGACATCGCTGCCGGTTCGGGCTCAGGTGAGAGAACGCTGTCCCGCTGGTCATGAAATCCATCGCAAGTCACTAATGCGCGACTTAGATATGAGTAAGACCTGGCGTGAAAATCATTTCTTCCAGCGGATTTTCAGCCGTCGTCAGGAGGGCACCGGACGGCACAAAGGTGTGCCGCTCTACCAGCTGTGAAACTCTAGCTCCGGACAAAGATTGCACCGCAAAACCCATATATTATTGCTTCACCAGCGTGGGTAAGGCAATGTCGTGTGCTTGAGGCTGAGGTCCGGGGAGAATGAGCTGCCCCGAGGACCGGGGAAAGAAAAGAAACACCAGCGGGTTCCACGATCGTTGTTGTGGATCCTTGCCAAACCTCTTGAATTGAGGATCCGTGTCTCCAAATCTCACGCTCAGTCGGTGGGAGAGGCATGCATCAGCATCCCTACGGAGCCTGATGCCAAGGAGGCTCCATGCATGAAGAATTCGAGGGTGATGAGCTGTTAAGAAGAAAAGAGAACTCTTCCCAGGTTCGTTCCGAAGGTACGTCGCCACTCC